GGTCTTGGTGTGGTCGATTCCCAAGGCGATCATCTCGTCGAACTGCGTCCCCACCATCGTCCGGGCGTTTACCTGCCAAGATGAGCAAGTTCTGCTGGTATGTTCACGGTGGATCCTTTCGCTCGCTCCGGACCTACGGTGCTAATTCGTTGGTTAGGCTGCCGTCGAAGCCCTGCATTCCCTATACAGTAGATCCAACTACGACATGGAGGGCTTCCAGCCCCTTGTTCATTTGATGTATCAGCCAGAGCTCTTGAATCTGATGCAGAGTCTGTATGAGTGGTCCATCGTGGGGCCGGATGACATCGACGACACCAAGTACACGATATCCAAGAAGCTGTCCGAGATGCTCTCCTACGTCGCAGGCTTTCTGGAAGAGAAGAGCTTCGCCATTGACCCGAACATGAACCTACACATCTTCTTCCAACTTCTCATCCGGGTGGTCCAGCATCAGAGTCTGACGGTGTCGATTCCAGTTCTCCATGTGTGGAGCAAACTGTTGGCCTCTGAGAGGGTCGGGAATACGGACTTGGTGAATGGGCTGACCCCCCCGCTGCTGGGCATCTGTACCGAGCGCCTGATCCGTTGGGAGTCTTTGCCCTCGGATTCGGATAACCCAACCGTGGCATTTCTCTTCGAGGACATTGACACCGTGCCCGAGCGGCACGCGTTTGTAGGAAATTATCGGCGCTACTGCTCATCTATTATCGAAATCATCGTTCTCAAGAGACCGCAAGAAGCCATTCCGCACATCTTGTCCACCATTGATGGTAACCTAGATAACCTTTATAATGGAGTAGATCCGTTCGATGGTAGGCGACTCATCCCAACAGTTCTCGAGTCTGAACGCTAATCCAGATTTATAGTCAAATCCTTCTCGAAGAGCTCGATCCCTCTCATGCGCGCTGATACGCAGTTTGCCGTCGTGGAGGCTACACTAAAAGGCTATAATAAGTGGGTTTACGCCCACGGTAAGATGCCACAACAAGACGTACGTTGAGAATGTGCTATGTGCCTCGAATCCGCCTGCTAACCAAGTCCAGGAGCACAAGCGAGGCGAACTGGAAAGCGTATTGGAAGGATGGGCTTCCAAGTTGATGCAGAGGAGCTTTGAGGTAGGATTCATGCCTTTTATTTTCTGTGTCGGCTAGGACTAACCGGTGTGGAAATACAGGACCCGGTGTTGAAACAGCGAGTGATCAAGCTGATCGTCGATATCTCGTCCAAGGCTCTTAACCAGACCCCCAGCTTTGCGCTCAAAGTACTTGAATACATCCTTATGACGCGCCTTCCTGACCAGCCGGAGTTTCCTGCTTACTCGGAGGCCGTGAAAGAGCTTCATGGATTGGCGAGCCACGAGCTCCGTCGTTTAGCCATGCGCTACGCTGATTATTTCGCTGTAAGCTTCACCATACATATCCTCGCAGGCACTGCTAACCAAGAAAAGACGTTTTACGACGTTCTCGAGCCGAAGATCAAGGAGATCACCCTGGCCAACCGGGTAGATGACAGGCTGCACATGGAACTAACATCGATCCTTCTCATCATAATGTATGGTGCCTTTGAAATCATATGTCCGTGCGGCATGCGCTAACTGTGGCAGGCAACGCGCGAGCAACGTAGAACCTTATTTGCGTCAATCCCGATTGACGTCGTTCGTGGAGCCAATCCTACAGGCTTGGCAAGAAGAAGAATTCCGCAGCGTGAGCTCATCTTTTGAGGGGTTCTGTACCATGCTGGGGCTGCAAAGCGTCGGTCCCTATATGCAGTCAAAACAAGCGCACATGGTAGAGGACTGGACATCTGTTATTCTAGACAGCGAAGGAAAGCAGATTCAGGAGGAAATGACCCGAAAGTTCCAGGTTTGTCTCTTTGTCGGCTTCACACGTGGGGTTGACTAATAACGGCATAACTAGCAAATGCCCCTACGAGGCACGAAAACGATGTTGGCGGTATCTACCGAGAAGTTGAAACGGACAGAACCGGCGTACGAGCTTGCATGCAATATTTGGCACGACATCATCCCGGTGATCCTTCCAACGCTGCTGCAGCTTGTCAGGTAAGCAAGCCGTCGTTGACAGGCCATTGAAAACCTGGCTAACTTTCATTCCAGCAATGCTCACGCTTTCCATAATCCTGCCAACTGGGCTGGCATGTCCGAGGAAATGAAGGTGGTCGTTGGGCGTATCTTGACCGACCGGTTCTGGCAAGCGGGGATCTCTTCCGGTAGCCGGGATGAGTTCTATGCGCGGATCACATCGTCGCGGGCTTCACTCGAAGGGTTTGCATCTTCCGTCCGTGGCAAAATCAGGGCTGTCCGAGAGTCCTGCTACTCGATGCTCTTCAGCATGAGCCAACTGCGGGAGCATTTCTATGGGTTCGCAGAGCTTCCTGGACCGCTTTCTCAAGCCCTATTCAAAGACTCGCCCCACCTCTCGTCTCACCAGTTCTCTGTCCTACTCAATATCTCACGGTGCTTGATCGATGACTGCCCTGTCCGTTTCCGTGCCCAATTCTTGCCGCCAATGTTGGCCACCTTGTTCACCAATATCGACCGGAAGGTCACATCGGAATGGGACCAGATTGAACGGCAAAAGGAAGGGATGGCGGAGAGCGACTTGGCGGACGAGATGAAGTCCGAAAGTATTCTGCGGCAGTTGACTTATTCTGCGGTGATCATGGTCGCGAATCTCTTGGATCCGCAGCGAGCAAGTAAGTGTTCCAATTCCCTACCCATGGCGGCTTGATTATCTCGTCAGTCCTAACAGTAGCACGCAGACCCCGATGAAGAACCAGCAGACCCAAGCGCAACGCCAGCGCCACCGGCTGCGGCTGATTCGCTTCGGAACTTTGTCCTCTCCTCCCCCGAAATCTTTGAACCGGTCATGCTTTTCTGCACCCACGCCCTTCGCATGCGAGATACCCGATGCTGCAGCATCATCACGCGCGTCATCCGATCGATCCTGCAAGACTTTGCCCCTCCCAACAACACACCCACCACGGTCACGATCCGCGAGTTCATCAGCTCCGAAGTGCTCAAAGCCTGCATCACATCTGTCCACGAGCCATATTTCGTCGACATGCAGAAAGATCTCGCCCAGCTGATCGCGTCCATCTGGGTCCTTTACGGCTCGTGCAGCTCGATGCCCCGCACCGTGATCCTCAGCCTTCCGGGGATGGACGAACAACGAGTCATCAACACCGAAGCCGCCCTCGTCCGGTCCGCCGCCGCCCGGCAGCAACGAGCCCTAGTCCTGGACCTCCTCGAAGCCCTACGCGGCGTCAGCATCGCCGAGCAGGGCAAGATCCTCGGCTCCCGGGAAGAACGGCGCAAAGCGCGGAGTGCCCTGCAGGAGCGGTACATGAGCAGCGAAATGGAAGGCCAGCAGGCCAACAAGGTCGACATCAACGATGGACCTGACCTGGCCGGCGTTGCGGATATGTTTGGTTAGTGCTATTGCCCACTTTTCGTCTACGGATGGACAGCAGCGACCCTTCTTTCTTCTTTTTTTTTTGTTCTACAGTCTGCTGTACAGTATGGTGCCGACCTACGGGGCTGTCCCATGTCGCAGTTGTTCTGGTTTTGGTACGTTCGATATACCGGTATAAAGAAATATAGACCCAATACGATACATTTAGCCACAGGCATAGTTTCTACAATGCGAGCCCTAGGATCATGGTACAGTCTACCGAAAGCCGTAGAGCAAACAATCTCTTGAATAAGCGAATCATTGGAACAATCGAAACAACATTGATAGGTCAATAGGAAGACCTCTCTCAGACGGTATATCTACAAGATACAAGTTTTCAAAATCAAGCCAAACCAATCATCTCTCTTCCTCTCTTGCCCCATCAAGCGCCACTTGTTAGTTGGTTTAACTTGATTTGATTTGTGATACCACTTGCCGCAAGACACAAGACACAAGACACCCGAACCAACCCACCCATGAATCTGGCGCTGAAAACACGAAACATAACGATCCCCCCTCAACCACAATCACCGGAGCATCCACCGACGAAGCCCATTTGGTGCATTTATTGGGTAAGCTGGGCAGGAAGGTAGGCGAATGTGGGGCGGACGAAGCTGGAAACTCGTATTAGTTGCTGGATAGGACCTTGTTTGCCGGGAGGGGCTGGATAGATAGATAAAAGGTAGGAAACGTACCGATCGGAGTTGTACACCTTGGTCTCAGAGCCCAGGAGCTCCTTTTCGCGGGCCTTGTCGGCGAAATGGCGACGGGCCTGGTCACGGTCTTCTTCGGCTTGGAGGAGGGGGAGGATGTGCAGACGGCCCCAGATCTTCTCGCGGCCGAGCTCGCTGGGGAGAATGGTCAGTAAAAGGTCATCAACCAGTGGCGTGGGGGTATGTGTGGTAGATAGTGTGTCGGGTGCGCGGTGTATTCATGGAGGGAATGAATTGAGCCAAGTTGGCTGGGGATAGGCGATCGTTAACGTACTGTTGCTCGCGGATACCGTGGAAGAGCTTGTAGTAGCCCCAGGCCATGACCATGTGCATGCCGATGAGGTAGGTGACGGGGCGGAAGCCACGGGCAGGGATGTTCCGCTAGACAGAGACCATTAGCCGATTTCATTCATTTCATTGGTTTCCTTTCCATAATTGCTTGGGGAGTATCATCCCGTCGAAGCGCAAAATGGGGATGGAGTCGTACCTTGTACTGAACGGGCCCGTAGCCCCCCACGGGGGGCATATCCTGAGGCATGGTGAAAAGACTGGTTGAGGAATATGACAACAGTCTTCAATTGGAGCGAATGGGCGGGATAGCGAGGCAGGAGAGCAAGAGAGACTCGCAGGAAGATCGACCGGCGACGATATGATGTTCAGCGGAGTCGCGAAGTCGGCAGTGGACGGTCACGTGCGGGCGTCCTGGTTTGGTAATGCGGGCTGTGGGGCGCGTGATTGGCTGAGGGTGGATATTTTTGCCCGCTGGAACTAACATTCGACCTCTTGATTCCTCTTCGATCTTGCGGGTTGTTGCCCTTGTTGACCTACTCGTTGCTGATTTACGACTTGACCTCTTGATAAACCCCAGACGAAATGGAAGAGGAGGAGCGACCCCGGAAATTAGCCAAGCTGGACAATCAATCTCAGGAGGAACCTGCGCCCGCAGTGACCGGTACTGTGGGAGGGGCCCCCGCTGACAATGCCGAGCCTGCAGATACCGCCATGACGCTGGACAAGACCTCCCCTGCGGCCAAGGATGAGAAGGACGGCGGCGAAAACCCCACGGAGGGAGAGGGCGCGGCTGCGGACGACAATGCCGCCCAGCCAATGTCGAAGAGTCAAATGAAGAAGCGCCGCCGCCAGCAGCTGTGGGAAGAGAAGCGGGGGGATCGCAAACAACACCGCAAGGACCAGAACAGGGCGAGAAAGGAGAAACGGCGGGCCGCTATCAAACAGGCGAAAGAGAACGGGGAGGAGGCATTCCAGGAACTGAGACACAGCTACATGAAGACCAAGTATCGGATCAAACGGTCGACCTTGCTTCCGGTCACCTTCCTCGTCGATTGCGGGTTCGATGACTTGATGGATCCGAAGGAGCGCATCTCCCTGGGATCGCAGCTCACCCGAGCCTATTCGGACAACAGTCGGGCACCGTACCGCTCACACTATGTGATCTCGTCGTTCAACAAGCAGTTGAAGGAGCGGTTTGACACCGTCCTGGCCCAGTCGCATCTCAAGTGGCGCGGTGTACGTATCCTGGAGGAGGACGATTTCATGTCCGCTGCCGAAAAGGCCAAGGAGTGGATGACCGAACCCAACGGGGGGGAACTGGCGGGGGCGTTTGCGGACCAAACGGACGCCAAACCGGAAGATGGGGAGATTGTCTACCTGACCAGTGACAGTCCCGATACGCTGACGGAGCTGAAACCTTACAGTACCTACATTGTGGGAGGATTGGTGGACAAGAACCGGTACAAGGGGATCTGCTACAAACAAGCGGTCGAGCGGGGCCTCAAGACCGCCAAATTACCGATCGGGGACTATATCCAGATGAGCCATCGCCAGGTGTTGGCGACCAACCATGTGGTGGAAATCATGATCAACTGGCTGGAACTGAAAGACTGGGGTCAAGCGTTCATGAAGGCCATTCCGCTGCGAAAGGGTGGGACGCTGAAGGCCTCCGAGTCGCCTGCGCCGCGCGATGGGGGTGGTGAAGCGGAAGTGGTCGAGAATGAAGAGGCAGCTGTAGAGGAGGCAGTTGCAGAGGAGGCAGCTGCACAGGAGGCCGCTACGGAGACGGTGGAAGCTAGTGCTGAACACGCGTGAAATAAACACTGTATATACTGTAATCGACATGACTTCACTTCCTATAGTATAGTAGAGAGAAGAGAGTAGAGAGTAGAGGTAACGCCACAGTATGAGTCAGCCGCACCGCCACAATGGTTGCCACCGGGACGATCGATGACGGCAGATCAATCAACAAAAAAACAACCTCCTCTTTTCCTTCTGGTCACTTCACTTCTCTGCTTCCGGTTCTTCCAGGTCTCAAAGAACCACAGTCTGTTGAGACAGAGCTGCTTGTGTCTGCCATCTTTGTTTCCCCTCAGGCGATGACACTTGTCTGACTTTGATTCTGTCCTTCTTCAACTGATCATCGTCTACCACCTTCCCTTTCCCCACTTCGACCTTTTTTTCGTCCTTCATTCCTCAGATCCCTGCCCTTTCTGCTGCTGTATCAGAAACGCGCCTAAGCAACCACAGCCATGTTTATGATCCGCAACGGTATGTTCTTTCCCTGTTCTTTCTGTCTATTCAGTTTCTGTCCCCATCGCCGCTTCCAAAACCCCACCAATTACCCCTCCTCTCCAAATCGCTTATCGTGACTGAGCTCTCACTGACCTATTATTCTGAAATATCAAGTGAGCAAATACCTCTTCGGAGACACCTCGAAGGAGTCCATCATCGAGATTCCTCAGGGCCAACTGTACCTGGTCCGCCCTCTGTCGCCAAAGGGTTATTCCGAGCTTATCTTCAAGGACGCCGCGGCCTCGATCCGTCGTACTGGGCAAGAGTTCCAGTATCAGCTCGTCGTTCAGAGGGCTTTCGAAGAAGGCGAGGAGGAATTGTCCGACGGCGACGACGAAGAGGGAGGCAACGACAGCGTGGATAAGGACGAAAAGGTCTTCTTGCTCGACCAAGCTCTTCACTTCCGCTCGGAAGTCCGCGAGGGAGGCTCCAAAGTGCTAGCGTGGAGCGACCTGAGTGGCGACGTCGGCGACCTCTTTGAGTTCGTCTGTGACCCGACGGTGCCCGCCGACAAAGTCGCTACCTTTGAATTGGCCGCCCTTCAGTGCCAGTTCGAGCGGAAATATCGTCGCAGCTCCCAAAAGGCGACTGAGCCGGAACTGCAGGAGTTCTCTTTCCAGGAAGAGAAGCCTCTCCCGTCCGCCAGCCCCATCGCTTCGCCCAACAAGTCTCGCGCCCACTCCCTGGCTTCCACCGGAGAGGCTACCGCAGCGATGGCCAAAGACGTGGAGTATTCGCGGTCTAAAGGGCAGATCAAGCCCGCCGGAGAGGGACAAGAAGGACAAACAGCCCCTCCGCCCGCCGCGGACCAACCGGAGGCCCAAGAAATTCTCGCCAAGGAGAGTGCGGAATTGCACATGTTCGACTTCACTACTGGGACATTTGTTCTCCAAGACGCCAATGTGGTTGCCACCGTATCTGAGACCGGGAACTGGCAATATTGGCTTCAGATTACAGGCCAGGACAAGGAATGGCTCGGACAGCCCGTTGTTGCGGATATCAACCCTGTCTTCAACTTTGAGTACCTCTCATTCATCTTCAACCACTACGCTGAGGATGGTTCTGCCTACTCTTGGCTTCTGCGCTTCAAGGACCAGGCCACCGAGGAGAAGTTCCAGGAAGGACTGATGCAGGCCCTTTGGGAACAGTTGAACGAGATGAAGTGGGTCAAGGTCAAGGAAGCCGACAAGGAGTACGTGCTGGACGCCTTCCAGGACCTGACCATGGAAGATCAAGACGCCGAAGAACAGCAGGAAGCCGAGGCGGAAGAGGAGGAGGAGGAAGAGGAGGAAGACGCAGACGACGGTCAGCGCAGTGAACAGTACGACCCGGATGAGGAGCAGGATGATGTGGTGACTCGTGACTCCGATGGAAATGTCAACTCCCAGCTCGCGGTGGGTTACAAGCATGACCGGTCGTTCGTCGTTCGCGGCTCCAAGATCGGCGTCTTCAAGCATACGCCCAATAACAACCTCGAGTTTTCGACCAACATTTCCAAGGTGGAAACCCCCAACGGCAAGCTGTTCAGCCCTAAGAAGGTCATGTTGCACGCCGAGGATACCAACATGATTCTCCAAAACAGCGAGGATCCCAATTCGCTCTACCGCATGGATCTGGAATACGGCAAGGTGGTCGACGAGTGGAAGGTCCACGAAGATATCCCCGTCCAGACCTTCGCGCCGGAGAACGTAAGTGCCTTTCTATCTTCCTGGCGTTTTCTATATCAGACACGGTGATACTAACCATCCACAGAAATTCTCCCAGATGACTGCGGCCCAGCCCTTCGTCGGTGCGTCGCAAAATGCGCTGTTCCGCATCGATCCCCGTCTGGCTGGCAACAAACTGGTGGATGCGGATCTGAAGCAGTACGCCAGCAAGAACGAGTTCTCGTCGGTGGCTACGACCGAGAAGGGATACCTCGCGGTTGCGTCGAACAAGGGCGATATCCGCATGTTCGACCGGCTGGGGATCAATGCGAAGACGCACATCCCGGCCCTGGGTGAGGCGATCATCGGTTTGGATGTGTCTGCCGACGGCCGCTGGATCCTGGCGACCTGCCGCACCTACCTCCTGCTCATCGATTCGTTGCAGAAGGAGGGCAAGAATGAAGGCAAGCTTGGGTTTGAGAAGCCATTCGCCAAGGATTCCAAGCCCCAGCCCCGACGTCTGGGTCTCCAGCCGGCCCACGTGGCGCAGTTCCAGCACGAAACGAAGAAACCGCTCGCGTTCACCCCCGCTCGTTTCAACACTGGTGTCGATTCGTCGGAGACTTCGATCGTCACCGCCACCGGTCCCTTCATCGTCACGTGGAATTTGAAGAAGGTGGTCGCCGGCCGCAAGGACCCCTACACCATCAAGCGCTATGCGGAAGAGGTTATGGCGGATAACTTCCGCTTCGGCTCCGACAAGAACGTGATTGTCGCCTTGCCGAATGAAGTCAACATGGTCGCGAAGAGGAGTTTCCAGAAGCCGACGCGTGAGAGCATTGCGGGGCCTCCAGTGACTCCGAGCCGCCGTAGCACGCGATGGGGGAGCCGGTTGGGCCGGGATGATGTTGTCAATTCTCCGTACTAGGTTTTTTCCTTTATTCCTCTTTTTCTACTGTCTTGTTTGGTTTGATCTTTTGATCTTTTGATCTTTTCTATTTTCTATTTTCTGCGAGATTCAGCATACCCCTTTGATTGTTTATCCTTATTGATTCTTGAGACCTTGCTCCAATTGAGACGTTGTCATGATGGCGATTACGTAGGCTAGTAGCTAATAAGAGAATACGAATTGTGAACGACATATCTTTATATTCTTTGTACTTCATCGTATCTATTTTCCTTGAGTAAGTAGTAATATAACGGGACAGCATCCACATCAACTCGTCCAACAAAAATATCCCTTCTACTCAGAAATACACACCTATACTAAACAGACGTCTCAACAAACGTCCCATTCCTACAATCAAATCCCAAATCCGGATTCAGCCCTGCCGTCGCATTCAAACAAACAACCGCAGCCGGCTCCCGGTTCTGCGGCCGCAGGCGAATATCCTCCGTCACGAAATTCCGACAAGACCTCTCAGTATGGCACTGTATGATAACCGCCTCTGTATGGTTCAGATTCGGCAAGCCGACGTCATACCAGCAGGGGTCCGACACGCAAGACCCGTCCCCCGGGTTGAAAGTATTGATATCGCCGGTAAAGTCAGACCAGGTGAAATCTTCCATCATGACTGCGGAGGAAGGGTCCGGTGGCGGGGGCCGCTCGGCGTTCTGGTCCGTATAACTCTGCGTGACGAAAATGGGGAAGGAGACGTTGTGCACGCGGACGTCCTGCCATGTGACGTTGCGGACGAGGCCGGCGCCGCCGGACCAGGACTTGAAGCGGGCGGCGTAGAGGCCGCCGGCGACGGTGATGTCGGTGAAGAGGAGGTTGGAGATGTTGGCGGGGGCGGAGGGGTCTTTGCCGAGGGAGCCGATGCTCATGCCGTGGGTTTCGTAGCCGAGGGTGTTGTGGGCGAAGAGGATGTCGTGGGAGGGGGAGCCGATGGCGATGGCGTCGTCGCCGTTGTGGAAGGTGCTGTTTGTTATGCTGATGTGGGTGCCTTGGACGTCGAAGCCGTCTGTGTTGAAGGGGAAGGAGGAGAAGCTGGTGGAGAGGGCGTCGACTATGGCGTGGCGGACGGTGATGTCCGACCCGTGGAGTTTCATGGTCCAGGCGATGGGCTTGCGCGAGCGGAAGTGGCTGATTGAGGCGTCGGAGGTGGTGTAGCTGATTAGGTGGGGGCGGTTGGGTAGGCCTTTGCTGTTGGGGGGGTTCGCGTCCCACCAGGCTTGGCCGTAGGAGTTGATCCAGCTGGTTTGGGGGTCGGGGGAGCCTGTCCAGTCGATGCGCGGGCCGGAGAGGGTGATCCAAGTGGCGGTGCCGCTGGCGACGATGGCTTGCACGGTGGGGATGTCCTGGGGGAGGTGGAGGTTGCCGTGCATGCGGATCTCGACGTTGCTGAGGTTGGTGGCGGTGAGGGGCGTGAAGAGGTTGTAGTTGACGCCGTGTTGGAAGATGATGGTGGAGTCGGTTGCGCATTGCGCGAAGGCGCGGGCGATGGCGGGCGTGTCGTCTGCGGTTCCGTGGGAGGAGCGGTATTGTGAGGGGATCACGCACTTTTTGCTCCGTGGGTGGTGGGCTCCATGGCTGGATGATGGGAGTGACCAGGCATGTTGGAACAAGAGCGATAGAGCCAGGAGGGTGGGCTTGGAGAGCAGCATCGTGTGGATGGTCGATTATGGACTGGTTGGGAGGGCATGGTGGACGTGCAGGTCCTCCGGGCCCTTTTTGTACTCTTGGGTGAGAGCATGGCGGATTCCAGACATCCGAAGAGTAGCAAGTTTCTGCGAGACACCATCCAATTGAGAGGGAGAGGATCTCGTTGTTTGTAATTGTTGAGGGGAGTTTTGATCTATATCATGCAGTCAAGCCATCTTGAACTTGCGATTGGTGGAGAAATAATGCGCGTGAGGTTGGGGTGATGATTGTCGGAATCACAATTTCCCTGATTGAATAATTAGCTAGACCGAGTATGCAATGTATCATAGCATCTTCTTGACATTCGTGGAAGATGAGATTCCCAAGTTGTATAGATACCTGTAGTATGAAGTAGTTGAAAGTGGAGTGGAAGACCGAGACTCCGCTTTGATTTTGCCGGTGGAGCTGCAGCTCCGACCACTTTTGTACCAACACCCCAATTCTTTCTCCAGTCCACTCCCTACAATCTACGATCACAATAGGAACAGTATCATCAACAATGGCCTCATCAGACGCATCTCTCGCCAGCAAGGCCACCCCCAACATCACCCCCTCTGACGCCGTCCTACACGTCCACAGCGCCCGTTTGATCGATGCCCCGTCCACGACCGTATGGGATGCCCTCATCGACACCTCGACCTGGCCCTCATGGAACACCTTTGTTCCTCGCGTCACCATTCGCGAACAGCCTGGTTCCAATCCCACCGCCGATACCCCTCTCTCCCCAGTTCTTCAGCAAGGGACCAAGATGACCTTTCACGTCCACATGGACCCGTCTTCTTCCAGCGAGCAGGACGTGCCCCTCGTAGTCGCGACGTTTGCTCCACCCGACGTCGCGACCGGGCAACCGGGTCGCATCGTGTGGACCAACGACGAGACGGCCTCGGGGGCCATCCCGGGGTGGCTTCTGCGCGCGGAGAGAGTGCACGAGGTGGAAGAAGTCGAGGTGGCCGACACGGACGGACGGGTCCAGACGCGGACGGAGGTGCGGAACTGGGAGGCTCAAGTGGGATACCTGGTGTATGTGGTGCGATGGATGTATGCGAGTACCTTGAAGAGGAATTTCGAGTCGTGGGTGGGAGATCTCCAGCAGTACGTGGAGAGGACGCGCCAAGCGTGATTGATGGTTTGCTTTCTACTCCATACTCTCCTAGTCAGATCCAAGGGAATCGCATCAGGAATGTAGTCTCCCGGGTTAGTGAAACCATCGTCGATCCATTTCAATGTTTGTACACCGACTAGTACGCTTGGCAGCGGACGAACTGGTGGTCTGGAGGATGGAGGCTGATACATCCAACCCCGTCGCATCATGTTACACCGGTTGACGGGATCTGTTGAGGGATTCCTCGTGGTGAGAAAGACTGTGTACAATGTTTGCCTAGTCGAGGTCAAAGCCCAGTCCGAGCCACGAACCTAGGAAGAACAGTTGCATCCTGCAAGCATGATGCAGCATGCAAGCCACTCAGCGACTAAATTAGTAATTTCCCTGAGCCGATGGAAGACCCACGTGGGGGTGGAGATTGGCTTGAAAGATTGTTACGTGACATCCTATCTAGTGAGTGGCATACCACCCTATACTATCTAATATATATGATTAACTCCGATGCTACCACTAGCCAGGGTAATAGTGACTAGTCAGTTAATGTAAGTCTCCCCTATCTGAAAGAAGGCCTGAACTGAGAGAATGAAGCAGCAGTAAAGGAAATTATGGTCATGTCCACCACTGGTCCGGATGTCCGAATCTGGTAATCCGGCAGCCGATCAGGGTGTGTCTCGTCCGGATTGGGCTTAGCGGCCGTTCTGGGAACTGCAGAACTGCCCGATTGGGAAATCAGCTCGAAGTGTACATTTTCTCCAATGTTTTCATCAAATCCTCTTCGTTGAGAGAAGTTGGTCACATGGCTATTGGGACTGTTCTCAAACCAAGAGTTATAGTGGTATTTCTGTGGGAAATAGATCACAAATCATCCAGAGCATAATACAGTGGAGCCACTCATTCCACATGGATTCCTGGTTTGATATCAGCCCGTTGAACCCTCTGTCGATCATTTCTTTTCTGTCTTTCAGTTTCCCCTCTTTCTTTTTTGGTTCTATTGATTTTTTAATTTATTTTATCTTATCTTCTTCGTTTTCATTTTTCTTCTTGTTTTTTTATTTCATTTTTTTTTTTTTTCTGTTTTTATTGATGATTTTTTCTTCATTTATTACTCCTCTTCGTCCAAACCTGTTTTCGGTTCTCTCTTTATTTTTTCTCTCTCTCTCCTGCTTTCATCCCATTCCACTACACCGTACATCTCGATCTATAATCAACTCGTATAGCATAAACACCATGTCGCCCTTCCTCTCCACCTCTTTCTTATACTTGGTTTCCTGGTCCTCTTCCTTCGCCATGAGCACTCGTTGACCTCACCCACCCTTGACTCATCTCAAGGTTCACGGTCTGCTGGTTCCAACGTCATCCCGGCACCATTAAAACGCCACTGCTGGCATCACATCCTTATACCGGTGGCCAACTCGCATCTTCTCGACTCTTCTATTTCGGCTTCCTCCATCACACGTTCACTCTCTTCTCATCCAGCTGCATCGTTAAGTCCTGGACCGATATCATCTGCCAACGATCTTTCCATCGTCGTTCCGTCCATCTCTCGAGAAGCTATATATAAGCTATCTAGATACTATACTATCTTTGATATACGATTATCATCCCGGGTCTATTGCCCCACCATCAAGTCCAGCATCTGTGACTCACCATCGGCTATACCCTCCACATCCCTTGCTACGATCTGATTTAGAGAGCGTCTGATCGTCATGGCGCCTCCCACGCCTCTTCGGGTGTCCGTTCGCACCGCGAATGAGCATCGTCTCGACACTCGCTCCCCTCCCGTCACCCCGAGGTCCGGCTTCTCCAGTGTCTCTCTATCACCAATCGACGACAAGCGCATCGACCAGGTCTCCCTCCATCAAGACCTCTCTGCGCCCCTCGAGTTCCGCGACAGCCTGGAAGTCCAGCATGACTCCCACGGCAAGCCATTCGAATATGGTCGCGGAGTTTGGAGCGTCGTCTACAAGGCGTCGTCTCGCCCGCCCTCGAACTCCAGTCTGCTCACCCCGCCCAGCTCCCCCGCACCCGGGAATCACAAGGTCGCCGTCAAGTCGCCCTCGCGACGGGATGCCCATGTCGTGCTGGATGCCGAGGCCCTGGCCTTGAGCCGAATCAGCCTGTTCTCGGGCTCCGACAACTACGTCGTCCCCTTCCACGGATACATCCCAGGAGATCATGCCATCGTCCTGGACGCCGTGCCCCTCTCGCTCGCCACCTATATTGAAGACAAGGCCGCCATCGCCAAACAGAACATGTCCACCCGAACCATGTTCGACCCCGCCCCAGGAATGGCCTCTTGGAAAGCCCTGGCCACGAAGCTCATCCGCGGGCTGTCCTGGCTGCACAACACTCCGCATATCGTCCACGGCGACATCAAACCACACAACCTCCTCCTACGTCCGCTCGAGGACGAGGAGACGGACTTCCCGTTCACGCCACTGTTCGCCGACTTCTCCTCCGCCCATATCATCGCTGGCCCCTCTCTATCGGCCGAAAAGAACCAACCTGGGACCGCCCTGACGGCCCTCACGCCGCCCTTCGCCGCTCCCGAGCTCCTCACCGTCTCGTCCCTGACCTCCCTGGACGTCCGACCCACGCCCGCCGCCGATGTCTTTTCCCTGGCGGTGACCCTCCTCGCCGCAGCTACCGGCGACTTACTCCTCTATCCAGGCACCAGCAACATGCAGCGTCTGGCCATGGCTCGCGAAGGCCACCGCGTCATTGAGTTCGCCCGATCGGGGGCCCATGGCTCGCGCGTGCCCCGGAATGGTCTGGTCGAACAGATCATCAAACCGGCTCTGGCGAAGGATCCAGCCGAGCGGATCAATCCGACTGATTGGTTGAATTTGGTGGAAAGTCTGGCGTGAATCATCTATAGATATGGATGAGTGATCTTATTGGATTTTGTCTGCTATTTGAAAGATGATTTCTTTTTTAATTCCCCCCCATTTTGCATCATGTATAATAAAGATACCCGGTTGGATTCAGTCCGAGATTTATATTGGATCTGAATGTCCCTTTTTTATTTTTTTTTTTTTCTTTTACTCTTTTCAAATCTGTCATGTGAGTTTCTGTATGCTACAAATCATGTATCACCAGGACTTGACTTTGAATGTTCCAACATCTCTTTTCATAAAACCATGAATGGAATATCGTCGTAGATCCGTAGATCCGCATCGTTCAATATGATCAGAAAATAGGAAAGTAGAAAGATAGAAATATAGTTCAGGAAGTGCCAAAAAACAAACCAGATCCACGCGGACCAAAAGGCGGGCGGGGAAGAGATGCGACTCGTTCGCCCCGCTCGGGCTTTTTCTGCCATTCCGCATCATTCGGTCTTTTCATCTTTCTTTCTTTGATTTGAAGGTCCATCATTCATCTTCTCTCCACCCATTCTCTACTTTCTTCTACATTATGATCAAGTTGCTCCCCGCCAGCTTTGGAGCGAACTCCTTTTCTGGATGAATACGGCTGCCGTTCGTGCACCGGCTGAGCGTGGCCCCCAAGGTTCAGTGACATCAATCTGTCGCGACTGGCGCCTGAAAAAGGCTTATCTCCACTGAAGACTGAGGACGACGCGCCAGGCCTCGATGATCCCTCCAACTCTGCTTGACGACTATCTACACTGTTGACACACCGTACCATCCCCGTCAACTACCCACCACCCACACCCCTCTCATCCCACCGATTGTATGCGAAGACCATGGCTTCCCATCTGTCTCCGCCTCCAGGCGCGGGGCCGTCCTCCCCTCAAAGCGTGGAGAAGATCACCCAAAGAGCCCAGGAGTATGATTACAACCCCCTGGTTCCGTTAAAATACTGGCTGCGGTCGGCCGCCGCACTCATCAGTCAGGTAAGTCCCACTAGATAGATTCCCTCTGTCTCTCACGCACAAGTCTCACTAAACGGGCTTTGTGGCATTAGGCCTCCATCTACGAACGAGAAGGACACGACGAAGAAGCCTACCTGCTTCTCTTCCGACACGCGCAACTAGTCCTCGTGAACCTCGCAAAACACCCCGGTGCCAAAGACCCCCAGAATCAAAAAGGCCTGCTGGAGGCAGAGAAGGAGGTCCAGAAGAATCTCGCCAAGTTGGAGACGTTGAAACCTCGCATCAACAAGCGGTATGAGCGTTACCTACAGCTGGCGCGCGATCGTAAAGCCCGCGGTCCTTCCCGGGGGAGCGTCACTCCGTCTGACTTCGGCCAAAAAGCTGCCGTCGACCCCGGGGTGGTTGCTGAGCCGTTGGAAGCGCACGAGAATAAAGATTTGGCGGTTAAGTTGGCCCGCACGGAGATCAGCCGGAGAGCGACGGTGCGGAAGGCTGTTCACGACGCTGGGATATCGCCTGAGGAGGAACGGCGTCGTCGCACGGCCGGGGTTTGGGGCCAGTGGGAGCATGAGTTGGAGAAGGACGAACGGGATACGAATGGGGATTTGAGTCGGCGAATTCAGGATGTGAGGACGCATATGGACTCGGCCCCTGCTGCTGACCAGCGCCAAAATCGGGTGTCCAAATCGGCTGTCAGGCCACCGGCGACCTCATCGACTTCGGGATACAAGTACCCGACGGTTCCTCCTCGCCAGAAGCTTTCAGATATTTCGCCCCTTCAGCCAACCAACAGACCTCGAGACGACTCAACGGTCCGTCTGGAGGCTCCATTGCTACCTCCTAAAAATCCGCTCATCCAACCAGCGCTCTTTGACACGCCGCCACCACCACGACCAGATAAGGTCTCGTCGACTCCTCCCGCGCCCCCGGCTTCCGCCCCGCCTCTCCCCTCCAAGGTCCAGCCCGCAGAGAATGGAGAAAGTGCACGCAGTAAACTAGACCCATCCAGCTTCACCTTCAAGCCCGCTGCCTACCTCGAGAACGGGAGCCCTCTCCGCACAGTTTTCCTCCCCCCGGAGTTACGATCCCAGTTCCTATCGATAGCGGAGCCCAACACACGGCGCAACCTCGAGACATGCGGCGTCCTTTGCGGCACACTAATCTCCAACGCCCTCTTCATCTCCCGCCTCATCATCCCCGAACAAACCTCCACATCAGACACCTGCGAGACCCTCAACGAATCCGCCATCTTCGACTACTGCGACTCGGAAGACCTAATGATGCTCGGATGGATCCACACCCACCCCACCCAGACATGCTTCATGAGCTCCAGAGACCTGCACACCCACTGCGGCTACCAAGTCATGCTCCCCGAAAGCTTTGCCATCGTCTGCGCCCCCAGCAAGATGCCCGACTGGGGCATCTTCCGCCTGACTGATCCGCCGGGTCTGAAAACCGTCCTCAATTGTACGCAGTCGGGTCTGTTTCATCCTCATGCTGAGAGTAATATCTACACTGATGCCCTACGACCGGGTCATGTCTTTGAGGCTAAGGGGCTGGAGTTTGAGGTCGTGGATTTACGGCCTAATGGGTCGCATTATTAAATATGATACCCGTCCCACTTCTCTTCTCAGAACTGTAGTCTTCTGGATGCTGCTATGGAATGAACGAATATACTCTTCTCCATAGATTTTCGAAGTAGCGGCGAATATCGCACGATGTCATTAATATGTGGTGGACCTCGTGATTCATAGTCGAGTCTATTAGACATTTCCACCCGTCTCGGTCTGCCAACCGATTCGCTGCAGCTGATACCCAACCCCAACTCTCTGGACTCTCCACCTGGACTTGATGATTTAGTACCTTACCCCTCATACTTCCATTAAATTGAGTTAATGCCGTTTAGCCGGTCCAATAACTGAACTGGCCGATACTAGACTATACAGTACCTTTTGGCTGTCAGGAACAGATAGATATCCAATTACGATCATCTCTCTCGATGGAGAACGGTGACACTTGAAAGTGGGCTTTGTGGGGCCTGAAGAGTCAATTAGAGAACTCGATCCCTGGATTTTCTTACGTAGTTGGTTTCGGCCTTACTAGGCAGGACTCGGCTTCTATAGATGAGACATGGCAGCGCGAACACAGTGGATAAGCCGAGTAAGTCGCTTCTCTTCCTCTGTCAGACCTACTACCTTCTCGATTACCTGCAAAAGCGGCTGCTCATAGGGTGCATCATATGGGAGCACGCATGAAATCATAACGATCTCAAAGAAGCGGGGATAAAAGCCAGCCGATCCCCAGTTAACAAGACAAAAGAGACACCATCATCCTTGAGGATGAAGTTCCTTCGACAGAGGTCCAGATGGCAGAGCACGAGGGGATGGGGCGCTAGATCGATCGAATCATTGCGTAGCTTCAGACGTTTATTCATGTATGTATTCAAGTCCGAGGCAGAGTTATATACGGTGTTCGCGCCATCATCGCCCCATAGATATCCACGCGGTTCGCCGCCGCCGACGGGGCCAGGTGCCCTCTGGTGGCCTGCTTGGATCTGGCCCAGGTGTACTGCTATCTTTGCAATACGTGGCAGGATGTCTTTGCGGGTTTCTAGATCAACGTCTGCCAGGTTCTGACCTGGCACGTACTCCATGAATAGGTATTCTTTGGTGCGTGCGGATGATCCTTTTGCTTCGATGAAGCGGTAGACTTGGGAGATGTGCACGATGTTAGGATCGACTTTGTTTTATACGAGCTCTTGGGTAGCTACTTCGACGGCTATTACGCCGTAGCCGTACTTGACTGCGATGTGGTCGGAAAGCTGGATGACTTGATCTCCTTCTGTAAGTCCTCTGGTCGCGCCGATTTCCTTCTCGGCCTTGTGGCAGAGGTCGATTAGCCTTTCTTCGTTGACTGTTGCGATGTCCCAACCCATGGTGGCTAAGCTGAGGAGAAAGGTTCGTGATAATGGAATGAGCGGGTTTGTCTGATTTCACAGGGTCATGGGGATATGGATAGTGGTGTTGTTGGACCATCCCCGCGCTTACAGCTCAGCGAGGATGCGGTGAGGCTCATCCTGGCTGATCTCTTCAAATGTCGCTGCAGGAAAAGGGTCGGAGTGAATCCAATTGCATATCAATTGACTGAATGATATGCGTAGTTGAGATGGTGGGTAAAGGTAGTACTGGGGTACTAATAGGAATGCGACCGTCCAATGTCGATCAGCATTTTCTCCACCCGGTCCGCCTTTCTCCTCCGTCATCATCTCCTCTCTCTCACACTTTCATCTCTTTCATCTCTCTGACACCTCCCCTCTTCCAATTCACATTTCTCCGACTATCAATATCTTGTCCCTGACTATCTTATTCATCAACCTACTCAGTTGGATGGATTTTTCATCCGACCCCTCGACTATCTCCGTTCTCCCTGTCTACTCCACCTCCCCGAAACTCCCCACATGTCGTCCACGCACGGAGGCCCTCAACCCCCCGCCAGATCCTCCACCCCAGGGGCGCGTTCGAAATCGAAAGACTCCCAATCCCAACAATCGACCGCGTCGTACTTCTCATATCCAGTCTCCCACGTGATGTCAGGCCTTTACCGTCGTCTGACGGACCCTCCCTCCAAGTCCAACAGCACGAACCGCCGCAACCAAGATTCCTCCTCCTCCGTTACCAACTCCTCGGGCTCCTCGCAGGTCTTCACCCCGGTGCGAACCGTGTCGCCCTTCCAGCCGCCGCCTCTGACGCCCCTCACCCTCAAGGGCGGGAACTCCAGCGTCCTCCAGCAGCAGCTCCTGACCCCCGCCCTGGCGGAGGAGATCCGTCTGCTGGTACCGGCCCGCCTACAACTCTCTGACACTTGGCGACTGGCTTACAGTCTGGACCGGGACGGCGCCTCGCTGTCCACACTGTACGATAAATGTAGCGATATCTCCGATCGCAGCCCGCGGGCGGGCTATGTGCTCGTAGTGCGCGACAGCTCGCCCACGAGCGCCATCTTCGGCGCATATATGACCGATCCCCCGCACCCCGACTCGCACTACTTCGGCACGGGCGAGTGCTTCCTTTGGCGCGCGAGTGTCCTGTCCCCTCCGGACCTCACCCTCCTCCAAGACACCAGCAAATCGCCAGCCTTGCAGCCTTCCGAAGATCTGTTGGACCTGTCGGATCTCCCGCCGCCTCCTAGCGCGGACACCACCAATGCGGGCCGCACGACGACCCTACGCGGCGACAAGAAGGACGAAGCGTCCGGGGACGCTCTTCTGTCTCCGCCGCACGACGGTGGCCGCTCCGCGAGTGGAACCAGCACACCTGATCGCCTTCGGTTCAAGGCGTTCCCCTACAGTGGCGTGAACGATTACATGATGTTCTGTGAGACGGGGTTCCTCAGTCTGGGCGGAGGGTGAGTCTTCTCTATAATCTGTTATCATGTGTCAGAATTCAAGCTAATGACGATCTACAGGGACGGCCGCTACGGTCTCTGGCTCGACTCGAGCCTCGAAAAGGGCGTCAGTGACGCATGCCAAACGTTCGGCAATGAGCCCCTCTCCGACGAAGGCACCAAGTTCGATCTCCTCGGAGTCGAGGTTTGGTACGTCGGGGCATGAAAACGCGACTGTCAACCACCCCAACCGGTAGAAAAAACATCGCCAGCGTGCAATCATCACGTATTGGTGTCACAAAAGTTCACTATGTGTTTTGATTAACCGTACTGGGCACATCTTCATTTGTTCCTTTCCTGTCGTACCTCAGTATGTATTCACAGCTAATACCCATGACCGAGCGTGAGCGGCTGGCTCCGACGTGCGGTGCATCGTTTGGATTCCGTTATGAAATAAACTATGTGAATGAATTGTCATCTTGATGTGGGCGTTGATGTATACGCTCTGTTTCATTTTCCCTATTCGATTCATTTATCCATCGTATACTCCTCTATCGGGCCTATTTCCAATGGCGATGCAGAGAGCGTACGATCTGCAGATGCATAGTCATGCCATCGTGGGTACCGATCAGTTGGGGCCTTCTTATAACCAGAACTGCCACATAGGCACCCAGTGCATTGCACCTTCCCTCCACCAGTTTGCACCTGCCTCCCAGAGCCTGATGGGTTCTACGAAAGAGATTTATCTCTGCTCGTGCCGAAGTCGATAATCGTTTCAACATCACTCTAATCCAACCCATATCTCTCGTTTAGACCGTCATCCGTGCCATTTATCTTATCACTATCCCATATCTTTCATTTATATATACTACTACTTACTCAATGAGCCAGCCATTCCCCAACTACTATCTCACCCGCCCCGACCAAGTCCAAGTCCCACTCATCCCCCTCGACGAACTCCCCCACTGGCTCGAAGTCGGGGCCTGGAACTGGTCCGACACGTCCCTGTTCGAAACAATGAACCCCGTCAGTTGTGACTGCATCCCCCGGAGCGGCGAGTACGAGGTCCTCTGCCACTACTGCGCGGCATCCGTCGACAAGCTCCACCGGAGCGTCTCCCAGCAGAACCCCCCCGGCATACCAACTCCACGAACCACAAGCACAAACACTACCACCGTGCGTCGTCCGGCTTCTTGTGTCGCGGAGAGCACTAAGCAGCCTTGTTCTTCGCTCGTCGCCCAGGGCATCTTGCCCGCTGTGGCGCCGTTTCTTTCACGTCCTACTCTGACGCAGCCATTTTTTCATGCTTCGCTTCGGGCGCCGTTTGTGGGCATGTGTTTGTTGGATTTTGACTCTCCGGTATATGCTCGCTTGCGGCAGTGGCGGAAGGAGCGTGAGGAACGCTCCGGGGGTGAGACGGGTGTCAATTTGGGGAACTTGCAGGACAAATTCTTGATTCGCAAAGGTCTGAAGAAAGAGGATTCGGGTCTGAGATCGGAAGCGTCAGGTTCGAAGTCAGAGGCATCAGTTCAGAAGACGGAGGAATCTGGTCACAAGCCAGACGAATCAGGTCCGGAGCCAGACAAATCAAACCCTAACCCAGAGGAACCAGGTCAGAAACCAGAGGAACCAGCCCTGGTACTACCGATACATGATCACGATCGTCGGCCACTGTCTAAGAATTCCGGAGGATGCGAAGACAATCTTTGCGAGGTTCGATGTCCCGCCGTCGCTTCAACTGATAATCAAGAAGCTTCGGCTGCTGTCCAGAAAGCGCTATCCACATATTCGAGCGGCACGCCCGGTGGTCCTGGGGCTCGTCGTATATACTGGCCTCTTGTAGATCGCTATTGCAAAGGCCTCTTGACCGGTGTCCAGGGAAGCCATCCCGACAACCAAGGAGGTCCATCCGGTCGCCAAGAAGACGGTTCTCCCCTAAACCATGGTGTGGCCCAGGATGAGCAGATTCAATATGTCCGTGGTCTGCAACATGGCGATCTTGAATCAAGGCAGCAAGATTCCGATCAAGAGTCAGAAGCGTCGGCATCGTCTGCAAATGGTCCACTCAGTCCACTGTCAGTAATGCTCAACAGCTTGAATTCTATGCTGTATCCAGGCCAAAGACAGAATCCCCCGCTAGAGAGTGTCTTCACAAGGCAGGATGGGGCGTCGGATGGCCGGGACACACCAGCTTCTCGACGCGAGCCTATTGAAAGCACTGAAGTGGCACTTCCCCAGTTGAGACTCCCAAGTCCCGTTGCGCGTGTCGACTTTGACCCTTGGGCGTTCGATTGCCATATGCCGGGTTCTTGCTCGGATTCTGCGGCGCCTAGTCGTAGGGATGGCCTGCTTAACTCCAGAGTTTCCATCCATTCTACCGATTCTAGGGGTCGTGGGGGGACAACACGAGACTCTGTTGGCTCCCTGTGCTCATGGCAAACAATCACTACAGAACATTCCATGGGAGATGAGGACGGCAAGAACAAAACACACGAAGCGCATGGCGACACCAGGCGGTTGTCCGACTGGGACACGGTTGGCACAAAGTGGTTGAGAAACGAGTGCCGTGTGTTTGGCCTAAGCCCAGTCGTCTCTAGAGACTGGGGAGATGGCGATAGAGACGCGGCGCGTGAAGCCGAAACCACCTTCTTGTCTTTTTGGGATTCATCCAATCCAGAAGAGCCAGTCAAGGGTGATCGACCTGAGGGCAAGACAATTGAAGCTCACGTCAGCCTTGGGGCTTCAAAAAGCGTCATAGTTCCTAAAAAAAGAGACCACGACGCCTTGGATGAGCATGAAATGACAGCGACAGGTAAAGGCATTCTGAAGGCGCAAGCTCCCTTCCCGTCGGTACAGAAGCCCAAACCGACCCATGGGATTCTGAGGACAGGCCCGGTGTGTAGGAGGGCTGGAAATAGGCGCGTCAGCCTCCAACCGAACATTCTTTCCAGGGTATGCGAGGAAAGCAGCCAGGCAGAGGTGATTTCGGTTGATGAACCAGACTAGGGTTGTTTATCTTGCTACGCATTTGATTGCTTTCCTTGATTTCTTTCCTTGTCTGTCACTATTGGGCGACATATCACTATTCTATCCTGGCTTAGTTGCTACTGTTGGCGCGTGATCACTCGATGTAGGATTTTGCTGGCTCATTATTGTGTAGTATTCCTCGTTAAAAATAAATGAACAGTTGTTTTTCTCATGCAGAACGTCTATAGTATTCCTCCTAAGATTTGGGGTGGATAATGATTGCTATATGCTGAACACCTATAGCAATTCTCATTAGATTTGAAATAAGCAACCGTTGCCATATGTTAAGATAAAGAATACATCTATATTATTATCCCTTATACTATCAAGCGAACAATCACTAATCCATGCTAAACATCTATAGTATTCCTACACGTTGAAATGGAACCGACAACGTAACATGCTAAAACAAAAAAAGAAAAAAAAAAAGAAAGAAAGAAGGAAAACCAACCATCTATATATGTACACTCTTCTATCTACTCACCATTCCAACTATGGCTCAATCTCGGGCAACTGATACGACCGCGGCAGCGGCTCCGGCAGCGAATCCCCAGGATAAGGCTGCAGCTGAAATTGTTGCCCGCCCTCCAACGGAGGAACTATATCATTGCTGTGCGCGGAGTCCGAGTCCCAGAAGATGCGTTTCACGACTTGGATGCCGTCTGATGGCCGGCGCGGCATGGTGGGATCTGAGTGGCGGCCGGCTGGGTCTTCGTTGTCGGTATTGGTGTTGACGTCGTTGGTGATGGTGGTTTTTGTGTTGGCGCTGGTGGTGGTGGTGGTGTTGGTGTTGTTGGTATTTTTGGTGTCATTGCTGTTGTTGCTATCTTTGTGCTTGTGCTTGGGGTCGCTATTCTCGGGACAATTGCCCGTTGCGCTGGCTGAGTAGCTTGTATTGGTGTTTGTGAAGCTGCGTGTGGGGTCGTAGGTGGGGGGTTGACCGTCTCGTTTGGAGGTTGTGTTTTTGTCGGTTTGAGTGTCGCCTTGATTTGAGGTTTCTGGTTGTTGTTCTGATGTTGCGAGGGGGAAAAGGCGGGCTATGAGGGGCCGGAGGGGGGGAAGCGAGGCGCAGATTATGGCGACGCTGGATTCGATGAAGGACCAGTTGGTGGCGCTGCTTCCTTCTTCTGGTTGAATTGTTAGTGTTGTTGGGGTTGGTTTGGTTGGGTGTATTGGGGGGTGCGTGTGTGTGTGTGTGTGTGTGTGTGTGTGTGTATGGAAAGAGGTGTCTAAGGTAGGGGATTTACTGGTTGTATCAACCCCTCGTACAAATTCAATTACTTGCCAAAGACGGAGTGAGCTTGTTGCGACGACACTAAAAATGCCGGGTCAGGTTCTGTTGGGGGAAATATAGTCAGAAGAGCATACAAGAGTCCTAGAGCGAATATCACGATCAGGGCGAGTCGTTGGCGTCGAGCTAGGTGGAGCTGCGCCAATGCCGGCATAGGAAGAATGACAGTGAGCAAGTCAGTGGTGATCTGGATGGCGGCGTTGAGACACCAGATCACCATCTGGGGCATGCAGTAGCTGTGGATCGACTTGTCCCAGAACCCGCGGATCGGGGTGCAGAAGAAAATGGTGCTCAACACCACCCAGAGTCCGGTGATTACTACGAAGGTCAGGTAGACGATCGAGACTCGTTGGTAGATCTTTGTTTTGAAGGCGCGGAAGTAGAGGATGCCCATGGAAATTTTGGTGAGATTCAAGGTCAAGTTGTACAACGGGATCGTGATATATAATGCCTGAATTATGGTATCAGGTTGGGTCCATGAAGTAGAAAGGAGTGGCGGGGGGGGGATTCTGCTTTGGTACCTTCATTTGTTGCTGAATGGCTTTGGGACTCAGTGTACTTTCATTCTTTCCTAGACCATTCTGGACCTCTGTATAGTCGATATCAGAACCTATTTGTTGATGTGCGAGTTTGTATATAAGGAGAGAGGGTACGCACGGATAATCGTGAGAACGAAAAACGCAACATTGGACAACTGACCAGCATGAGCGGTTGTCTGATGGTTTGAGAGACCACGTAGAGGTAGCTTACCATGGAAAGAACAAGGAAAAAGTCATCCCACCCTAGGGTGCGAATGAAGAAAACCCTCGTAGAGATCCGCAGGGAGACGAACAGGACAGTCAACGATAGGAAAGTCGTCCCGATTGCCACAACGTACATGGTCCTGCGAGTTGACGATGGCCTACGAAAGAGTGTCTGTCTCCATCACTAGGCTCTGGAAACTCTTGCCGGCACCTCCGCGCTGTTCTAGGGACCGATCTCTCTTTTCATAGCTAGTGGAAACTAGGTAGAATCAAAGCAGACAGTTGGATTCGGGAGGAAGTAGCCAGCTTCCTGGCAGTAGGCAAACCGCAGGGTCTGGTTCCAGATGCATTGCGTCAGAGACTATGTGGGGGACCAAAGTCGGCCATCAGGCATCGAGTGCGAAACTGAGAACTGTGGATCTGCTGCAAAGAGATCTATGCTAGAATGTATTAATGTTTATATCTAGACATTTAAGACTTGATCAGAATACGAGTCGGATTTCTGACAGTCTTGCCTTGACCTTGATGAGTCTGAGTCCATCATGGGGACCCTATCTATGACGGAATTCGAGGACAAAGTAACTTCAGGCACTTGGGCGACGCGGTTATTCAGTATCACATCTCAGCCATCTTATTTTTTTTTTTTTTTTTCAGGTCAGATACGCCACACAAGAGAAGTGAGTAGCTGGTTGATGAGGAGAAGTATACAGCACGCGATATACAACGTGGGGAACCTCAGGATGATTCTGGTTATCGCCATTATCTTATCGTTATCGATCATCGATTACCTCAGATAAGCCAGAATCAACTATTCCTCTTTGGGACAGCAGAGTAGGGCTCCCCTTCCACGTGATATTTCTTTGTCGTTCCGGAGAAACAGTAATTCCGGACCAGAACAAACCAGACAAACAGGGTCTTGGCGGCCAGAGCCGGACTGTGCGATGAAATTCAAACTAGTGGAAAGAGAAAGAGAGCCAGGCCGACCACGAGAATCGCCGCCCAGCATCAACACCCCCACCAGTCGAACTCGACTACCTGATCTTCGATTTTCGCGGTCACTGAACGCTACCTCCCCCCGCCCTCTCCCTATCTCATACCTTCGCCTCCTGATTCCCCCCGTCGGATTGCTTCCAATATGCGACCTATCTTGCTCTCGGGCCATGTGCGTTCCACCCTCGAGTCTTCCCGGACGGGGATTTTCATGTTTTTTTCCTGGCCTTTTGGGGGGAACTTCTGCCATAATATAAAGACAAGGAACTGACGAACTGATCGAAATTTCGCCCCAAATAGGAACGGTCCCTCAACCAGATCAAATTCAACCGCGATGGTGATCTCCTCTTCTCCGTAGCCAAGGATAAGATCGTGTGCGCTTGGTGGTCGGCCAACGGCGAGCGGCTCGGTACCTACACGGGACACCAGGGTGCCATCTGGACCGTCGATGTCAGCCCCAACACTGTCCTTCTGGCGACTGGCTCGGCAGACAACACCGTGCGGCTATGGAACGTGAAGACCGGCGAGTGTGTGAAGGTGTGGGACTTCCCTACGGCTGTGAAGCGCGTCGAGTTCAGCCCGGATGGAACCAAGTTGCTGGCGGTTACCGAGAAGCGCATGGGATTCTTGGGCACGATTGCGGTGCTGGACATCAACTACGGTGATGGTCAGGGTAACTTCGAGCCTCAGGCTGAGGAGCCCAGCCTGCGGATCACCTGCAATGAGAGCAAGGCGACCGTTGCCGGCTGGGGTTATATGGGCAAGTACATCATCGCTGGCCATGAGGATGGCAGCGTCAGCCAGTACGATGCGAAGGTATGGTGGTCTCCCGAGGCGCGTCGGTGGTTGGTTGGTAACTCACATCTTGTCATCATAGACCGGAGATCAGCTGGAAAACGTCCAGGCGCACGAGTTCGACCTCCAGATCAACGACATCCAATTTTCCCCCGACCGCACCTACTTCATCACCGCCTCCAAAGACAAGACCGCCAAGGTATGTATCATATATGCATATATATATATACGCTTATACTGACCAACTCAGCTTTTGTCCACCCGTAACCTCGCCATCCTCAAGACCTATCCTTCCGATACCCCCCTGAACAGCGCCACGATTACGCCCAAGAAGGACTACGTGATCCTGGGTGGTGGTCAGGCCGCCATGGATGTCACCACCACCTCGGCCCGGCAAGGTAAATTCGAAGCTCGCTTCTACCACAAGGTCTTCGAGGACGAGATCGGCCGTGTCCGTGGTCACTTCGGTCCCCTCAACACCGTTGCCGTCCACCCGGCCGGCACGGCCTACGCCTCCGGTGGTGAGGACGGTTACGTGCGTGTGCACCACTTCGACAAGTCCTACTTTGATTTCATGTACGAGGTTGAGAGAGAGCAGATGAGGCGGTAAAGCGAGCATCATTTAGGGATTTCCTTTTACTTTTTTTCTTTTTCTACCTTTTTTCCGCCTTTTCCCCTTTTTTCTCTTTTTCCTTTTAATTTCCTTGTCATTTCTTTCCAGATTACAGATCACGCACTGTATGTATGTGTCATGAGGTGAAGACGTTTTTTTACACCAAAAAGTAGAAGAGCCGACGGATGCGGGCACAAGAAGCTATCTATCTATGTCTTGGGGCAACTCAGGGTATGAATCCTTATTACAATGATTCCAGGAGTTGGTACCATTTCTGTTTTTATTTGTCTCTGGTCGTTACTGTGATGTCAAGGAAAACCCTCTCGTCTTTTCAAATCGTAATTTCATTAGACTACTTCCAGGGGAAACAGTGGCAAAGCGTTTGATATGAATAAAATCATGGGTTCATTTATGCGAGATATCTTCCAATTTTGGGTTTTCTTTTATTGATCTAAGCTTTCTATCAACAACAGGCTAGCGCTTTTTCCGACCAGCAGAACATAGAGATACCATGGAGTCTCATTCATTGCCCGAATATGCATATCATGATAGCCCAAGTCCTTCAAAACCAAGGGTAAGAATCAGAGGAAATAAAAAAATAAAAAAAAAATGAGAAAGACGATAAAGCCGACACCCTAAGAAAGAACGATAAAAAAGGAAACAAGGTTTAACGATATCCAGATTTATTTCTTCTTAGGGAACTTGTCCTGTCCGATGTCTGCGCCTCTCAGCTTGACGTTGAGCACGCGCTCCATGGCACTGAGCACCTTCTGGTCCGGGGTGGCGGTTCCCTTCTCGAAATCTTGGATGACGGTGGCAGTGGTGTTGCACTTGGTGGCAAGTTCCTTCTGTGTCATCTTGTAGCCTTCCTCGTTCCGGCGCTTCTTGATGGCGTCTGCGACCTGGTACCCCACGGTCTTGGGCTTGACGATGTCATCGCTGCGATCAACCTTGGTCAAGTGCTGGCCTTCGGGAGCGGCCGAGCGTGCGGACTAGATTGTACTCCGTTAGTTGACTTTGTTTTGATGTTCGGGTGTCTTATAGCGCGGGTCAAGGGAGGGGGTACGACTGCGTTGCCGCCCGGGAAGGGAATAATAATGTGTGATTTACAAGGAGAAAGGGAAAAGACTTACAGTGTTGCCAGAAGCATACTTCTTCTCCGTACCGATGACCAGACCCTGACGTTGAGCGGCGTTCAGGGCGCTCTTGCCCTTGACGACGGTCTCGCGGGGGGCGGCACCGCCACGGTGCTTGCTGCCGATCTTAGTGACGTTGTCCCAGTCGCTCATTGTGAAAAGAGGGGTGGCTGATAAGGTTTTTGAAAAGAGAGGGGTAGGGAGGAAGACAAGATGGTGGTTGGTTCGAAAGGTGGCGGTGATGGGGTGGATAGTAGTGAGAGAAGTGAGGTTTTGACGGAGAAGATGTGGCAGAACAGCCAAAGGAATTTATATCGATGACACAGAAGCTTCTCGAGCCCTGGGATGGCGGAGTCGGAGGGGTGGTTGGCGCTAGCCTTGATTAGGGTTAGCGGTCTGACATCATCGCCCCTCGGTTCTTTCACCAACCAGAGTTGATACTGTTGGACCCTTTCTCCTCCGCCACCATATCTGATGTGGTATAGAAGGAAACAAACAATCTGTTGCAGGGACTGTGAGGGATGGTGAAGTGAGTCAACGAAATGCTGCAGGTGTAACTCGCTGGTTGTTGGTCAATTCAACATCATCCTTGCTTGATTGCCCCTACTGGAATCTGACTCACTGGGGCCCTGTCACGGGAGTCCCAGCTTTATGATATGAATGTTTTCTTTATAAATTAGTATTTGTTGCTGTTATTGGTTAATGGCTATTATAAATTTTGAATTTATCTATTCTTTATTCAACTTCGGGGACTACTTATGGACTAGTTCTCGGTTCATTGCGGATATATATAGATGATCCGCTGTCAATATCCGGACGCATACAATATTATATATCGTACGATGCATGTATTTGTCAATACACATACACATATTTCAATGTCACCCTTGATTGAGCTATGTGACTTCCAATGATTCAATGAGAAAGGAATCTGGGTTATAGTCTTCCTCTTGGCCTGTCATAGATGATGCGACAATCTCACTCCCAAGGTACCACTATAGAGTCTGTACTTATATCTGATCAAAGCCGTCACAAGGCCAGTCAACGCTGATCAACTGTCAGCGGTAGTCTGGTCTGTGCCAAGAGTTCTATTTGTTCCTAAATGGGGCAGTTCGAGCACAGCCTACCTCAATACTACCTACCTGCCTACCTACAGAAAGAGCAACAGCCTTGTGTTATGCCAAGGTGGTGACATGAATGAATTGGACTCAATAGGATATCCCAACAACAAAATGGTTTCAACCATTCAATATCAATTGTGAACTAGACAAAGCCTATAGTCAATAGATCGAAGTGGATACAGAGGCAGGACCAACCTGAGGGATTAGGCAGATGTGGCACCCCCACCAATAGGAGAGAGTCTAGCCCACCTGCCCCAGCGGAATGCCAGGAACCTCAGGCTCCATCGGCCGGATTCATTTAATACTTCGCCCATCGATCTATCCACCATCCATCCATCCATCCACCATCTATCCATGATCCATCCCATTCATTCCTTTATGGTCGGACCGTTGTCCTCTTCTTTTTCTTGATTCTACTCTATTCTCTTACATCATCACCGGTCTTTACGTCTCTATCCTTTGTACTCATCCTTCCCAACTGGGTCTCCAGCTTATCGTCGACCCTTCCCCTCTCCATTCGTCATGGCTCAGAGCGACTTTATCAATGCGATGACCAATCGGTCGCTGCGCACTGTCCGTGCGGTATGTATCTGTCGCGACCCTTGTTTATCATGGCAGCTCTTTATCTTTAAAATACCTTGGTGATGGCCCTCTAATTGTTCTGTCGCCGCTTTAGGAACTTGATTTCCTCGCGGATGCGTCCGTTCTTACGCCGCAGCAAGTATCGACCATTCTGGCCAACCTACCCGAAGAGAGTATAAGTCGGACCGCGAGCCCTGCACAGCAACCCCCTGTGCATCAGCCTCCCGTCCTATCTCGGGTTCAGTCTCCGCCGGCCCCTTATTCTCCTCCGGCCCCCTACTCTCCTCCTACAAACCAGTTTGCCAACACGACGTTGAACGAGAAGGCTCCTACCCAGCAGCCCCCCACGCCGCACCAGTATCCCAGTCCGGTTCCTGCTGGCCCCCCTCCTGCCTACCCGCATGCCGGACCCCCCGTTCTGTCGTTCGCCACAGCGCTATATGCGTATACTCCCACGGACCCTGGAGACTTGGCCTTGCAGCCGCACGACCGGATCCAGGTTCTGGAGCACATGAATGCGGACTGTATGACTGACCCTACTTTTTGCAAGTATGCCCCTAGCTGACATACGATCTTTTTAGGGTGGCGTGGTCGCAACGAGCGCACCAGCCTCGAGGGTATCTTCCCTCGAAGCTACGTCAACGTCATCGAAGAGAAAGGGGCCGTCGCTCCTCCCCCGACCAATTATGGAAACGTGCCCCTCGAGGTGAGCCAGAGCGGCTCCGGTCCCGCTGACCCGAATCAGAAGGAGAATGGCAAGTTTGAGCAACATGGCAAGAAGTTTGGCAAGAAGCTCGGCAACGCTGGTAAGTTCCCCGCACCCTTGACGCTCGCACATCAGCGGTCACGATTGGACCATTGCGATGATGATTCCCATACATCTGTACCACGATGGTAAATTGGTGACCTGACTGACTGGAAAATCTTAGCCATCTTTGGTGCCGGTGCGACGGTCGGTTCCAACATTGTGAATAGTATTTTTTAAAGCCACAGTCACCTGCGTTTCTGAACCCAATTGGTCACATAGGCCTTTTGGTTGTTAGTGTTCGAATTGGTCTTGTTATCCCCTTTAGTTTGTACCATGGGACTGGCGTTGGTGGTTTCTATGTCTGGTAGCTTTGACCCCTTGAAATGGACGAGTGTGCCACAAGAATGATCCTATTGTGGGCTGAGGGATACCTTTGATAATAGAATTATTGATACTCCGTACAATCTCCCGTTCTTGGAGGAACGTGTTGTGGTGCTTTGTAACATGCATTAAGGGTTACAACTACCTGGATATTCCCGTGACCAAACGCCATCTCATGAATTTACCTCCCAGTTGGGCTCTTTCCACATCTACCAAACTAGTCTTGCTCCCCTTGGTCTTTCCTCTTCTGTTCCTTAGCTGCCCCTCTAGTAATAACCAATGTACGACGGACGGAAGGTGGGTCAACCACCCACGTCAGACATTTAAGCGCCCAGCTTTAGGTCGTTTCACCTCACTACCGACAAATCACAACGCAATCATTCCCCGTCTGCATGCCACACAATGGGCGGCTAGCAACAGAGCCCGACCCCCCTGTTCATTGGTCGAGACTATAATTGATATTCGAACCGCTAATAAGGAGCACACATCGACGACCAGGATGCTGCTTGCGGGGGGCTGTGGCAGGCGGCAGGCGAGGCTGAGGTACATATGTCTCTGGTGAGATTCGCCCCTCGGCCGAGTTTCAACAGAGGAAAATAAGAAGTCAAGATGGAATTGAATTCTTGCTGTGGACGACTGGTTTAATGCAGTGGTTTTGCACTGTGTGGGCGTTGTCTAGTTGCCCCTCTTGTATGTGGTCCAGCCAGTATGTCTAGTGGATGGGATCAATTCACGGATAATCTTGCGACGGATTTGGTACGCACGTCCGACCCCTCCACCCTTTTTTTCTGTTAAATTTGAAACCCGACTTCTAGTTTTGGAAAACATGGGCATGGTCGCTAACTGCACCAGGCACCACTTATTACCCTCTTCGGTGAACGCCTCACGAAGCAGTTTCTCTCCGAGTCGACCAGTCTTCTAGACAACTTGATCTTTGCCTTTTCCCCTCTGGGAATTTTGACTGCGGTTGTTTCAGTTATTCGGGTTTGCGGAAACTCAACACTGCGCGCATTTATTGGACGGGCTCAAGAAGGCCCAGGAGAGGCGGAGCATGAGCTCCTCTCGTGCGTTTCCGAGACTACGGCCGAATTATTCAACAACGGTGGCATATCTAGGGTATTTGGACGACCTCAAATTCTCGAGGTAGTAGTATGGAATGAAATCGATCCTACTACCAAGGAGACCGTTCGAAAAATTGGAACGCTGCATCAAGCTATCCTGGAAAATGCTTGGATTGTGGGGGAGGGCCGCTCAATGCTGGACATTAGGGGGTATATGCCGGAGCTTGATATCCCAAACTTGTCGTTGAATAAAGGCATTAAACGGAGGAGCCAGGGCTGGTTCTACTGCGCTGCGGCGCTAGGCATTGGTTTGCAAATAGGTAAGTTTATAACATTCTCCTTGGATTTCCGACGAACCCTCGAACAAGAATATACTCTAAGACCTCTGTTGACAGGTACACTCGCATATGCTGCGGTCACGGTTTTTATATATCCCAAGCAATTTCTCAAAGATGGAGACCCGGTGCAGAGCTACGCGTTCCCGTTATTTGTATTTGGCTCGGTGTTGCTCTGTATGGGAATGTTTCTTTGCGCATACATCATCGAACGCTCTTCTACTGAGTGTTATCTTCACCCTGCAACACCAAGTACGATGTATTGGTTACAACCCGGGCGACAGGACGTTGGCGACCAAGTTTTTGGTGCTTTTCTTGGAGTCGATGAAGGCTACGAAGCCCCACCCACGGACGATTTGGCGTACGTCAAATCCGTGAGAGGACGTGGACGTAACGAAAGGGGGCCACTTCTGTTATTCACCATACTGATCACCTTGATCGGGTTTGTCGTCCAATTTGTCGGCATCCGCGGGCTGCACTCGTCTGTTATCATAGCAGTAATGGGGTCGACATTGTTGATGGCCATTGTGCGGACATGCCTCCGGGCCAAAAGAATCGGCCCCGAAGAGAATCGTATGACGGAGGCTGAGCGGCAACTGACGGCTCACAAGAACCAAGAGTTGGACTGCTTCGCTTTTCACCTGGAGAACGTGCACACCTTCAGTATCATCTCGAGCAGCACCAGACGTCCCCAGTCCAGCACCCAACCGTCTGACGATGTATCAACCGAAAGTGCGACACCTCCAACTAGTCTGGGAACTCGACTGATACGAACGAGAACCCGCTTAGCTCAGCTTACCTCAATCCAAAGCCACCACCCGAGTATGAATTGGGACGGCCTCCCTATACGCCAGGCCGCGCAGAGCCTCGCAAATACGATCGAAAAGACGATGAATCTCGTGTCCAGCTGGAAGGCCACAACTGACGACACAGCAGAGTTTGATATTGCGTTTGTGTGCGATGAGTATCATCTATACCCAAATGCAGATGTGGAAACGTATACGATCACACTTTCAAGGCCTGACGGAACGCTACATTGGCGGGTTGACGAAAATGAGCTGGAGGCCATCCTTGGACTATGGGCTTGGTATTTGATCAAGATCAATCCAGATTGGGTCCATCACAACTTTGGCAGGCTTGTGGGGCTGAATCTAGCCCAGGCTACCGCCGAGGAAACCGATCTCGACTATTATAGATGGATATACCGGCATACGGAACCGAAGATGGTTTCGAAGAGCATGGTAAACCTCCCTGACCAGATGTTCGGTAACTGGTCAGAAGAGTACCTCGACGACAGGGAGATTCTGGCGGTAAAAACCGGGAACTGCTTGGAGATCATGGTCGCTCAAGATATCTACGTGCAGTTTCTCAGGAGCACTCTCGGGAACCTACAACACTTGGGCGGTGATGTTGATCTGCAGCACGGCCCACAAAGCGGATTCTTCGTCTACAATAGCCGCCTGGATGAGTTAGTTAACTGCTTTGAATCCGCCAATTTGGGTACCCGAGAAGATGCATTGCTGTGTATTGTGCCGGTGTTGCAAGACCAGTGCATGTTGCCCGAGCTGGCAGGCGACTCGAAAAACATAAGAACGCGTGTCGGGCAAGCCATAGCAAACAACAACTGGCCAAATGCATTTTCGATCCTTCACTGGCTTTGTGAGCGTTCACATGGAGCCGAGTTTGAGCATTCGCTGTTCGAGCTAGGCTACCTCTGCCGTCGTGCCATGGTCCATCCTGATACCGACATCCAGAATGAAGGGTATAACCAAGTATATATTGCAGTAGAAGACGACCCAAGAGCAAGATTTTTCAAGACTTCGAAGATTCAACGATCAGCCGAGTGGATGTCCACAGATAGGCGACCGGAGCGTTGGAGTGAATTCGTCTCGCAACTTGGGTGGATCGCCTGGAACATGGCTGAAAACCACTGTGACAAAAGAGCTATACAGGAGCGCTTGGAAAACTTTGGAATAAACGCAAGATCCGTCCCCGAATCCGAAGTGAACAGCAGTCTAGCTGAGGGACAGGCAGCAGAGCAGGCCGTGCTACAGTGGCTGACCACTAGCGACGAAAAGTTCCTCAATCGTCAGGGCCCCGGGATGGAGGACCGGTCGGCACTGGACTGGGTATGTCAGAATGGCCACCATGCTCTCATGCATTGGCTCATCACCAGATGGGTCGAATATGACGATAAGAGGCCAGGGCTCGTCTACAACGCTCTCCTCTGGGCCGCTGAAGGACGTTATCGAGAAGCAATTGCCGCGCTCTGTCGACGAGGAGTGGATATCAACATGCACGAGCCAGATGACGAAAGCGGTCTTACACCATTGATGCGGACAATTGCAGTGACAGACCGAAGCGCAGCTCTGGTGTTGCTTGAAGTTGGGGCCGACGTCAACGGTAGAGATAAACGAGGGGCAACTCCATTGATGACCGCTAGTAACACAGGAGACGAGGAGACAGTTCTCCGTCTCTTGTCCCTTAGTGCCCAGATCAATGCACAGGATAACAACGGGTTCAGCCCACTCTTCTGGTCGACGATCAGCAACCAAGTGGCCGTTGCTAAGATACTCCTAGACCACGGTGCCCGTGTCGACCTAGGTGGATTTGGTGTAAGTACACCACTGATCAATGCTGCAGCAGAGGACCTCGTGGAGATGGTAAAGCTGCTTCTCTCCCGAGGCGCAGATGTAAACGTCCAAACATACGAGGGTTCTACGGCATTGATTCTTGCAACCCGAAATAAAAACACAGAGGTTGTGAAGCTACTGTTGGATTACCACGCCGACGTCCATAAACAGACGTCAAGTGATGAAACCGCCCTTGACTGGGCAGAAGGGATGTGCTATCTCGAGGGGATTGAATTATTAAAGCAGGCATATTCAAGATCATCATGAAGGGACTCAAGAGCGGTTTACATATGTTGATGGATTTTTTTTTATGCCAAACAAGGGAGAATTAGACGCATAAGTAGAATACTAGATATACCTGCCCAAGGATATGACTTGATGTCACGGTATCTTTGTCTGAGGATCCCCTACTATTTCTCATTTTATTTTTATTCTGCCTTGTCCTCCTTCCCCCCGCTTCTCCGCCCCGTTTCATCACCACTCTTGGAGTTCTTACATCGCGGGCTATCTACCCGAGCACTCCCATTGGAACTTGGCTGATGCATAGACGTATTCGATTGGGTAGATGATCCTCTGTTTAAAGACACTGGCGATTCGACATGATCGGCTGTGCTGGCCTGCAGGCTGCAGGCCCTATCACATCGCTCACGAACTAGTTTCGCTAAGCGCCGCCTAGGATCTCTCGAAGCAATCAACGTCCATCATGTCAGGTCTCGGCGTCTACACAGACCATGCGATGTCCATGCAGACGGTCTCATTCAGTCGAGTCTGCTGGCGGGGGAACCTATAATAACCGGACGTTTCCTTCCCAAATTCTATTATGGGAGCTTTCTTGTTTGATTTATACCAAGTCGAAGAAGGCTCACGATACCTTTATACATATAGCCTCCCCCGCGCTTTAGTCCTGCCCGTTGGTTTTTCTCAGATCAATTCAATAGCGGGGTAGTCATACAAGAAGATCCGCGTCGTTGCGAGCATCCTCCTACGGAAAAGCCAAAAACTCACGACCGAAAATGACGAATTATGCTCCTCCAGCCCAGGAGATTCAATATCCTCGTGAGTCTGCCAATTCTAGCAAGGAAAAGCAATTAAAGCTGATGTTCATTGCCAACAAGCCCCTCCAAATGCTGCAGGTACACAAAGCTCTACTATGCCATCCTCTATCCGCATTGGAACCATCCTTACAGTGTGCAGGCTTCCAGCAGAACTCTCAGGTTTCTGCAGCATATCCTCCTCCGAACTTTAGCTACCCGCCGCCTCCCAAGCAGCCGGCATCTCCTCCGGTGACCGGATCTAATAACCCGTATGCAGCGAGCGTATCTCCTCCTCCGCAATCCTCGACACCTCAGCCTGCTGCCCCCGCTGTGCAACCCCACAGATCATCTGTCAGCTCGGCGCAATTTGGCCCGCCCGTTAATGCGACCAATCAAGACGAAGTCGGCACGTTCAATGGTGGGAGCTTCAGAGTTAGCCATCGAGACAGCAATTCGATTGTCACCCTGCAGTTGGCTGTGGGCTGTCCGATAGAGGCCAAGCCAGGTAGGCGTTGCTCTTTTTAGTTATACTTTTGGCTTGATACTGAGGCGTGGATCTGGTTGATCCAAGGAGCTGACTATAAGCTTAACAGGGGCGATGATCTCCATGTCTCACACCATCTCAGTCAGGGGAAAGATAAGTTTTTCTCTGAAAAAAATGTTTGCCGGCGGCGAGATGTCATATTCGATCTTCACTGGACCTGGTGAACTCTTACTGGCTCCATCAACCTTGGGCGACATTATTGTTCTGCGCTTGAATGGCACAGATTCGTGGAAAGTCGGCAAAGATGGATTTTTGGCGTCGACAAGCGCTGTCCAGAAGGACTACCAAAGCCAAGGGTTAACCAAAGGTGTCTTCTCCGGCGAAGGACTGTTCATTTACAAGATGAGCGGATCAGGCCTTGTCTGGCTGCAGAGCTTTGGTGCTATCATCAAGAAAGATGTAAGGACATTTCTTTCCCAATCTACAGTGCCATGCATAGTCTTTGCCCTGGCTTGACAGCTGACTGGAACCGGTTTTCATTTTCTAGCTCCGTGACGGTGAGGCATATTTCGTCGACAACGGCCATCTTGTGGCGTGGAATTGCAAATACAGGATGGAGCGTGTTGCTGGAGGAGGCATAATGTCCAACCTGGCCTCCGGAGAAGGTCTCGCGTGTCGCTTCGACGGCCCGGGGACCGTGTACATGCAGACGAGAAACGTCCAAGCCTTTGCCGCCCATATCGGTGCGCATACTGCCAGTAATTGAGGGCGGATAACGGTAGATTGATGCTTATGAGCTGGTCTCGGAACAGTGTTATTGTTTTTGGTTCGTATTTCCTTTATCGGGGTTTCTGTTGTCTTCATTTGTTACTTGGGAGCGAAATGCACCTGTATATGATGATATATAGCATGTTTCATTAATGAGTCCCTTCTCAAGACAAACAACCTCTTCGAGGATACAGCCTACTGCATTATCCTGACATAACACAAGAAGCGAACAATATACAAGCATATCAAACCATGTACCAGTCATTTCATTGATGCCATGCTAAATCTTCACATCGTCTCTGAAAGCTTTTAAAGAACTCCCCCCCGTCTCCCCCAAATCAATCTCTTAACCAACACAATCTCGTTCCCCCCACACTTAACACGACCCACAACGAGAAGGCAAGAAACATAAGAAGAAAATCTTTATACGAGAGAAGTAATGGGAGGAAAGCAAAAGTCGAGAATCGCCAGGAAGAGAGAGCGAGTAAGAGTAAAGGGGGAACGCTACACGATGTAGCCAGCTCTTTTGCTTCCGTACACACAACCTCTTCCCCAAGAGAAACAAAACAGGACAGAAAGATAAAAAAGCTTTTTCGAGCCCGTTTAACCCTGTCTCTTTCTGCGGCCGACTTGGCCACGGAAACCGGTCTTGATGGCCGCGACGGAACGACGAGAACCGCACGAATTGCAGGTGACGAAGTACAGACGGTTCTCACCTTTGTTGAGCTCGGTGTCGCCGCTGCGGCAGGTTTTGCAGGTGACGTATTCGACTGGAAGATGTTAGTGGTATGAACGGGGGGTTTTTTTTTTTTTTTTTTGAAAACGAGTAATATCCCAAGAAGGGAAAAAGGGAAGACATACCGATGTATTTTCTCAGGACGTTCTCAATCTGCTTCTGCTGGAAACGACCCTTGATAACCAATCGTCGCGAACCGTCCACACTACCGCTGGTACCCAATTCCGCGAACAGGAACTGCATGACGTGGTCGTCGGACCGCTTCATGCGCTTGCAGATATCGGCAATGTTGGCAAAGATGGTACGACGGTTACCCTCACGCAGACACTGCGGGGGCGGGATCTTGTAGGACTTGGTGCCGCTGGAGAGCATATCCGGGTGGTGGCTCTGGATGAGGGAGAAGAATCGCGAGACGAGCAGCGAGTAGGGGATGGATTGCGTGGCGTCGTGGGCCCAGATGCCCGTGCCGGCCTCGAGATCGCCCTCGGGCAGCTCTTCCTCCTTGGGCTCGCCGTCGGCGGTCTCCTCGCGCTCGCCCATGCCGGCCTCGGCCAGCTTGGCCTCGAAGTCGTCCACCTTCTTGGTCTTCTTCTTCTTCTTCTTCTTCAGCGCCGTCGGGTCGAACTCGTCGCCGGCCGCTGTGGGGGTCTCCTCGTCGCCTTCGCCGGCTTCGCCCTCCTTGGGCTTCTTGCTCTTCTTCTTTTTCGTCAGGCCCTTGAACATCTCGGTGACCTCGTCGACGGACTTGTCGCCGGCCGCTTTATCATTGTTAGAACATCAAATTTTTCTGTTTTTCGATATCTCCAAAGGAAGTAAAGACATACCCTCTTCGGCGACAGGCTTCTCAACCTGAGGCGCCTCTGTGACCTCTCCTTTGGTATCCATGATGACGGTACCTTCGCTAAAGGCGACGGACTTGCGTAGCTTCTGTGGTTCGGTCTGAAAGTCAACCCCGCCGGGTAGCGTTAGCCTAGGCGATCTTGTAAAAAGTCTCGCGGGGAACAAAAAAAAAAGGCAGTGTTAAAGATGGAGACGATGGAAACAGAAAAAGACACTCAATAACCCGAGTACACAAAATAGATAGGTACGTCGGGATTAGTAGAGGGTCAAGTGGGTAGTGGGCACAATGGAGTCGTCGTAGAAATAATAGCGGCCAAAGCAGAAAATGTGGGCGAATGATCGGTAAAGAACAAAACAGGGGGTGACGTACAGTCTCCGCCATGGTGATAGGGACTCTCTCTAGGGGACAGACACACAGCACAGATCGATGGAAAAATGAAACACTCACACCACAGTTGAAGAGGAGGGATTCTGGGTCGCAACTTGGGTCGTCGTGAAGCTTTTGGATCAGCCACGGTGATTCCCATCCAGCCGTTCCAGCGATGGCGACCGGCGTTATCGGGTCACGTGAGATGACTCAACTGTACACCGTACCGTATTTATGGTATTACCCCCCCTCCGTGAGGACACCGCCCGTTCTGCCGTGACAGCAGTATCGTTGCCTGAGGTATGAATATTATCCCAGTAATAGATTACATCAGCCACCACTTATGCATGATGCATGCATCCACACCTCAGGCAGACGCGGATCTTCCAGGCGGAACTCCAACTTCCAACCTATCATCCTCGCATCCTCGCATCCTCCCACCTCCTTGCACCTCATTCAGTCGTTCGCGCTTGCAGCATCACCCCCCTCCATGCTGCAATTCTTCTCCAAGCGGTAGGCAGGCCACTGCTTGAGCAACATTATCACAACACCACAACTCCATCTCACCATCTCGAAGAACGATCGACCAATCATCCACCCATCAATCCGACCCGACATCACCCACCTCTCAAACAACACCCATCCCCATATTATCCACAAACATGGCCTACCAATCCCCCTCCGCCTCAAACCCCTCCCTCACAACCTCCGCCTACATGGTCCCTGACCCCTCCACCGCCGACCCCAACGCGGCCTACTCCTCCGACGAAGACGAGATCGCCTCCCTGCCGTCCGAATCCACCACGTCCTCCGAGCTCGCAACCCTCTCCGACGATTACTCCGACGCCGAGGAGGAGTGGCGCGAGAGTATTGAGCAGCTGGAGCTGCTGCTGTCGATGGTGATCGTGCCGTTTGTGGGCAAGTTTTTGGGCCGCAAGTGTGCTTATTGGGGTATGCCTTAGTTCCTACCTTCATCTTTCCCTTGTTATATCTTCTTTTGGACCTATTCCTCCAACGTATATATATGTGTATATGTAAAGTCTAACGAAATTCAGGCTGGACGCGCTTCATGGAATGGAAATACCCCGTCGACATCATCGTCAAGAACCAAGCTGCCTTCAAGGGTGCCGGGGTCGTCGGGGCCCTCGCGTCGCTGTGAGAGTCTCTCCCCGGTGCAGGATAAAGGAGAATTCATTATTGAAGATTCTCGGTATACATATACAACATACACATGCATGGATGGTCAGGTCATAGCCTGAAGGTCTTGTTTGTGAGTGGCATACTTGGCTTGGCTTGGTTGGCTTGACTATCTGTTGTGATGGATGGATGGATGGATGGACTGTACCGCTTGTGTTGCGGGGAACTCGGTCCGGATTGTTTACAGCGCGTCGGCATAACTTGAGAGCAGAATTTTATACCCAATTGATCCTTTGAGAGTGGTAGTATTATACTTTCGCCGAGCATACCTTAAGCGCAATCGATGATTTTGTTGGAGTAGTGGTGGAGAACTCCAGCTATACCATGACATGCATGAATATCCTTTTATATGAGACCCAGCTCTCATCCAATCTCTCGCTTGCCAGGAAGAGAGAGAGAGACCTATCTAACCCCTCCTCCCAGAACTCCACCCTCCAGTATCAGCCCGCCGACGCCTATTCACAGCAGCAACATGTCCCCTAGCCGTAGCCCTTCTCTCCTCCATGCCCTCCAAGCATCCAAACCCCGTCCCCTCACTAACATTCTCCAGCGCAGGTCTCACAAAATAGCTAGGGGCGCCGCACCCGTCCGGTATAAGGAACCGTTCAAGCGGGCTCTCGATGCAGATCCCAGGGCGCTGGTCAAACAGTTTCAAGTCGCCCATTAGCTGCTCCAGGTGCGTCTCTCCGGTGGATGATTGCTGCGCTAGGTGCGTCTGGTGGAGGTGGAGGTCGGAGACTATGTCGGGACCCCGGGAGGTGATGTCGTTGGTTTGGTGGGTAGCGGACGTGGCCGTGTTCAGGGAGGTGTAGAACTGGTGGATTCGCTCCTCTTTGATGATTTTTTCGACCCAGGGGATGATAGAGTCTGTTGGGTGTTCCTGGGACCTTGGTTTAGGGCTGATTGGGTCCATTGGTGGAGAGGCAGACTTACGCATTGGAAAGATTGGTCATGCAAGGCGAGGTTGGACTCAGTCAGTTGGTAACTTGTGAGGCTGGGCGCCATTTTCAAGGCGGGATATGATTGAGAATACAATGCTATGGTGGTAGTCGTGTTCGTGGAAGAAGAATGGGCATAACGAGGACCGGTGGTCTGGGAGACAAGTCAGCCAACGTCGGAACCCTTCTTATACCCGGGGTTCCAAGTAACTACCAGTCGAGATATGAGCCGCAACTTCCCTCTCCACTGCCAAAAAAGCAACGACCAACAGAGGGCTTCATTCCGCGAACCTGGAACTGTCATCCACGTCAGAAGGCTATCCCAGAATGCGCCTTTTCCATGACTGCAGTTGGACTGACCACCAGGAACGCGACCACATGGACTCGGGATCGTCACGTAATCTAACCCCCGGTGATTGAACAACACCGGGATTTGATGGGATGTGATTAGGCAACTGGGGACTCCTACTTTCCTCGGAGTGAGATGCATAAGCTCATGCAACTAGGTGCCACATTGGTACGCTGGATCCCAGCAAGACGCGCCCACAGTCTCAGCCAGGCTGCGGATATGAAACGGTCGTTTCCGAAAATCAGGGCAAAGGATTCATTCCCCCGCTCACGTCGCAGGGTTTCAAGGGACTCAGCTATGTCCTTAGGGCTACACCGCTGGCCCCGAGCGACTGGGATCAACTAGTGTCACCATCGTTGGGTCGAGGATCAACAGGCCCTTTCCCTAGTTGGTGACTGGACAAACCACCCTAATGATCTCTTGGACGACAGGGAGAACAAAAGAAAAGAAAAGAAAAGAAAGAACGAAAGAGGGAACAAGCCCAATCTGCCCTGTTGATTTTATCATATATGACGATGCAGTCGCTGACCCATCCTCACGGTTTCGGGGCATGATTGCCCATCTCTTTTCAGGTGTTTGACAAATTAGCCCTGTCAGGGGAGGGGTTGTTTAATCATAGTCCATGCCTTATCCCTTTAGCTTGGATAATAGGTCCCTGCTAGATTCATGGGTTCTTGGCTTACCGACCGCTTGGGTGTGTGGATCCCAAGATGCTCCGCGCCATGGCCCACCGTAGGGGCAGAGCGCCGTGTGGCCAGCCTATCAGAACCAAATAGTGGCCGCGGGGCCCGCCGGGCTGGTCGTTCTGGACCATTGGGTCCATATCAAGTTGTCAATAGTCGGACTAGTATGTAGGTACTTCTGTCAGATGCAGACTGCCCAGTACGCTCAGACGGATCATCGGCTTTTTGGATTGATGTCGACCCACTCATCAGGCAAGGTTTCAGGCTGGGCAAACAGACCCCGTACTAAAACTTGATATTGGATCCGAGGCTGCGTTGTCAGATGGTATTATAGGTGTAGGTGATTGAGCATGTCAGGGATACCGCTCGTTTGGAGTCTCCTCTCCAGCATCAAGTTCCGTCTCGCACGCTTTGTCTTTATTCCCCACTTGGTAGCCTGCGCTTATTGGCTCTGTTCCCTAGCCTTATACGACTTGCATCTTCCGTCCCAGTGGAGTGGTTCATCCCGTGGTAACTGATAGGTATCGCATATCTCCTTTATGGACACCTCTTCTGCCCAACAACCGAAAGTGTGTCAAATGACCTTGCAATGTTGATTGCTATTGGCCTGATAAGCAAGCCAAATGCCCCTGTCAATTGCTAAGTAGTCCCCGAGTCAGAGAGTTTGCTCAGCGCCTGTGCCCTTGATGTTTGAACGTCAGACCGTACCTGATGTGCTCGGAGACGGTATCCAGATCCTCGGGTCCGAGGAGCCCATTGCAAATTCAGCAAGAACATGTAAGCCAACACTCCAAATCCACTGAATATATAAGCAACTCGAAAGCAAAACAAATGCGAATTGTATCATGTATGGAGCATTAGGTAGCAATCACATGCTTTATCAATATAGCTTATTTTGGCGCCAAAAATTCACTGGCAGCACAGGCTCATCGGTGTCTAGAACCCGCACGGAGCCTAAGGCAGGATCTATTGGCATACCCGATGCAGAGATGCCCCCTGTATGGGACTTTCCACCAATTCCTACCGTAATTGCATCATGACATGACCCCTGGTGCTTGGGTCCATATGCCGACTGCGCAAATTCCGAGCTTTTGTTCGTGTTCTGAAATTCAGTTGGAGAGTGTTCTTCCTCCAATGCGGTCCCTGCCGTGTCGAAAGGGGTACGGGAGAGCGGTCTAATAGTCAGTCCGCAATAGTAATGGAGATCCTGCGTGGCCGGACAGATGCTGCCATTTCTCCTTGCACCCATAGTGTCATTCATGTAGTCCCCTAATTCAACCCCCAGAATGCTTCCTGGGGCCACTTCCTCAGAGTGGACAATCCCTTCATATTCCGCATCGAGGTCCGCAGTGTACAATGTTCTGCCGATGTTATATTCGATGCCAACATCGTTGTGGGTGTGAGCTGCTGTGTCACCAGCCCTATCCAGGCCATGGTCCGATGTAGACTTTGCAGGCGTGCGACTTCCATGGACCTGGATCCACGAGGGAGAATACAGTGCTCCCCCACCCTCCGATATCCCTGCCGAGGTTGGGGTACGGGTAACCATGCTTGGTAGACCGAGAGCATAATCGGATGTCCCATCGTTCGTTCCCATCACCATATGGCTGCTTCCCTCTCGCGGTTCATTCGGCCAGTTTTCACGTCCAAAAGATTGCTCCGGGGGCCGAGAAGGGTTATCAACAAGGCCAGATCCATGTTCAGTTCCACTTTCCGAAGTGATTCTCCTTCTCTTGAATGGTCGCGCCGTGGCCATAGTCGAGTCATTAGGGGTTATACTGCGTCTTTTTGCTGACGTGCGCAGGTTAAGACCCTCCGCGAATGTGGTCCCGGTTCCATCTGGGCCCCATAGTCTTTGGCGTTTCTTGAGTAGGGATTTCAATTCGTTCAGGTTCCAATACCTTTTCGTTCTGTGCGATATACTCGCGGTTCCTTCTCCAGAGGCCAAGTCAAACAGTAGAAGGTGCTTGCAATAAAGATCAAATAGCCGTTCTAGCGCGAGCTGAGTCTGGTCAAAGTAGAATGCGTTGCAGGGCTTAGGAACGCGAGATCGCCCCCTGGGTGCTTCATCGCCATCCAAGGTACGGCCTCCGACAGCAATTCCCCTATAGGATGTGAAGTCAGAGCCACCACATCTCCGTATACTTGTCGGGTTATGGGATGAAGCAAACCCTGTATACTGGTTTGTTGTTTTCAAGAGCGTCATGTCACTTGGCTGGGATCTTTCCTCCTCCACGAACTCAGATTGACCGACGTTGTTTGCGCGTGGGCTGTTGAAGGAGAATCTATCCATCAATTTTTTGGAAATCCCAGTTCGCGAGCCACATTTCCTTTCTTTATCGCGATCTGTCCAATGATCTTCTTTGTCAGGTAGTGGCGCTTTTTCCAGGAACTCTGTTTCTGAGAAAGCGAGAAGAGACTCTAGAAGAAGAACCTGTTAGATTCAAGTCAGTAGAATAGGTATCTTCCTAGACGCTCCTACCTTGACCGGTCTTGACAGCAGACGAGGCCCTTCCCTTCCCGAACAATCCCAGCTGGCCGAAGCATCAGCACCATGTCTCTATGCCAGTGGACATTCAACTTACAGTCACGCGGTTTCGGGGTACGTTTGAAGCGTGAAAATTGTCGTTTATAGTGTGATTTCTGTTTTTCTTGACGGGTTTCTTCTCGGACTTGGTGCGATGTTTCTCTTTCGTCCGGGAGCTTCCGTTGTATTCGTAATGGTCGTCTTTGGTTTTGTGTCGTGGTCTGCGCTCATACCTACGCAATTCTCCCTCTTCCGGCCTTTGGTGGCCGGAAAGTGGTCTTCTGGCTACGCTGGATTGGTCATAGCAGTCCTCTGTCTTCGATAACCACTCGTGAATAAAATTTCGAGATGCGAATTCCATGTCGCAGGTCAAGCTGGCTTCGATGTGATGGCTTGGTAGGTTAGGTGAAAGTTCAAGAACAAGTCTTCCAAGCAAATCAACCACGACCGATGAGATGCCGCATCAAGAATCGTTTGCTTTGGAGAATCTAAGTTGGAACGATAGGTACTCGAATGATCCTCTCCTTCGAGCTGTCCAGCCACGGAGAGAAACGGGGGTCGCAGTTGCCCCAAATGTCGGCGTCGGTTGGAGAAATCCACGATTTCCCAATCTAGCCCATGTTTACTGCCTGGTAGATGCCTCAGTCACCAGTTTGGAATTCAGAGAGTGAAACATGATCAATGGCTCTTGCACTTCATTCATCCTGGGGCACAGAATGGACTGGGTAGGCATGCTGTATTAACGTCCCTGTCAGTAATTATCATGCGTCAACAGCCAGATATGATGCTCCTGGTCACGGCTCGAGACGGTCCTTCTTTCCAATTTAGAGAACTCTACCTGGATTATATACAACATTGCATATGGAGAGGTCGTCTCTCCACTGTTTGATCATGTCTATTACTAAAGCGACATTGTCTCTTTTCTCTCGTTCATTGCAAATTTCATATTATTTTTAATCCAGACGTTCTATCACTTGTAGTGGGCGGGCTGCCTCTTTTACTGTCCGGGACGGTTGCTAAATCAAACGTCATTTAGAGTCTCATCCTATAGGATGAGTGGGCAGGGGGGAGGGGAGGACAATCCCAAGGGCGATCCGACGACCCCCACACAGTATCAATGTGTCGTGTGCAGGGAGTATGGACCCAAGGAGGACAGGATAGGTAGCCGTTGCTCTCATTGCTACTGCAAGGACTGTCTCATTCACTACCTCGAACGTACTCTTGCCCAGGATTTCTTTTTCCCTCCCGAGTGTTGTGGCGAACCCATTCCATTGACCGCCATGCTGATCTTCCTGAGTCCTGAACTTATCGAACGGTACCTCGAGCGAGTGGTCGAGAAGAACGACCGGGACAGGACCTATTGTGCAGACCCGCACTGCGCTCGCTATCTCCCTCCGGCCAGAGGCTTGGACGACAGTGTTCGCTCGTGCAAAAAGTGCCCGACGCGGACATGCACGCAATGCAAGGCCAGATCGCACGATGGTGCTTGCGTTAGCCACGACTCCGACGTGTTGCAGATGGCTATAGACGAAGGCTGGAAGCGTTGTCTCGAATGTCGCAACCTCGTAGAGCTGACCTTTGGTTGCAACCATATCATGTACGAGCATGGCCCCTCTGTCGACTCGTACGAGCACACCCTCTGACCGGCGCTTGCTTTTCCCCCTCTAGGTGCCGTTGCGGGTATGAATTTTGCTATGACTGCGGGGTCAAGTGGAAGCGATGCAAATGTGACGTGTGGAATGCGGATCGGAGAAGGATGGCGAGAGATATGGCCTACCGGTTTCTCGGTCAAGATCCACAGTATCCTCCACCCCGAGGAGTGTTTCAGCAACTGTCCCCGGTTCTGACGCATAGTCAATGTCCGCACGGCGGCTGGCATAGCCTTAAGGGAGCATATCAATGTCAACAGTGCCGAAAGAAACAGATCAGGTTCATCTTAAGGTGTGGGCAATGTGGGATGCATGTCTGTACGCACTGTCGATGGGGCACGGATCCTCAAATGGGCGCGCATCGTCGACGGGAAATGCAGCATCAACGGGAAATGCAGCGTCAGCTGGAGATGCAGCGTCAACTGGAAATGCATCGTCAATGGGAGATGCAGCGGCAATGGGAAATGCAGCGTCAACTGGAAATGCAGCGTCAACTGGAAATGCATCGTCGGTGGGAGATGCAGCGTCAATGGGACACGCATTATCAATGTCAGTACGGCGGCTGGTCTAGGGTTCATGGAAGATATCAATGTCGACAATGCCGACGCATACTGAGTAACTTCATCCTAAAATGTGAGCAATGTGGGTTAGGTGTCTGTGGGCGCTGTCGACGGGACAGTGGTCTCCAATACACCCAAAGGTGACTATTATCAGGCAATTGACATGCTCATGATTGTTACTGGCTGGAAGACTGTCTGGAATTGGTGGAAAGAGACATTGGATACTGCACACTTTCGATGTATCAGCATTGGCCAATTAGCCTCAGGAATTCAACGAATTCTATCATTTTGAGTCCATCTAAACCCCTGCGATCATTCAGGTCCAGTTCGAGGGGCCCTGTAATCTACCGCCGTTTGAATGGTGGTATCAAACACCTCATTGTCGCGTGAGAACTCCAGGTCGTCCCCGAGGTCCTCAAAGTCGTGGATGTACTCCCTAGTACCATCCCCTTTCCACCCCATACACAAGAGTCAGCAACAGAGTCATCTACCCCCTGTACATCCCTCTCATTCCGATTCGTGGAGCCCAACCCAGCGGGTTGTCAACATCCTCGAATCCCAAGGAGCGGAGTAGCCGGTATCGGTGGAGGCATCCCGACAGGTTGAAGAATGGCGTTTTCAGGCGACACCCGTTTGCTCCAATAAGGAGAGACGAAGGGGCGCCGCAGCCCTTGCAAACGCCCCTCCGTCTCGCTCCCCATATCTCAGCCGTCTCCAATCCAATCAGTCGTGTTTGCTTTGGGCTGGAAGGAGATTTCTCTCATCTCAGTTAGGCCACCTGCATGATTAGATAAGGCCAGGCTTTCCCCCTCCTCTTTTGAGATGTTTACGGTTGGTTGGGTTGAGATTGATGCCATCGGGGAGAAATTCACGTATACCTGGGGAGGAAGTGGGAGTTTAGTAGTAGTAGTATAGTAGTAGTAGTATAGTAGTAGTAGTATAGTAGTAGTAGTATAGTAGTATAGTAGTATAGTAGTATAGTAGTATAGAATGATAGTATGATAGTAGGTAGAGTAATATTATAGTAGTAGAGTAGTTCCTTCGAGAGGACTGCCTCAGGCCGCACTCCCGCTTCCCTCTCCTTCTCTCCCGCTCTTTCAGGCTCTCTCAGGCTCTCTCAGGCTCGCTCTCTCTCTCTCACCCCGCTTTACCATTTTTTCCCCTTCTAGTTTTTCACCCCTCTTTGTTTTTCTCTGTGGGAATCATTTCTGCAGTTTCTTGGTTTGTTCTCTCCTTTCTTCAACCTTCTTCCCTCTCTTCTCTCACTCACCTTTCGTGGATTTCCAGTACATAACAAAAGTCCTCGGTCTTTAAATGTAGGTGTACAAATGAATGAGGAGCGGGATGTTTGCTCAGTCCCCAGAATCCCCCCAGAACCCTTAATGATTTCGATCTTTGAGGGGCATTTGATCTATTTTCGATTTTTCTGAATTTTTTTTTTTTTGAATTTTTTTATTATTTATTATTTTTGATTTTGATTTTCCTATTTTCTCTGCCTGTGCAATTAGTCGCTTCTTCACTTCAGCCCCCTTCTGTCTTCTGTCTTCTGCTTTCTCTCTACTCATACAAGTTTCTTGTCGTTGATCTGAACCTTTTCCTCGTCATTACTTCCACACCTTTACTAACGGTGCACCATCTCTCAGTTATCTCTCTTAACTCCACGTTACAATGTCCAAACTCTTTATCGGGTTCGTTCCCACCCCCACCGGCTCCGATCGACGGATTCCGGTTCGTCGATTCAGTCAAGCTTCATTCCACTGACCTTTGACCCACCAGAGGCCTCGCATGGCACACCAATGACGATGCTCTTCGCGACGGTTTCTCCAAGTACGGTGCCGTTGAGGAAGCTGTCAGTATTCTCTCATACCCTCCTGTTTCTGTCTCATCGCTCACCCTTTCCAGGTTGTCGTCAAGGACCGCGACACCAACCGCAGCCGGGGTTTCGGTTTCGTTCGCTTCGCCAGCGACCAGGATGCCGACGCCGCCATGAACGCCATGAACAACCAGGAGTGAGCTTACCTTTTTACTTTTCTTTTTCTTTCTCTTTGTCCTTCTTTTTTTGGCCTCGCCATGACGGTCCGCCTTCGTCTGGAACAGAATGCTTACAAATTCAGATTCGACGGCCGCGTCATCCGTGTTGACAAGGCCTCGGAGCGCTCCGACCGCAGCGGCGGCGGTGGCTTCCACGGCCGTGGTGGATACAACCGTCCTGAGGGCAACGGCGGCGGCTACGGCGGCTACCGTGGTGGATACGGTGAGTTCTTCCTATCTTGAGTTCCAAATGCATGGAATGGTGGTTAACGTAAATTACAGGCGGCGGTGGCGGTGGTTACAACAACGGCGGCGGCTGGCGTAACCAGCAGCAGGAGCCTGCTGTCTAAACGTTGTCGATTCGGGTCTATCTGGCAAATCTTCGGTCACCATGCTGTGTTTTTTTTTTGAAAAAAAAAATCTTGCTACTCCACTACCCTTGCACTACCCAAGCGACGAGATACGATCCATGAAGGAAATGATGCTTAGCTTGATAATGGACGACACAGAATGGCGGGATGACGCGTACTCATTTTCGTTGATTTCCTTTTCTTTTCTTTCTCTTCTTCTCTTTCCATTGCGATGCAGACTCTCCCTGGGAGACCCGACTCTCCGCACAGCTCGATCACAGTGAAACATTGATATCTCACCCTCTCCCCATTCCTTCCTCCCTTCATGTAAACCCAACGTCTGTGGGCCTAATTGAGCACATGGGCGGAACGGGAACCGACCGACTTCGAACGATCTAATCGTGTGTAAGAAAGATGCCCTAACGCCAACGCAAATGAAGATACGTGCCGTCTATGCATGCATTCGAAGCCACCAAAAAAGCAGCCCCCTCTATATCTAATCTAAACCCTACGACCTCCCAAGCGACTCCCTAAGATCCCTCTCCGCAGCCTCTTCCTCCTCCCTCGCCCTCTCCACCGTCTCCAAGTCCTTAACCCGCCTCACCAAATCCGTAACATGGCCATCCGCACTCCCCAACCCCAGCCCCTCCAGCGCCTTCTCCAACAAATAAAGATACTCGGTGTTCTTCCCGCTCTGTCCCTCCCCACGCACCACCACCTCCGCCACATCCTGCTGCTCGCGCCGCGCCGGATCCCGCAGGAACTGCGGATTCGACGGCTGCCCGATGTAGACCATGCAGGTGAGGGGGGAGGCGTCGTTTGCAAGCGGGTGGAACGGCGTGTAGTGCACGCTGTAGCCGTCGATCTCGCGCACGTCGAGGTAGTCGTGGACTTCTTCGGCGTGCGAGGCTGGGATGTGGTATGCCGCGCCCCAGACTTTGGTATCTGTTGACTCGAGGTGAGATAGCTTTGGGTTGTTAGTTCTTTTCTAGATAGAAGTGGGGGATTCCCTAGGAAGTGATTATATGAGGGATAGATACATACCGGATCATCTAAGGTCTCCCAGAATTTCCGCTCGATGACGGTCACGACTCGTCCGGGGACTTCTGGCGTGCCTCGGTGGTCGGTACTGTCTGGTATTAGTTCATGATCACAGTGCTAATGAAGTCGTGTCTGGTGGATTCTTACCTGGCCTGTTAGGTAGAAAGACCTCATGTCAGTTTTGATATCTGTATTAAAAAACAACAGAGCAGACAGGCAAGTAGGAAGGGGGGGTAAATGGTGTAAACACACCTGCCAGAACCGGCGCACGTAGCCATCAATATATCCCGGTACTCTCTGGTCTATATATCCCATTAGCGTCAGTATATACAACTAAATCTCAAAGGAAATATAATACATACCATAATGCGGAGGAGGTTTCCAAATCAAACTCCTAAACGCAGATAGATATTATCAGCCATCATCGAACCCTCCTATCCCCAGTCCAAGTCGTGGTGGTATAGATCAGGCTGACTTACCCATATCCGAAAACCCAAAGATCGCCGGCGGGGAAATGATTGCGCCATGTGCGGCCGTCCGGGGGCGTCTGGTGCCCCGTTTCGCCGGATGTCATTGTGAAAGATGGGCGATGCTCTAAATGTTTATTTCCAATGTAGATCTATCTGTTGTCCGCTTGGGGTATGTATATTGGCAGTGGTCTATGTCGATTGTATGTTCAAGATTGCGGTGGGATGAAGGGATAAGTGCGGCGTTTGCATTGTTTGTTCTGCTTCTGTCTTGTGTTCTGGCCGATAGATCGTCGGCTGCGATTGATCCTTTGCCATCTTTTATACCGATTGAATGTATCATCTTTGTCTTTTTTTGCCAGTGATATAGTTTGAGATGGTATTTCAGTTTTGTTCTTTGAATTATACAACTATTGACTGTCCTGTACGACCCACTACGGCAGGGAATGATAATCTGTCATTGACCAACAACATCATCCAAGCTTTCATCCAAGACAATCACATTTCTACCTATAATACATAATAGCTTGGATATTTACGTCTCGTATCATATAAATTAATCCCACCATGGCGGGTCTTCTGCGTCTCCTCCGGACACAATTCACGCCACCAACCGACCCAACCGGCATCTCATTCGCAGGAAAGACCGTCATCCTGACCGGGGCAACAGCCGGCTTGGGCTTCGAAGCAGCGTTGAAGCTCCTCAACCTAGGAGTCGAATCGCTCATAATCAGTAGTCGCAATGCAGACCGCGGTCAAGCAACCAAGACTGAGCTCGAGGCGCGCACCAACCGACCCGGCGCGGTCTCCGTCTGGGAGCTGGAGATGGGCAGTTTCCAAAGCGTCAAGCGATTCGCCAACCGCGTCGACAAAGAGATCGACCGGCTGGACATCGCCCTCCTAAATGCCGGGCTCTTCAATCGCGAATACGCCACTTCCCCCGACGGATGGGAGGAGACGTTGCAGGTTAACACGCTGTCCACGTCGCTTCTCGCGCTCTTACTACTCCCCAAACTACGGGCCGGATCGACTGGGTCAGACCCGGCGCATCTCACCGTGGTGTCCAGTCAGCAGTTCGTGCGAGTTCAGGCGAAGAGCCTCCGGACGTCAGGCCCCCTGTTGGAGCACCTGAATGACCCGAGGAACTTTGCTGGTCCCGCGCAGTACGGTATCTCGAAGCTCCTGCTGGAGTATGTGCTCAAGACTGTCGCGGGCAAGATCCGGCAGGACGACGGCAGCGTCCCTGTTATTATCAACACCGTGAGCCCGGGTTTTTGCGCCTCGTCTCTCGGGCGTCAGTTCGATCGGTTTTACGAGCGATGGGTCACCTGGGTGGTCTACAAGCTCTTTGCACGCACTGCCGAGCAGGGGAGTCGGTCGCTGGTGAGTGGAACGTACCAGGGGGTCGAGGCGCATGGGAAATGCTGGCGGAGTGATGGCTATTTGGAGTGAGTGTTGAGCCTCTTATCCCCTACGATCTTACTCTGCTGACCATGACAGTGAATCGACAGCTCTGACAGTCGGTGAGGAGGGGAGGCAGTTCCAGGACAAGGCTTATTCAGAGATCCTGGCGGTGCTACAGGCGCAGTCGGCGGACGTAGATCGAGGACTGTAACGTACGAGGAAGATGGCGATCGAGTAATTATTCCTAAACAATGAACAGACATATACGCGTAAGACACGCCAGTTGGGGCGTCTGCCAGCCAGCTGGAACCAACTTGGGTATATCTTGGCGTTCCGGACATGAACGAAGGCGGGCCCCACGAGATCCGCAGGCGAGCAAGTCAATCCATCCACCGTCACCGGAATTTCTCCTGAACTCCTGACGCTTTCTGTCCATCACTTTGCCTACTCCCCCCCTCCTTCTCTCACGTTGTCGGGGGCTTTCTTCTCCCCTCACTTCTACGTCTCTTTCTCTTCTCTCTTAGACCCTCTGAATGTCCGCCTCTTCTACCTCCACCCCCCATTGAGTTCGTTCGTTACCGTCGCGCCCATTACGTCAGCTCGAACCCACGATGGCGTACAACAGATCCTACAATCCGGATGCGCTCCCTGCGTAAGTGAAGCTCAGCATGTCGGCGTAGTGTGCCTGTCATGGGCGACGATCACTAACTGACAGGCCAAATGCAACAGACATGCCGAGCCTGAACAGGTGTGAAGTGCCCGCCCAATCCAGCCAGCGCCAGACGCGCTGTCTAACCAACCCGCCTCCAGCCACCCCCGCAAAGCTAACCAGATGAGTCCCCAATGTCCAGGTCGCCCAGATGATGGGTGCCATGTCCACCGGTCCCCCCCAGCAAAAGCCGCCTCGAAGCTCACCCCAGGTCCACGGCGGTGTGCCAGCGCGAGTGCCCGTCTCCAGCGCCCCCTCCTCCCAACACCACTACCCGGCCTCGGGCGCGCGTCCTCTCCCCTCGCAACAATCGTACCATTCCAAACCGACCCCTCCAATGAAGAACCCCTACAGCGCGAAGCCGCAGCCTCCACCGCCAACCACGCAGTCGCGCCCGAATCTCCACCCGTCGCCGCCCCCACAGAACTACGGTTTCGGGCCCCCGCCCGCCCAGCGCACCCGTCCCCCACAAATGTCGCGACCGCCGCTGTCGCCCAACCCGCCTCCGCTGTCCGCGCCCGAGGACGACCCGCAACAGCTCTTCCCGCTCTTCCGGGCGGCCAACGCGTCGCACACGGGGGCCCTAACGGAGCTCGAGCTGGGGTCGGCGCTCGTCAACGGCGACTTCACGTCGTTCCACCCGCGGACGGTGAAAGTGATGATCCGCATGTTCGACCGCAACAAAAGCGGGACGATCTCGTTCGACGAGTTCGTGTCGCTGTGGCGGTACCTGGCGGCGTGGCGGGAGCTGTTCGACCGGTTCGACGAGGACCGCAGCGGGCGCATCAGTCTGCCGGAGTTTGAGAAGGCGCTGGTCGCGTTCGGGTATCGGCTGAGCCCGTCGTTTGTGACGGTGCTGTTTACGACGTTCGAGAGCAAGGGGAAACTGATGAGCGATCCGCGCAAGGGGCCGGTGCAGATGGGGATGAGCTTCGATCTGTTTGTGCAGGCTTGTATCAGTCTGCGGCGGATGACGGATGCGTTCAAACGGTACGATGATGATCGTGATGGGTATATCACTGTCAGCTTTGAGGAGTTTTTAACGGGTGAGTTTTACCTATATCGTGGGGGATATGACTGGTTATTCTTGCTTACCCCTTCTGCACAGAGATTCTTCAGTTACAGGATTAGACGGTTGATGTTTTCTCTTTATTGTTTTCTGTCCTGCGCATGCGGTTTGACGCATGCACACAACACGTGGAACTACTGTATATACCCATATCAAACTCGACGGTGTTCTACTAGTCCTTACTTGGTAGATATATAAATCACCTAGTATATTCATATCTATGTATATATAGATATATAGAAATATCTATAGTTACCTGTAGGTATATGGAGATATCTGGTAGATAAAGATAGTCGGAGATAACCGACCGCAATCGCCGCAGCTTATCGCCGAGCGGAATCTCCCGCCAAAATCGCGAAAAATCCAAGCTTGACTCACTCAACCAGGAGTCATTTCCTCATCTATTTTGGATTTTTCACCCTCCCGGCAGTAACACAAGTGATACAACACCCAGAAAGATCCAGACAGTCTCGCCAATGTCGGAACCTCAGAATCCTCTCGGGGAAATCCACACAAATCAGAACTCGCCCGATCAGACCGCAAAAGAAACAGCGGTCTTGAATAGCTCGGTTTCTCCGCCGCAGTCGTCCACCGATCAAGACCGAGGTCACAATGAGTCCGGAGAAATGAATGAGCAGAACGGTGGAGGTGAGGGCGCAGGGGAGAAGGATGCGGAGGGCGCTGCGCTCGATCGCACGCCGTCGCAGGCGCAGAAATTGGGCAAGAAGAATGTCGCTATTGTCATGACGGCGCTTTGTGTATGTCTCCCTTGCTTCTCTTTGGACGGCTGGCTGCATACGATATGGATCATGGATTTGATCTGATGGCTAACGTGGTTGGCATAGTTGGCGTTGTTTCTTGCAGCTTTGGACATGGTCGGTTTCCCTACCCCGCGTGCATGATATATCAGAAATTGAAGCAGACGACTGACTCAATCGATAGACCATCGTTTCCACTGCCTTGCCCACCATGGCCGCCCATTTTCACGCCTCGGAAAGCGGATACTCGTGGATGGCCTCGTCCTACCTCCTCGCCAATGCCTCGTGCGTTCCCCTGTGGGGGAAAATCAGTGATATTTGGGGGCGGAAACCCATCCTCCTCCTGGCCAACATGCTCTTCCTGGCATCCAGCTTGATCTGCGCGCTGGCCATCAACCTGCCGATGATCCTCGCGGGCCGCGCCCTCCAGGGCATTGGCGGCGGCGGGATCATCGTGCTGGCCAACATCAGCGTGTCGGACCTGTTCAGCGTCCGCGACCGACCCATGTACTACGGCCTCTTCGGCGCCACCTGGGCCATCGCGGGCGCCCTGGGCCCCATCATCGGCGGCGCGTTCACAACCAGCGTCACCTGGCGCTGGTGCTTCTACCTCAACCTCCCCATCGGCGGCGTCTCCCTCGCGGCGCTCTTCTTCTTCCTCCACATCGAGTCCAGCAAGACGCCCTTCCTCGACGGCCTCCGCGCCATCGACTGGGTCGGCACCCTCCTCATCATCGGCGGCACGCTCATGTTCCTCTTCGGGCTCGAATTCGGCGGCGTCGACTACCCCTGGTCCTCGCCCACCGTCATCTGCCTCATCGTCTTCGGCGTCTTCACCTGGACCCTCGCGCTCATCTACGAGTGGAGATTCGCCAAGTACCCCGTCATCCCCACCCGCATCTTCAACAACTGGCACAACGTCACCATCCTCGTCATCTGCTTCTGCCACTCCTTCGTCTTCATCGCCGGCTCCTACTACCTCCCCCTCTACTTCCAGACCGTCCTCCTCGCCACCCCGATCCTCTCCGGCGTCTACGTCCTCCCCATGGTCCTCTCCCTCTCCGTCCTCTCCGCCGTCACCGGCATCTCCATCAAAAAGACCGGCCGCTACCGCGAACTCATCGTCGGCGGCCTCTTCTTCCTCACCCTCGGCTACGGCCTCCTCATCGACCTCAAGCCCTACGCCTCCTGGTCCCGCATCGTCATCTACCAACTCATCGGCGGCATCGGCGCCGGCCCCATCTTCCAGGCGCCCCTCGTCGCCCTCCAGGCAAACATCCACCCCGCAGACGTAGCAGCCGCAACCGCCACCTTCGGCTTCCTGCGCCAAACCTCCGCCGCAATGTCCGTCGTCCTCGGCACAGTCATCTACCAGAACGTGCTGGGCCAGCAAATGCCGCGCGTCGCCGCCGTCATCGGGCCCAAGAACACCGCCGCCATCGCGCACTCCTTCTCCGGCTCCCAGGCGCCCCTCATCCGCTCCCTGCCCAAAAACCAGCAATCCGCCATTCTCACCGCCTTCAACTTCACCCTCTCCCGCATGTGGATCTTCTACACGGCTATCGCGGCCGCCGGCCTCATCATCAGCCTGTTCATCCGTCCTGTCGTGCTCAACAAGAACCACACGGCCGTGAAGACGGGCCTCGCGGAGCAGGAGCGCGCTAGGTTGGAGATCCTGGCGGAGAAGCGGGATAAAGACCAGCGGAGGAAGGAGGAGGTTTAATCCCCCCCCCCCTCCCGCCGCTCTAATCATATATATATCTATATACCCTTTTCTTTTTCTTCCCTTTTGATCTGTCTCTTGTTACATAATTAATTCCCTTTGCATGGGGTATATCTATAGGATATATAGTTTGTTTGGTTTAGTACCACCATTTCGGTCCGTTTGGGATAAGTTGTATGGGCGTAGTTAGATACTCTATTAGTGATACTCAATGCGCCACTGAAGTCATACATTCAATGAGATCTGACATGACGCTCTCAGAGCTCCTCCAGAATCGTCTTCCTCTCTTCCTGCAAATAGCATAATGACTTGTTATAGATGATATGATAAAATGAAACCAGTGTATTCCACACCTAGATAGTAGTCACATTTATTTACATTATTCCACAGTGGTAATAACCAGAAACCCAGATCCAATCACGAACAAAGAAAAGAAACACAGAAAGAAGAAAAAGACAGACAACGCCGCCCCAACCCGCCCAGCCGACGAGAGTCAAGGTAGATCGATAGATAGGTAGATAACGTAAGGTAACAGTGTTTGCCCCCACCTCGGTGCGGTGGGGTCCTTTTTAGTAAGACATCGGTGCCTGATCCCAGATGGACAGGACGATACCAGTGCAGACAAATCTACACTCATGCAACAAAGTAGAGAAGATAAGGAAGGGGTATATGGAGACGTGGAAAGAAACCAAGGGGACAAAAAAAAAATCATTCAAGGAAGGTCAAGAGAAACCACGCCATAGCTCGAACGCCATGAGATGCCAGAGACACGACAGACGGATAGTCATAGGAAACAGACCAAACCACAAAAATAAAAATAAAAACCAGAAGGCAACTACGTTTTGGTCTTTTTGGAGGCACCCTCACCGCTGCCTCCCCCCTCCGGACTCTTGCGCTTCTTGTCTGGCTCGTCGTCGCGGGAGAAGCCCGGGCCGGTGGGCCCCGACGGGGTCGGGAAGGTCAGCGGGCTCGGAAGCATGTTGCTGTCGGGCCCGGACCGGCCGAAACCCCACTCGGGGAAAAAGCTGGAGGGTGACGGGAGTAGCGCATCCGAGACGAACCGGCTGGGCAGCGCCGAAATGGGGGTCTCGATGTTGTTGTTGGCGCCGTAGGCGGCGGCGTTCTGCGCCGCGGCGCCCGGGGGCGGGGGCCGGGCGAACGGGTTCGGCGGCCCCTGGGCCCCAGCGCTCAGGAGGGCGCCCGCGGAGGGGGACGGCGGCGGGAGGACGACGGCGGACGAGGAGCCATCCGGGTTGTTAGCCTTGGCCGGGGTGAGGGCCTTGTGGCCGGCGGACGAGGAGTCGTCGGCGGTGGCACTGCCCGGCTCCGAGTGTTCACTGGGGATCTGCACCTTGAGCTGGGGCCGTTTGGGGGCCACCGCCGACCCACTGTTGGTCCGGGACGGTGGCTTGAGCTCGGCGGACGCCGTCCCCCGGGGCGTGTCGGTGGCGGCCCGGCGAGGGGGCGGCGGGGCGGACTGCGCCGTCGCTGTCGACCCGACGGCGGGAGATGCCTCCCGCGACGCCTCCCCGGCCCCGTCCGTCGCGTCGGGGCGCGGCGACGGAGGCCCCAGCCCGAAGTGACGCGCCAGCACCGAGCCGCGGTCGTCGATGGGCGTGAAGATGCTCCGGGACTTGGAGGAGAGCGACCGCGGCGGATGCGGGGGGTGAGACGGGTGGGACGGGTGGGACTGGTGGGACGGGTGTGGGGGCGGCTGCGGCGACTGGCTCCCTTCGATCTTCACCGGGGGCGCCCGGGGCGGTTGGTCGGTCGCGGGGCCGTCAGGCATGGAGACCGTCCGCGTGGGGTGGGGCGGCGGCGGTTCGGTGGGAAAGGTGGGAGGCATCGAGTTCCGCTGGTCAGGCAAGTAGGCGGGAGCGACGGCGGGGTGCGGCGGGGCTTGCGACAGGGTCAGCGCGGGCGCGTGCTGGGCCATGGCATGATGATGCGGTTGCGGAGGCGCGACGGACTGGGGCGGCGGGTGGTGATGGGCCATGGTGTGCGGGGGCATGGGCCCGTGGTGGGCAAACTGGGCGTAATGACCGGGTCGCGGCGGGGCCCCAGGGTGGTAGACGGAGGGATTGGGCATGTAGGTGAAGCCGTTCTGCGGGGGTGGCGTGGCCTGGTGGTGGCCCGGAGCCAGGTGGCCGCTCACGCGACGGAGGTTATTGCGGGACGAGGGTCGCGAGACGACCTGGGGCTGGGGGGTGCCGTGACGCGGGCCGACGGGCATGCCGTTGGGAAGGGGGGGTGAGGCGGACGGGGCATGATGGACGTGCTGGAAACCGGGATGATGTTGCATGTGCGGCGGGAGCATGGGGGGTGGATTTTGGGGGGGAGTGGGGTGCATGTCATCGGGGGCCGGGGTGTCCTCATCGTCATCGTCATCGTCGTCGCGCTTCCCAGAGAAATCTTCGGGGCCCTTGTGCTCGTGGGGAGGGCCATACTACGGGGGGTCAACAACTTTTTCTTTCGGGGAGGGGGGGGGAGGAGACGAACATATTGATAACGATTTAATGTCTCATGCATGTCACATGACGAGAACTCGTAGAGCTTCTTGTTGGAACCAAAGATGATGACGGCGACATCGACGGAGCAGAGGACAGCGAGCTCGTGCGCCTTCTTGAACAGACCGCCCTTACGCTTGAGGAAGGTACTTGGGGGTGGTCAGAGAGGGATCCCTGGAGAGATGGTTGGGATCAGAAGGAGGGGAAACATACACGGAGCGATTGCGATCATCTTTGATCGCCTTGATTTCGATCTTTCGTCGACCCATCAGGGAGGAGTGGCGACTGAGGCGCGGAGGGACGATGAAACAGGGGGAGGGGAAAGGGTTGGATCAACCAATATGACAACCAAAAAGGGAGATGACAGGCAGGAAGGCCAGAGCCAGAGGATGGAAAAGCGAGTGGAGAAGCAAGATAGTGCTTAGTGAAATCGGGGGGGGGGACAACCTTAAAAAAGCGAGACTATTTTTAGCACTGGAGGGAGAGAGGGAGAAAAAGAGGTGGAGAGAAGGGGAAGAAACAGGGGAATGAAAGAAGGTCGTAAATGGGAGGGTAATAGACAGGGAGGGAATAGGGAGAGAGGAGAGAATGGATGAAGAGAGAAGTTGAAAGAGAAGAAGAAGAAGAGGAGAAGAGAGAGAGAGAGAGAGAGAGAGAGAGAGGAAGAGAAGAGATGGTTGGATGATTAATGGGATAAATCCACATAAAATAATACAAATAATCCAGGATGGAATAATGAAGTGGAAACCTGAGGCACCTACCGTGGGAGAACGACCGGGAGAAAAGAGACCGGGAGAGACCGGGAGGGGGAGAGAGAGAGGGAGGAGAGAGAGAGGAGAGAGAGGAGAGAATGAGGGACTCGATGAAGTGATGAAGATGATGAAGATGATGATGATGGACAGATGGGAGACAGAGTCGACAAGAGGTTGATGGAGAGAAATGACAGCGGATGCAGAATTCTATTCATAGATCGTGCCTGACCGCCTTGGTGTCTGGGCCTGAGGCAGGTCCATCTTATAGAATGCCTTCTGACTTCATCTCTACTCCAGAATACATCTCTATTATTATCTCTATATTATTATCTCTATATACCTTGAGATGTATATCAATACTTGATCCATATCAGCAGTAATCAATACTAATAGTCAATAGTATAAGAGAAAAGAAAAAAAATGATAGATAAATCGTCCCAAGGTTTCCCGCGTAAAATTAATCCCCCCTGAAACAAGTAGATCCTCTTCTCTCTCTCTCTCTCTCTCTCTTCTTCCTCTCTTTCTTCACTTCATCTCTCCTTCTCTCTCTTCTCCCCATTCTCTTCTTTCTTCTCTTCTTGCCTCTCGCTCATGGTCTTCCCCCCTGTTTCAGCCTGTCCCCTCTGCTGGGATTGATCAGATCTGTATTTGTATTCATCCTTCCTCTTTGGTCTGTTTTTTTTTTTACCTACTCCACACTAACCTGCGGCCCCATCTGGCTGCAGGTTATCATCGGGCCACCTCGTTGTCACTGGATCTTTCTTTTCTCTCTCTTCTCTTGTCTGTGCTTCATCCTCTTGTGTCTGTCTCGTTTCTCTCCCTCAATTCCATCCCCACTGTCATCTCGTTGTTGTCATCATTTTCCCCCCAACGTCCCCCCCCCCCCCCCCTTCCCTGCTCCCTTCCCTGTTCCCTCCCCAGATCCTCCCAAAGATCCCTCCCTGATACATCCCTCGCACGGTTCATCCTGCAGTCGGACATCCTTCTGGATGAAATTACAGGACCTTAAGACTTGATTCGAATTTTCTATCTATCCCTTTCCTTCTTTCTTTCTTTCTTTTTTTTTTTTATTTTCCTTTTTTCCCCCCTTCACACTCAACGGAGGGACCGTTGGATAGACTTTCAACTCCCGCGACTTCCCCTCCAATTGAACCCCATTCTGGCGTGTCTCCGCTGCAAAATGCCCTTCTTCACCCGTGTCTTCCGGGGCAAAGACGCCACCGCTTCCAAGAAACCTTCCAAACCTTCCCCTCTCGACGATGCCGGCCCTCCGAAACCCTCCTGGACCGATGCCTGGCAGCGGACGGAGGTCGCTCCGGAAGAAGTACAGGATCTATTACGCGCCTGTACCAAGGAATTGAAAGCCAGAGGTATGTGGACAGGGCCCTTCCTTGACGTCAAGCTCTCTTTCCCCACCCTAGGAGCCTGCGTGGCATGCGGACCCATTCTCAATTCTTCTCGACTCGTGGCTGATCAATCCCAGCCCTCCAGATCCCCTTCCTCCTCCTCCCCTTCCGTCCCAGCTCCGATGCCAGCGCCGCTCGCTCCTTCATTCGCAATTACTTTGACCAATCCTTCAAGAATGGCGCTCCCGTCACCGGCGAGACCTTGTCCCGAGAATTACGCCTGTCCGATCCGACGGTGAGCCCCCCCCCCTACAAAATACCTCGACCCGCTGTGGAAGACCTCCGCGCTAATATTATCTAGGTCCTGTGCAGCGTCCTGAAATGGTGCTGGAGCCGACTCCCCGGCGGAGTCGTCACCTGGGAGGCCTACGAGCTGTTCAAGGTCGGCGAACAAGACTCTAACCTCGCCCGCGACGCCTTCACCACCTTCATCCCCATCAGCGTCGACTCCGACGCCCGCGCCAAGATCATCTTTGACTTCTTCGACCTTCTGGCCGCCATCGCCGCCCATGCCAAATCCAACGGTCTTGGTGGCCGCAAGCTCTCCCGATATGCCGGCTGGTGGGCCTTTGAGCATGTCGATGCCGCCAAGGGTTTCGAGGAATCCTACAAGAGTTGGGCCAGCGCCGCCGATGCCACCAGTCACCTCTTCTTCGCCTACCTCCGCTCCCTCTCCCCCGATTCCGCCCGCGGCGTCAACAGCATCGCCACCCTCCCCATCACTTTGCAGTCCCTCGTCCAGGCCACCGAGTATCCCCCGGAGACCCCCACCCTCCTCCAGGTCACCACCACCAAGGTCGTCATGATCGTCGACACCGTCTCCCCCACCCCCGTCGCCCTCTTGCGCCGCGCCACCAACTTCGAATACCGCGACAGTGACCACCACCTGCAGGAGTTCGCCGCCTACGACGACCCCCTCCGCGCCCTGACCGACGAGTGCCTCCGCGTCCTGCGCTCCATCGCCGCCGCCAACCCCTCCACCGTCCCCGAGGACACCCCGGCTGCCCGCGACGCCACCTGGTCGCGCTTCGAGGACATTGGCTTCGGCGGCAGTCTCGACTCCGACCTCGACACCAGCTCCCCCCGCCCGTCGAGCCGCGGCGGCAGTGGCCGCTCCTCCTCCGCCGCCGCCGCCACCACCCCCATGGCCACCGTCCCCCGCGGTCGGCCCACCACCCCGTCCTGGGCCGATTTCATGTCCTCCGGCTTCGCTGACGGCAGTGGCATGAAGGGCCCCATGGCCCCCATGCTACTGTCCCCGGACAAGATCCTGCCGCCGCTCGAGGCCGTCCGCGGTCAGAGCTCGCAGTCGCACCGGCGCCCCCTCGACTCCGATTCCACCATCGAGCCCGCCGAGCTGGCCAGCATCACCACCCTCGATCTCGACGACTCCTTCTGGTGGGTCTGGATCAGCAGTCTGGCCGGCGAGGAGCCCGCCGTTCGCAAGGCCGTCTTCGGCCGCTGCGCCTTGCTCGAGACCGTCCTCCACGGCGCCAAGTGGCTCGTCCTCGAGGAGCAGGTGCCCGGTGCCGCCCCCGAGCCGGATCCCGGTGCCTACCTCGTCGAAAAGAAGCGCTTCCTGGGCTTCTCCACCCGCAAGCGCCTGGGCCGCCGCAAGTCCTCCGCCAAGCGCACCGGAACCGGCGCCGAGCCCTACGACCCCCGCACCGGCAACCCCGCCCCGCAGAGCAAGACCAGCATCGCCCCCGACCAGCACGCGCGCATCCAGGCCGCCGCCGCCGCCCTCCAGCGAAAGCACCGCGAGCAGGAGGCCGAGGCGGCCGGTCCCGCCCCCGAGGAGCCGCCCCTCTCGTCCAAGGTCAAGACTCACTCCGTCTTGACCCTGCAGCCCTCCATCATCGGTGAGGCCTCCCAGGCCATGAAGTGGGCCAGCAACTACGACAAACACACCTACCGCACCGCCTACATGAGCGATGCCCGTGCGGGCACCGGGGCCCCGACGGACGACGACGCTCCCGCCCGACGTCCGCCATCGCCATCGCCCCCGGCCCGCAGCACCACCACCACCACCCAGGGGCCCCCGCCGCCGCCGGCGGCCTCATCCCCGTCCCCGGTTCCGCCACCCAAGGACGTGACCCCGGCGGGCAGTCGCAAAGGCAGCACCACCCACCCGCCGCTGGAGTCGGCCATCTCGTCGGAACCGACCCCGAAGCCGTCCACCGATTCCACCGATTCCCGCCCCCGCCTCAAGAAGAAGCCCGGCAACTCGGCGTTCAAGAGCATGTTTGGTACCACCAAGAAAAAGAACCCCGAGGCGGCGGCGGCAACGGCGGCGACGCCACCCGTGAAACCCACCGGCGGATCGGCCGTGGCGGCCGCCCGTGCGGCCCTCGAAGACAAGGCCCGCGCGTCCCAGGCGCCGCCGCCGGTCCGTACCGCCTCGCACGCACCGTCGACCCTCCGCAAGCAGCGACCCGCGCCTGTGGCCGCCCCCGCCGCCGCGGCGGAAGCCCCGCCCCGCCCGGAGTCGCCTGTCTCTCCCATCTCGCCCGTTGCGCCGCCGGCCCCGGCCCCAGCCCCGGCCCCGGCCCACCCCGCGTCGAATGGCGGCGACCACCCCCGACGGGACGCCGAGTACGACGCCCTGTCCCGGGTCGACACGAACGAGAAGGCTGCGGCGGATCGGGAATTCTCCCGATTTGATCAAGGGCCCCTGATGGACCAGCCCGCGTTCGCCCCCGAGTCCCCGGAATCCGAAGCCGTCGCGGGGCAGCCCCGGCCGTCCGCTGAGGCTTCCGGCGCGACGCCCCGAGCGTCGGAATCGTCGGCCACCCCGGCCAACCCCTCGTACGACCGCTGGGCGCAGATCCGCCGGAATGCGGCCGAACGTGCCGCGCAGTCGGATCCGGCCCAGATGAGTGGCACCGACGACGGAAACACCAGCGAGGAAGAGAGTAAGTTCACCACTTGGCGCTCATTGGAGGCGTCGATCACTAACACCGGTCTAGGTTTCGAAACCCGCGCCGCGCGGATCAAAGCCCGAGTAGCCGAGCTGACGGGCAACATGCAGCAGCAATCATAAGCTGTTCTCCTCATTTCTCCTTCTCAATCCTTCTTTCCAATTCTTCCAATTTCCGTTCCACCCGCTTGACAGCGTTCCTTTTGTATCTTGACTTCTCCTTCGGTTCACCCCCCTTCACGACTTCTTCTCGCGTGCATGAGCCCAACATGCCATCCCGCAATTCTGCGCCAACCAGGCAGACGAATGACGGACCTACGCCGCAATGCCTCACTCACGCACGCACTTATCATTCCATTCTTCTTTCGTTTCGACCGTTCGTCTCTCGACGGGCGTTTGAGACGACCCTTTTTATTTCCAACCCTTATACCTGCTTTGGTTTTTGATTCCCCAATTTTGCTCTGCGCTGATTTACTCGGTCTTTTTTCCTGTGTTTACTATTCTTCAATTGATTGGATGGACGTCTTGACTAGATTGTCTATTAGTTTTTTTCTCTATTTACTTTTGTCTTTTTTTCCCTCGCTTCCCTTCTCGTCTCCTAAATATATCCCAAGATCCTGAGTTCAACTTCGTTCGCTATATAACCCTATATAAATATTTATATCTAGTTTGTGATGGTTGATAGTACTAATTAGTGAAAGTGAATCGTTTGTGCTACTTTTTTACTATGTTCGTCTTTGATTCTTTTCAAAAACGCTATAAACTATGTACAAATACGCTGAGAGATAATATACAAAGTTAAAGTAAAGCAAACTGAAACAGACGAGGTAAATCAATTAAACAACCCAAGACAAGGTCAGTGCTGAAGAAACAAGATACTATAACAATATCTTCGTATATACTTTGTTTCCCGTCCCGTCAGGTCACAAATATATAACTCAAATCTACCCGCAACACACTAGAAGAGTAGGATGAACAACTCCCGTCTCTATTTATCTATCCATCATCTATCTATATTTCCCCTTTACAGGATTTCTCTAAGACAGAGACCAAGAAAAATAAAGTCAACAAGAAGATAGAAAGAATAAGAAGGTAGAGACAGTCGAAGGAATTGAAATCAGACAGAGCAGAAAATGTATGTATGTATGTATGTAAAGTAATTAAATTGAATCATGGACATAAATGGATGAGATCAACATCGAGATCCAGAATCAAAGGCAAAAAGAAGACCAGACTCTAATTTGAAATCAAAATCAACCATAATGCAGACATGCATGGATGGAGGGATGGGTATCGAATGTACAGGCAGATAGACAGGCATGTATACAAGGGATAAGATGTGGCATGGGCCAATGACGAAGAAATACAAAAGGGGGAGAAGAGAAAGATCCAAAAAAGTGAAGATAATAGAGTAATAACAAGATGTATGAGGTAGGTAACACATGAACAAGAAGGGGAAGTAGACATGGACAAGATGTGTGGATAGATGGTAAACAGTAGTCTAAGTAAGAGATGTTAAGACAGAAGGGGAATGGAAAAGAAATATGGGAATGAAACAGGAAAGAAAAGAGGAAGGTGTCTTTATCTTCCCTGACTGTATGGACATCTCTTTCTCTTTCTTTCTCATCTAATATCTTCGTTGTTTTGTGTTTTTTGCTGTGTCGTCTATAACGTATACCGCAACCGTCTCGTGGCCTCAACAGCAATAAGCGAGCTCAACGAGCCAATGAACAAACAGATGGAGATCGCATTCGGCGAATCCTTGTCCAGGTTCATCCACTGCGCATCGTTATTCGGCGTCGAGTCGTCGGGCTTCGTGCTGCCCGGTTCAAGGATACTGAACACGATCCAGCTGATGAAGGTGCCCACGAACTGCGGGAGCGTGGTGTACACGTTCAGCACGCCGAGGTAGATACCCGCTAGCTCGCCCGTCGACGGGATGTTGGAGGAGGAGCCGCCTTCGACGTCGCTGTCTTCGCTGTCCGTGTCGTCGTGGTCGTGGTTGAGGCGGAGCACGTCGAGTTCGCTATCGGCTGCGTTGGCGTCGCCGTAGGCGCCGGCCGCGCGGAGGCTGGACGAGGTGATCATCGTTACGCCTGAGCTGGTGGGGCGGTGGTTGGGGCCCAGGGCGAGCTTGTTGATTTCGACGCCCATGAAGGCGAAGGGGGCCCAGCAGGTGATGGCCCAGGGGATGCCGCAGAGGGCGACGAGGAAGGTTGCGAAGGCGCGGGAGCGCGCGAGGGGGGCGAAGATCATTGTTGCGGCGAACATGATGTGCGAGATGAGCCAGGTTAACTGGAGGTCGGGGCGGTAGGCCATGATGCGCTTGAGGAGCGCGGCGATGCCGGGGGGTGGGCGGGGTGTGAACCGCGGCCGTTTGCTGTCGGGGGGTTGGACGCAGAATGGGAGGAGCACGGAGCCGATGAAGGTGATGGAGGAGAAGACTACGAGGGAGAGACTGCCGACGCGGCCGACTTCGCCTAGCATGTCGCTTGGCTGGATGGAGTCTTTGGGGACTTCGAATCGGAAGTAGGTCTCGCCAACCCAGGTCGTGCTGTAGAAGAGGAAGGGGAACCAGCCTATACATGTTAGGGTCGAGGTGTCCAGGTTGTGAGGTATTCATGCGATAGTAGGCAACGTACCAATCCAAGCCCAGAACTGCGCCCAGCAGATAGCTTGAATCCGCGGCGGCAGATCCATCGTCGTCTTAATAAGCTGCGAGATAACTTGAAGGGTTCCGGTCTTTTCGTCCGAGTCTCTGCGACAGGTTAGCATAAACGCCTGAGGAATAATCATCTCCGGCGACGCACCTCGCAGTGACCAAGACCCGCTCTTTCACGCAGTAGGACGTGACGGCGACGGCGATGAGCAACGACAGCGCCGCAATCACGGTCATCTGTTTGAACTGTGTGTCTCCGATGGTCGTCCCGAAGATACTGACGGTGTCGATAGAACCGATGACGTATCCAATCAATTGACCGATGGCCGACATCCGAGTGGCTGTATGGGTCAATGTCAGTTACCATTCTGCTTTGGAGGACGGATCCAAGGCCTACCCCACGCTGACCCCGATTGCTGCGAGGAAATGGGCAACGTATCCACGATCAAGCTGCGACAGCATGCTTGGACTAGAAGGCGATTAGAAATCTTGGACCGGACAGAGACCACAACTCCGACACTCACCGATATTGATCGCAAAATCCACGGCGTAGATGCTGAGAACCGCGAGGGCGATAGTCGCATTGTTGGCCTAACATCCAGTAAGCGGCTGAGACGCGGGATATAGTACGTAGGAGGCGCGAAAAATGGCACTCCTCACCTTCTCCGCATCCTCCACAAAAAGTCCAACAATTTCCGACGTCCAGCCTAAAACCAACAAACACCCAGTCACAACGATCGACCCAAAGAGCATAAACGGCCTGCGTCTCCCCCATTTAGACCGGGACCGATCCGCAATCACCCCAATGAGCGGCTGGATAATGAGACCGGACAACGGACCGGCAATCCACACAAGCGACGTCCGCGATTTAGTCAAACCGAGCTGCAGGAGATACGGCGTACAATCTGTTCACCGACGAACGAAAGACCGATGAGTAAGAGTAACGGGCGAGGGAATCCGGACGACCGGGCTCAGACGGAGCAGGCGGGCTTGGGCTTACAAGTCATTTCAATCCCCCAGGTGAACCTACACCGCGAGACAAAAGAACCACGTCAGTACGGGCCCCGCGAAAGGAAAGAACAGGAATCGCTGTTCAAAAGAGCTAAATCAAACATACTGTAACCCCAACAAACTAAACGTCAACAGCGCCATGCGCATCGACTCCGTTTTTCCCTTGATGGACGGAGAGCCCACCCATCTTGCAGCTTGTGGCATCTTTCCTTTTTTTTTTATTGTTGGAAAACCCCCTTATCGTGTCGAGATATGTACACCCCGCATGCGCTGGTCACCCTCACGGAGCCAGCCCTCTCTCCTTCCCGCGAACCGGGGGGGCCGGATGGGCGTCGGTTCGGGCTGTCGCGTGCTCACCACCAGACCGGGGTACAACCCTGCAACGCCTGATCGATCGCGGATATTCGGTGAGATGCTCGGTCGCGGTGGGGGTCCGGGTAGATTGATGGCGTCCGCGGGGATAGAAAAGGGCGGGTTGAGGACGATTTGGCCGTCGCACGATCGGGGCTGTCGGAAGATAAAAATAGCAGCGAGGAATGGAAGGATGGTTGAGTTCCGCGAGACGGACGAGGGGCGAGAGTTGACGGTGGTGGAGAGTCACCCAGGCGGGGTAAATCGCGGGATAGAAAGAGAATAGACGAAAAAAAGTTCCGGGGCGAGACCGAGTGAGTGACAGCAGAATAGGGGAGTCAAGATAAGGCAGAAGGAAAAAAGACACAAGGATTGAAGCCAAGCAAGGTCAGGTCGAGGAGGAAAAGCCCACACAAACAGCCAACACGCATGCATGCGGGACTTCTCCCCCGGCCCGTCAAGGGTGGGAGACCCACTCGGGACGTTATTAATAGTTGATGTCCTGAAACAGGGACCTTTCCTTCATCTGTCTCCTCCATTCTTTATTCTTTCGATCGAATTCTATCATAGGGTGTCCGTCGGAGGACGGGGTCTCTACTCTTTACATTAATCTGTCTGATGCACGGACATCCCGCGGTTTTTGGAAGTTTTCCACGATCCATCCATCGTGATGGCTCGTAACAGTTCACTGCCTTTGTTTCTAAATCGGACCGACGATAACAAAAAAAATGTGAAAATATGAAAATAAAATATAGAAAAATAAATAAAAAAGACAACAAGAACCGAACAAAGGAAAATTCGCGACAAAAATGAAAATCAATGGATATATCTCGTCATTGGCCCACCCGGATGCATCACTTCATATCGCCCTCCTTCCCGTTATATGGCTACCTCGTGTCATGTCGTAACAGCGAACAAACGATCCAGCACTGATAGCCGAGATGATCGTCTTCAACGTATTTTGTACTTCATTTCTTCTTTCTTTCTTTTTTTTTTGGTTGTTTTTCCTCATGGCTGTTCTCGTTTCTGGGCTTCCCCATCACATGTCAACCGCGAGGCGGTCTACAGCCGGTTGGGAGCAGACGTCACCGGCCACTGGTAGCCTGCGGCGTCGCTGAATTTATATCCAAAGGACGCGGTGAAATCGTCGAGGACAGCGGGACCCCGGGAACCTAACGACATCATTAGTCTACATTCGCGTGGTTCGTCAGTGGGGAAAACGTACCGTAAGGGTAATCCATGGGAATGATCTCCTTGTTGTCGTCCAGATAGTGTAGGAGAGGACTGAACATCTTCCAGCTGGCATCCAGCTCGTCGTCGCGGACGAAGTTGGAGTGGTCGCCCTTAAGCGCATCCAGGATCAGAGACTCGTACGCCTCGGGGATCTTGAGATCGGAGAAGCGGCGACGGTAGGTCAAGTCGAGCTCGGTAACCACAGTCTGCATGGACAGACCGGGCAGCTTGGAGTTCATCTTGATATACACCGACTCGTTGGGCTGGACACGGATGACCAGCTCGTTGCGGGGGATATCCTTGAAGATGCCCGAGGTGACATCACGGAATTGAATGCGGATCTCGGTCTTCTGCTCGTTCAGGGCTGCGATGGGCGGTCAGTCTCCCCCGGTCAAACCAAACGTGGAACCGCAAAGCATACCTTTACCGGCCTTCAGGATGAAAGGCACGCCGTCCCACCGCTCGTTCTTGATGTACGCGACCATGGCGCAGAAGGTCGGGCACCGCGAGTCCTGGGGAACCGTGTCGTCCTCCTTGTACGCGGGCTTGCTGCCGTCCAGCGACTTGCCGTACTGGCCGATGATGACGTTCTTCGGCTCGATGGGGTCCATGGCGCGCAAAACACGAACCTACAGAGGTTAAAACTGGTATAGTAAGGGGGGTGGTTGGTTTGGGTTACCTTCTCGTCACGGATATCTTCAGCCGAGAAGGAGATGGGACGCTCCATGGCAAGCAGCGTCAGAACTTGCAGAAGATCTGAGAAGACAAGGCAGGTCAGCAAACTTCCCGTATCGGTCAACTAAAAGGTGCAGCGACTTACGATTCTGCATCACGTCACGAATGATGCCAAACTCGTCAAAGTAACCCCCACGGCCCTCAGTGCCGAACGGCTCCTTAAACGTGATCTGTTCCAATCGACGCATGTCAGCGATCCGCCGGAATTGATTCCATAGAAGAAAGAACAACAGGGTTACACACCTGAACATTGTCGATGTGGTGGCGGTTCCAAGTGGCGTTGAAGAATTCGTTGCCAAAGCGCATGATCAGAATGTTCTTGACCATCTCCTTACCCAGGTAGTGGTCAATCCGGAAGATCTCCTCCTCCTTCCAATTGGGCTCGAGGGCTTTTTGCAGCTCGCGCGAGCTGGTCAGGTCCTTGCCAAAAGGCTTTTCGACCTAGATGGGCAGACCGGATTAGTTGGGAGGTCTATTAGTGAGCAATTCGGTCGACTCACGATAATTCGGGCGATGCCGTTCTTGGGGTAGCAGTTCTTCTTTAACTTCTCGGACACGGTGATGAAAACACTGGGGGGAAGGGCCATGTAGAAGACACGGTTCTGCTCGCGGTGACCCTTCTCGACGCTCTCCAGGTGCTTGTTCAGGTTGATGAAGGAGTCATCCTGGTCATATTGACCGGAGACGTAGGTGCAAAGCCCGCAGAAGCTATCCAGCTGCTCCTCGATTTCCTTGGTGGGGGTCTTGATGTAGGATCGCACGCGTCTCAGGTACTCCTCGTGGTCCATGCTCGTCCGGGCATAACCGACGATCTTGATTCCCTTAGGCAGGAATTTGTTGCGGTACTGGAGGGCGGGTTAGCACCGGGGATCTCGAGTCACTCTCGGGGGGCGAGCTTGTGGAACATACGAGGCCAAAGAGGGCCGGGAACTATCCAGATCACAAAAAAAAAGAACCGTTAGTGAACTCGTCGCATTACCTGGCACCAACCCGATTGATCGAGGTGACTCACGGTCTTCTTCTTAGCCAGATCTCCGGATGCACCGAGGACAACAATGGCGGTGTCATCCTTGAGCTCGAGGGTGCTGCGTGAGTACCCCATATTAGCGTAAATCAGAGAGGAAATGAGCGGTAGGTAAGGTGGTATCGTTGGATATGAAGAGAGGATGCGATTGACAGCGTTGTAAAAAGCGCAAAAAGACAAACGACCAGGATAGAGATTGGGCAAAGAGGAGAGGATGAATCTCCAATGATCAAGGACGGTCAATTCCGTAGAGATGTCCGATGAGGGGGAGATTTTTCAATCAGAAGAGACCAAGAAAGTGGTACTCTGATGGGGGGAGGAGTGGTTGAGGGAGTGGGCGGGCAAAGCAGGCGGAGGGGTGTGATGTCAGAGAGCGAAAACTAGGTGGCAGCAATGGTGGTGGCAGTAGTAGTAGTAGCAGTAGTTAGTAGTAATCAAACTCACCCAGCGTTCTGACGTTCCTCGGTACGAGCTATTGTGCTAGCCATGATGTAGTAATGGAGGAAATGGGGAAGGAAGTCTAAAAAGGTGAAGGGAAATGGGAAGAGGAAGAAAGAGGGGAAAGGGAGAGAGATGAGGAGGTTAAAGAGGAAAAAACTCCCAGAGTCCCGGGCGGAGGAGGTTTGGATTTTAACGTGAGGACTGCAGCTCCTCTCTCTATACCTCAGTCTTACAGCGCCTGCAAGGTGGGGCAACCGGCTGAGGTCAATCTTGCGGATTTCTCCAAATATCTACAAGCCCGGGCTCGTTCATTCTGTATTCTATGTTTTGATTGAGAGGGGATTTTCAACGGTCTATTTCTATCTTGCATCATTCTCATTCAATCGATAGGGATTGTTGTATTTCACGCATCATCTCAGTGCAATCCAGTCAATACTAAATCAATCCTCCTTATCGATAGACATGATTTTATCCGAACCAACTAATCCAATTCGCCGGGATTTCTCATCCACTGATCAAGGGCTGGAAGCGGTCGACCTTCCTTCTTTTCCATTTCATTTATTTCTGTACTATTACTCTGATTGATGATCACAATGATGATCTGTTCACCCCGCGTCGCAGTTCAGACCTAACAGTCAGGTCCACATTAGCACATTAAGCACCGTCGAGATCTGAACAGGATTATCTCCCGACAAGAAGAAGCAAATCTACCCAGCGGAGACCGGTCAGATCAGAATCCCTCCGCAGGCAAGATGCGGACGCCGCACGCTGGATGATTACGTTGGTGGTGGAAATTTCAATGCCGGTGGAGCCTCTGATTGATAGTCAGCTATACCGATGTACACTATACGCAGGGATATCTGTCTCCATGTACGCGACCCCGTTCAAAGAATGGGATGCACCACAGCCATCCCCAGCAGGATACTGGTCAAGAAGCGACTTCGGAACCCCACCAGGGAAAAATTCACTGGACCATTTGGGTTGGAAGATGCCGCTCTCGAAACCATCCTCCGGTGAAGGAGTCGCGGGGTTGAGTCGTCGGATTTGTCATCCGACAGGATGGGACACTTTTATAGATACGGTAGTAACTAGTTCAACGAATTAAGTTACGGGATCTCTTTTCCCGTCGTCGACTGGGAGATAATAATAAAAAGGGGTAACAAACCAATGATACTACAACGAGGATGATAGATTCGTACCAGACCGAGACGAGACGTTCGGCCCAGATGGCTCCGGGCTTAAGCTTAGCTGCCGATGCAGGGGCCGTGCTGATTAACCGTTACAGCCTGGACGGGAGGGGAGGTCCCTTCAATACCTACTAAATTCCACCTCCTCAATACTAAAGAAACAGTGTAAGATTTTCCCATTTCGATGCATGTAAATCGTGATTGGTTCAGCATGGCAAATCCAAAAACAGCGAGAAAGTGGAATGTGGCGTGCGGTTAAAGTATTCCAGCGAAATCATGTCAAATGATTGCCGATGCCAGGTGGGGCGGGGGGACTCTGGCAATGTTTCCAAAAGGGTACTTTCGGTCTGATCGTGCCGCATGGAAAGATGGAGTCAAAGTCTCCAATCCTTGGCCCTCCCTCGCCGACAACAAAGTATGCCAGCCAGTCAACCTTGGATGGTTGTTTACTGCGCCGGTCACGGCAGACCCAATCGAGCATCCCGTTCCGTAGCCATTTCTGACACCAAAAAACCACTGCAGATTGTCCTCCTACATTGAAGATCGTACAGCGGGATGCGCTGCACCCCGTGGAAGACAACGAGGGATGTCCAATGCATGGACCGAACTGCACGGGAATGGACCCAGTGTCGTCATTGGGGGGAGACTCAACCGTCTGTTTTGTCAGCTCTGGCCGCTTGAGGCACAGAGCTCCTAACCTGGTGCAGTAGTCCAGCGAACCAGTCTCGGATCACTGTACCCCGACTGTACAATTGGAGATGGTGGGGGGAAAAGGCCAGAAAACAAGAGAGGAGCAAGTCCCAGGGAGACGGAGAGTAAAGAAACAGGGAAACACGGAGGATGACTCAGACGACGATCATGACTCAGGGCTGACACATCCATTTTTGCCGGAATGCAAGATCTATTTATCCGAGCTTATCTCAAACAGGCTTAGTGGGATTAGAGCCAAGACCCATCACGGGACTTGACTTAGCCCTGGGCTGGATCGCTAAGCGTTCCCATTCGGGTTTAGGGCGAGCCGCGCCAAACACACCTCGCAAATTGTGACCATTGTGCGTCGTCCCCGACCTATCTCGAAGCGACGACAACCACCGACAAACCCGGACGACTTTTTGCGGGTCATCTCTACCTTCTTTTCGACTTGCTTGCGTTGCCCGCTGCTGCTCAGAGAATCGCCGTCAGAATGCCTTCGGAACAAGGTCACAGACGTGAGTGCTTTTACCCGCCTGGTGGATGAATACGCGGGCGCATTATATTGGACGTTGGCGGCGGATTTGGAGATGACTCCAGGAGGAGTGCTTTTTGTCGGGAGTATTGCTAACATTGTTTTTCCCTAACAGTTTATGTCAAGTAAGTTCTTGAACATTCATCCCGTCGAATCGCGCACGCCGGAAACGAGAAGGAGATAGGCCGATGGATATACATATTATGTCGCCTGGAGGATTTCGAATGGACCTGCGGATTTGGCACCCACGGCATTATCAGAACAAGGAATTAACGCGAATCTTTCTCCAGGGGTCGCCACCTGAGCTACCAGCGCTCCAAGCGCCAGGTCAACCCCAACACCAGGTACGGATCAGCGTCATGAGATATCGAAATGGAAAACGGGACAATGGAATCTGACAATCACCCTAGTCTGATCAAGATCGACGGTGTTGACAACACTGATGCCGCCAAGTGAGTAATATCCGAGGGAGGTCAGATTGGAGTTCAAGGGACTGGAATGCTAAGACGAAACTACAGCTTCTACCTGGGCAAGAAGGTCGCTTTCGTCTACCGGGCCAAGCGTGAGGTTCGGGGCTCCAACATCCGGGTGATCTGGGGCAAGGTCACCCGCTCTCACGGTATGTGACCGAATCCCGATGATATCAACGTACCCGACGGGGGTTTACGACGGAAGAACGTGAACTCACAATAATCTAGGCAACTCCGGCGTTGTCCGTGCTCAGTTCCGCCACAACCTCCCTCCCAAGTCCTTCGGTGCTTCCGTCCGTGTCATGCTCTACCCCTCCAACATCTAAACGACCCATTTTATATCATGTTGTTAGCTGGCACTTTTTTCCGGGAATTCTTTGCGCAGACGGTCGGGCAAAGGAAGTCGGGAAATCGCCGATGTTGAATTGAGATGGGAGTTGGGCGGTTGAATAATGTTTCGTGGGAGAGGGCAGGGCCTGTTTTTCCGCCCTACGAATTGAAATAAAAGAAATCACTTTGTTTTTCCTTTTATTTGCTACAGCATGTTGAATTTGGTCGGCTTCTGGACACTTTTTATCGAAGGGGCTCTCTCCCACCCTGTTTAGGTACGGGGGGGGTTTTTGAGAGCTCCGACGTGTCTTTTGTCTGACAAGCATGGCCTCCCGACGATCATCAAACACCAATCCATACCATTTCAACCATCGGTACTATTCCATTATGCTTGGGCCTCGTGCGCATGATTCTTGATAAGTGGGCTAGCATCGGCTATGTACAGTTATCTATCTTGGATCAATTACCCATGCGACCACGATCCAATAGCTGTCACCCTTATCTGTATCTTGTATCGCATGTGTAGTGATCTAGCCACAGTCCGCAGATCTGACGTAGCCACAAACAGCCCACACACCGCTATACCTCAAGATTGGCACTGTTGCTCAACTATATCTACGGCATCTACTGTAACTACCCATCCCTACCGGTCAAGAATTATTTATCTCTAACCGAACAAGTTACCATACCAGCATCCCAGGAGAGCCTTGCGCTGTAATTAGTCACTACTCACCAGGCAAAAGCATAGATTCTCTCCGATGTAGCACAAATCATTTGATGCATGATCGATTTAGATACGGGTTTGGTTCCCGCGCTTCAGGTATAAGGTACAAGGTGCTTGACGTGGGGAAGCGGAAGGGCCTACACTGTATTTATGTGCAGACTTCATTGATAAGGGAGAAAATCAGTAGTTGCGATGGGGCTAATTGTAGTAGTATATGATTTTTTCAGTTGGACTAGGCATGTTATATATAGACGGTTACTAGGTACTGATGTCTTATCGCATGGTTCGTTTGGGTGTGGTCAGTTCTCATGTGATTTATAGGGAGGGATTAGTATGAGCCTTCCAAGTAAGAAGCATCTTCCCTATACCCAACATACGTCAACAGTGCTCCGTGCGTAGAGGAGTCAAATCTCATGCGACAACGCCGACTTAATTTGACATGTGGGTGAGACATCCATTATATAACTAGTCATGCACACACACAGACAAGACGGCCCTAATCGCCCATGACTCCCCTGAAACACCAAACCATGGAATTAACACGATCCGTGAGTCAATACCAAACATGATCCTACCCCGCAAGAGAAATCCGAAATCCAGGGTGAGCAGTGAGCAGTACTTCTGGAATCAAAACACCTTGCATGGAGTTAGTTTCATGGGAATTAAGGTGGACGCCATCCCCCACCCGCACGACCCACTGCGGTCAACCTGACGACGATCATCGACCTTTTGCCATTGGATTGGATGGCGCTCAACAGAAAATTTGAAGTCAGAGGGAACCATAACTATACGTATACTGGAGTAAACCGGAGGTTGGGGCATTGATTGTTCTTTCCCTCTCGTCAACTATTTTCATTTATTTGATTGTGGCTGAGGCGCGGGGCAATCAATCCACCATACCTCGGAACACCACTGAGACACAAACCAGGCTAGATCTGGGAGTGTACAGACAAGTGATCGGATTAGGCTTAACCCGTGAAAATTTCAAAGACAATGTGACACCGTCCAGAGCGCTCTGGTCCGAGATGACCTCGACTGAGGTTACACCCAAGGTGATTGTGGTCGCCAATGGGAAGATCACGGATGGATTCTTCGGACGGTCTTATCGTGGTACTGTGAGGGAAGTCAGAAGTGTGGTCAATAAGGGAAGCGATCATGATGAGATGTTATCGTGATTTGTTTTTGAAGGATTGGCCAACGCGTCGGTTGGATGGCGATACGCTAGGCTGGACGATGGATATAAATAGCCCGGCGTGAAGGATCTGATTGATGGAATGGTGTGGATGACGCAGCCTCGGTCGATCAGACAATGAAAACTACCTAGTAATTAGGTAGTGTTGTTGATGTGTACCGTAGAAGAAAAGAAGAACCTGTCATGATGATAGAAGTATCGATGTTGGATATATCATTCTCTTTCTCTGGGTTTGCACGTGGTATCAATGGAAGATTGGTAGACTATCAACAGGATATATGAATTGACATTAGAATAATATGATAGAGAATGATATAGAATATAGATAACATAAAAGCAGGTGAATGAAGAGGATCGCACTTACCTAGGTATCACTGGTATATTGACCGGCCAAGACAGCGTGGCGTCTGTTGTCCATCAGGAGTTGTAAACATATAATAGATCCATGATCCATCTCTGCCCTTGTTATCTTAGTTGTTGTCACTCATCACTATCTTGACATTGGATTCATTCTTTGACACCATCCTAGGTATCATACACACCTCTGATTTCTTTCTCTCTTTCTGTTTTTGCTTCTCTATTTCTTTTCCTTCGCCCCCTGCAGCCCGGTCGATCGCAATTCAAGACCCATCACCCCGATCATACAGAGTACAGATCACAGAATACATCCCTTCATCCTCCGGCCGATCCTTCCCACATTCCAAGGCGTCCCAATCTCTCCACCTGGCAGATTGCTTGGCGATTTCCACCGCTATCGCGGGTTTGTGCTCCACAGCGGGCGCCATAGTTCATCACTTCCGAATCGCTGATCAGAGCGCTAAAAAATAACCCAACATAAATAAAAAACATGGCCGCCCCCCAGCCCGTCGCATCGCCTCCTCGACACGGTCGACGTTCCAGTCTAGGAGCCCGATCCGAAAAATCTCATCGTTCCACCCCCTCCGCCAACAAACTTCATCTGACCGAATCCCACGAAGATAAAGTCAAGCGCAATCTACATACCAAAGCTGATCCCATGCTGGCCATGAATGAGGCGCAACCGAGTATGTCACTAGAGCCGTTCCGTCCTTATCTCCACCACCACCACCACCACCACCACCACATTCTTCCACATTGATTGATCTGTACACCGGTCACATCCATGAAACTGACAACGATATAGTCGCAGTTGCTTTGGAGAAATCCACACTGGGCTCATTACGGGAAATGCAGCACAAGGATCAGTTTGGGAATATCATCAGTGCGTACATATCCCTTATCCTACCGCTGAGGTTCCCCCTGGCAACCCACCCTAATCGGATGTGAGAATAGCTGATCCGGATCGATCGAACCCGACCCGGCCCCGGCTGGAGCGCCCGCTGGACACGATCCGCTCCTTCGAAGCCGCCATTTATGGCTCGTCCAGTAGTAGACCGGTGTCGTATGCAAAGACGGGTGAGTAACCCCCCTTACGTCGAGTTGCGCGGTCAGACGCTCATTGGTGTGCTTGTTGGTAGAAGAACCCACAGGCGATGGCGCATACAGTCGCCGCAGCAGTTACTTTGGAGGTAGTGTTCCTCCATGCAGTAATCTTTCGTATCTGGCAACGGTCGCATCTGCGATCGCGGCTTGCGTGACCACCAGCTGATCGTCGTCTTTTCACAGGAGCCAATGTATACCGCCATAGCGAACAGAGTGCATATTACAACGGTCGAGGACAAAGCTACTCGCGACCGGTCAGTTACGTCGAGAACTATGGCAATGGCAATGGCAATGGCCAGCCGTCCGATCACTTTTACCCTTACAACCAAGGCGGCGGTCGATCCCGTCGACCGCCCCCGCGCATGAACGCAGAACAAGTGTCTTATGGGGGCAATGGGCCGAATGGATATGCGCAGAATGGGTACGGACGGTCGAACGAGAACATGGCCACGCCCTCTGGTTCAGGCACGGGACCAAATACCGACCCATGGGGCAACTCGACCGATCCCAGTTCGGTCAACAGTTCCCTCGACCAACTGCAGCAGCAACAACAACAACAGCAGCAGCAGCAGCAGCAGCAGCAGCAGAAAGTATCGACGGTGGACTATGGATTTCAATTCGGCCCTACACCGAACTTAGATCCCAATCCTGTTGCAACCAGCGGAAGGATCAACCTGGGTAGTACAGTCCCAGCCACCGATCCCAGTGCCGGGGGCCCAGTGGGTGGGCCTGCAGCCGGTGCAGCACCCACGCGTCGCAATCTACGCAAATCCATCAATAACGCCTCCGAAACGAGCGACTCGAAGAGCGACACGAAGCGACGAAGCTGGTTCAAGCGGAGATTCTCCAAAGACTAACCACCATACCTGTATCTTGCCTCTTTGGATTCACCGTTTCCACTCCACGAGCGATTTTCTTTCCATTCATCACTGTAATAATTGATATGGCGTTTAGGCGAGTCATCCACAATAGCGACGGAACAGCGATGCAGGCTCAACTGAACGGATTTGGGAGACTTCACTCCGGTGGAGATCATCCCGATACTTTCTTTTGATTGATTGATTTTCTTCTACTTTCCTTAACGCGATTGACGAGTTATGATTGATACACGGGGTATACGCTGTACTGATGGTAACTTGTATTCTTCCCCTACTACCCTTCCTTTTGTGGTTGATATTACCCCTTTCGAGTGGAGGCCTTACATACATGATTCTCGGCCACGATAAATATAATTGACTGTTTATATTATTCTACTGCTGCTGCTGCGTATACTTGAAATTGTAGGCGTGGTCTGGGATTGTAGTCCGCAAATTGTGCATCATGTAATTATAGATCGTGCACCATTATGCAGATACTCCAGCGGAAGATGGCCAAATATAATCAGTAGTTACTATTGCGCTTCAGTCCTAGCCCCCAATAGATAATACAAAAATACTCAATACTTTTCCTAAACCAATGTAACTATCTCACCACACCCCTTACCTACGTACCATCTAGCACCATATCCTCCACCCCATACCATACCAAAACGACATCAGCTTCAAGAAGACTAAATCTTTATTCTTGAGCCGTGCAGACTGGTCATTAACGACGTGGTAGAGATATTGCGTCGAGACCAGATCTTCTGTAGTTCATGATGTTGAGGATATGGAGAACGAAGAAAGAGGACGGGAAACTGATGTGGTGGTGTTAACTGGTTGACTGGCTGGCGACATTTTCAGAAATGGTTGGCTGATGAATGAATGAGCACAGCTCTCTCGTATGTTATTCTTGATAAAAATTTAGTCAATGAACCCCCCAGCCGCTAGATTTACTAGTGTGTTGGATTGTATATTGGCTCAATGGGACCGGAGTTGACTGGTGTCACACTACTTGCGTAGAGTACATAGATAACGCACAATGAAATAGAGCATCGTTGAGAAGTGGCTTATCATCAGCCTCTGTCAAAAGGAGAGCGAGTACTTGTGGGCCTCGTTCTTCAGGCTGGTTGTTTGTATGTGTGTGCTTGTGCTCGATGGGATGGGTCGAGGGGTGTATGTGGTATAGTGAGTGGCGTAAGGTAGGATGTGTAGAGTGTGTAGAATGTGTATAGACAACTGATGGGTTCGATGACATGTCCGCTCTGACTTGATGAGGTGCGCCGACGGTGGGAATGTGTCTCTTTGGGAGACTTCACTGTGTCTATCTGAGAGTCTTTGTATCGGAGATTGGACCTCATCTCAAGCTTGAAGAATCCGAGATCGTGCGATCTGACACCAACGATATATAGGGCGACATCGTGGAACATGTGAGAAGCATATGATCCGTAGCGCAGAGAAGTCATGAAAGGCACGGAGACAGCATGGGATCGGAAGAGCGTGGAAACATGCTACACATGTAAATGATCGAAGGGAGCATGTGTCCTCTGGTGGTAACAACGAAATTTCCATTTTCAGATCCAAAGTATGGAAATATCAGCGAAATAAATCCCAACAAGATCACTCTTCTCATCGCTCTCTGCAGCTCTACTACCTATTATCATAGGTGGAAGCGGATTGGTGTACAGGGAATAGATAACACCTGATGCTGAGTCTGTTATATCTTGCAAAGCAGCAACTGCCCCTCTGCTTACTGAAAAAGAATCGGTGCTTGGAACAGGCTTCGTGCGCACTAGTATCGTCGTTTCGCATTCCTCAAGCTTAGCGAGAGTACCCTTTCCTGGGGCGGATTGCTCGCTGGCTGCCGACCTCATCACGTTGTCCATGCCTCAGCCATCAAGATAACATGACTCCAAGCGAAGGAACATGATAATTATACTAGTTCAAGGTATAGAAAACCAAAAGTGCGGATGACCAGGCTATTGTCTGGTAATGCGGTGTATTTCACACTGTCCTCCCATTATAAACATGCCGGTATAATGTCACAACCGACATATACTAATCAGATCGTTGAAGTTCGTTTGGGGACAGGGCCATCGATACCCCAGGCCAGCTGGTTGTCGAAAGGTATTCTCCAGCGGTCTGATAGTGACTGCTTCGTGAAAATTCATCGTTGCATTCTTTGTCATAGTCGTAGGAGGTTTATATAGGGCAGGACTTGCTGTCCTGTTGTTGCAGTTGTTGCAGGATGGCTTTCTAGACGCAACGAGCTTGCTTGATGTGGTTCTCAAATAGGCATAAAGTGGACTTGGCGAAATAAGGGCCACCCCTCATAAGAACAGTCCGATAAACGCAATGGTTGCGCGGTAAAGATGGGACCGGTCAGTCGATAGGACCGGTCAATTGCACCAGGCGGTGGTCAAGGGGAGGCATGGCGGTTTCATGATGCCCGTTCGAGGTATTTTCACTGGCGGAAAACCAAACATCCCACAATTTATATCATCTCGTTTGTTGTTGCACTTCGGCTCGCACGCGAAACTTGCATATATTCCTTCGACAGAATGACGAACTGTCTTGTCCTTTTTCTGATCGAATGATATAAAACCTATGGAATGGGAGTTATAGTTTTTGGAAAGATACTAGCTCATTTATGAAGCATTTTCTGCCCAAGAAGTTGAGGTTCGATAGTATATAGCTCGAAAGTGTATATGTCCAACAACATGGTATTCGGGTCGCTAGCTGGGGACAAATGAAAGGACCTTTCACATGTCGATTTCATAGACTGGTTTGGGGGACTGAATTGGTCTTGAATGACAGTTGTAATATAATATAGGCTGGAAAGAAGTATAGAAAGTAGAACCAGGATCTGTCAAGAGGGGAGGGAGTTTATATGTCTTTTTCAGTTTACTACAAGATATTGAATTGAATTTTTCTTTTCTAACAACGGTTGCATAGCCGCATTTTTGATCAAGATATCACGAAATGCTCAGAAATAAACCACTGCTTGTGAAGACTTTGAAAGAGGTGCTGATCGTATACTTCAATAATGAAGGGGATGTGAGAGCTGAGCAAACTCACCCTTAAGAGGGTTGTAGGTGTCGTCTTTCAGGTCTTGTTTGGCTTTCATCCATCAGTGTATTTACCCAACCTGTGACACCTTGTTTCCTGTCCATTGTGTAGAGCTGTGCATCTTCCTGATTGAAAGTGGTACGTAGTGTATCAAACATACTAGACATACTAGGACGTAGACATAATGCTTGCACATATTGGGACATCTGTTTCTAGACCAAACAAAAGAACCACAAACAGATCCATCATAGCCAGTGGGAATCACAGAAAGTAGCAAACAAGTGACAAAAAGGTAAATAACATAAAACAAAAGAGATAGCTACCACCACATCACATCGAACCAACTAACCAAACAAGAGTCTCATTTCCCAAACAGCTTCTGCTTCAATTTATCCGCAAGCCCTGCATAAGAAAGGGTCTTCTGATGCTTCTTCTCCTCTTTTTCTTTGCGACTCTGCTCGTCCAAGTGCACGTTTCCTTGGCCGCCGCGCTGGTATCCGTTAGCATGTTGCCACATTCAAACCTAACATCAGGATCAAAGAATTAAAATTGAAAGACATACCCCAACGTGGTAGTCACCTTCGACTGATTTGCGAACCGCCAGTTCTGGAACGACCTGGGTATCATGGGGGACGGTAGACGTTGGTCGCACGTTGGGAGAGCCGATATTGCCGGCTCCACCGCGCTATCATAGATGAAATTTGTTAGAGAAAGGATGTGGTATGGTATGTATAAACTGCGCTTGGGTGACTTACACCCGCCGAGTACGCGCCGTCGCCTTGGTCGCCGTATACACCTTCGCGAACTATACCCGCATCGACGTATCTATCCTGAGCGTTAGCATATTATGGTAGGATTGTATAATTCTGAGCCATCAGAGACGTACGGGGTTGGATCAGCACCGATATTCCCCTGGCCTGCGACACAAGTGACATTAGCTACCCAAGACATCCACAAAACAAGCGGGATCCAAAGCAACACACCTCCACGACCATGCGACACGATCGGCTCATGGTTCTCGTTTTCGACCATCACTGCGGTGGAAGCTGGTGTCGCTTTTTGGGCAGCACTGAGATAAGCAAGGAGTGGAAGAAAAGGGGAAGCGTCAGGGGAAGGAAGAAGGATGCCCAGGTACCTCCCTAGGTACTAGGTAGATATGATTGACTGGAAGGAGATTGATCCGTCGCTGACTAAACCCATGTAGTTCACAAAATCAAGATTGACTCCACCTATTTCACATTCGATCAGGCGCAACACACGTTGTTGTTACGACGATCGTCGCAATTGCGCAGGAGAGTGGGAAAAGGTCGGGAGTGGTCGGGGTGAGGAAGGGCTGGATCTTATATGGGGTAGTGGTACTGGGCAGAATGCCACTACAATTCTGACGCTAAACTTCTGATTAGTATCCTGTGTGTAATATATCTAGTCATGGAATGAGCGCTCCGTGTTGACGTCGAGGATGTACGGGGGGCAGACTACCTGCCCTGCCTGGCTGTATCAGTTTCCCCATAGAGACGGGGAGTCCTTATCGTGATTTGGTGGACGTTGCGACTGATAAGATAAGGCCGTTCCCCACTATGATTGGCCCCACCGATGATTAAAACAGTCTTGGCGGGACTTTATCTACTCCATACAATCCTGGTCTTTGATTGACAATCGTATAGTAGAAAAGGAGTGGAGAATACAATTACAGTCTGGTGGTAGGTACACACAAAACAAAATACGAAAACAAACCAAATTAAAAAGAAAGGCTACGGCGACTCTGGCTACGGTCTTCACCTGTTCAAGATGGACAGGATTAAGAGATCGACATGACGCAGCCTCACTCACTCTTTCTTTTGCGCGGCTGGGCCGCCCCCGGTCGTGGGAAGACCCATGAAGATCTTGAAGGAGTCGTAACTATTGAACATTAGTGTATCTTCTCAAAGAGTCATGGTGTTCAGAGAGCATGACATACATCATCCATTGCAGTCCGGTCTATGCAGCATGCGCGGTTAGCTTGGTCCAGTAAAAAGTAAACGATCACTCACCAAGGTTCCGATCATGACAATTCGGACTGGGAGACCATTCCACAGTCCCGCAAATCCAATTTCTTTGTAGATCCGGCTCATGGCGGCACCGAACGCCTCGCCCGGTTGACGGTTGGCGTTTAGCTTGCTGACCATCACATCGGCAGGATGCGAGACCGCCGCACACAGAATACCAGCAATATATCCACCGGTGAAGGCGACACCCGTCTGGGCCCCCTTGCTGTAGTCCGTCTTTGTGCCCGGCAGATACTTATAGATGAGCTCCACGATGGTCTCGAACGAGGCGAACTTCATCATCGTATATGGGATCTGTCGTCCCCACAGGGGATAGAGTCCCTTGTAGAGACTGCTCCGATCAATATGGCGCGCTGGACAGCCACACCCAGACCGTACTCACCCACTGACGCCTTCCTTGGCAACCACGCTGGAGATCCCGCCAAAAGTGGACCGGATATCGGGCGGGATGGTCGTCTGCCCGCGCACCTTGACAGCCTCGAAGGGGCACAGCGCCACGTCCGCGATCAGCTCCGCCGACGCGCTGGCGACCAGATACAGCGATGTCTTCCACCGTTGGGCATTTTCGATCCCGACCATATCGCTATAGAACTTTTTGAAAAACTCGTACCCACCGTATTTGAACGCTCCTTGGGCCTTTAGTACAGTCAGTGTTAACCTCGAGAGGACTGTCCACCACTCCGCGCCCAGCTTACGCTGTATCCGAAAAATGTAGGACTCCAGCCCGTAAACACTCCCCTGACGCCCTCCGCCGTGCGGATCGTCCGAAATGCCTCGCTGTTACTCTTATACAGCTGCGGGTCCACCTGACGGCGGCATTTGATGAGGTCCAGCGGGGTCACCGCAGTGTGGGTAAGGCCCTATTGAGACGCAGGAGTCAGTGGTGTCATCGCTGTTGAACAACTACCTAATTGCCGTGTTGCAACTTACGCAGGCCAGCAGGCCACCCACTATACAAGAGGCGTAGTACTTGGGCGTCCACGGTTCGATCTTGCCTGTCTTCGCCTGGGCCTTTTGACTGACGACGTCGAATTCCCTCGACGCTTCGTGAGCGAAGGCATCGGCTTTTTTCTTGGTCTCGTCGACCACGCTCCATGCGGGAAAGGGCTGTCGTCTAGTTGACCCGGCGACCTCCGATCGATGCGACCGCTCTGCGGAACGCCCGAGGGGATGCTGGGAGGAGAAAACCGACGTGACGATGCTTTCAGGAGGAAGCATGATTGATTCTGATGAAGAGCCAATACCTGTACGATTGGGAGAGGATGATCCCTGAGATGACTCACGTAGACGGATGTTTGTTTGTAGGTAAAACTGAGTTGCTTATCGATCGCCCCACTGGTTAATTAGATAGTCTTCGGCAAGTCCTCCAAACTCAAGGTTCAACTAGTTAAGGAGATGGATTATATGTTGTTTTGTCACTGGGGGTGATAGGTTAATAGATTGCATAGTAGATTGACCCATTGGACTGAAGATGGCAGTTAAAAACCCCGATTATTTGGACTATTCCGTCGATTCCGTAGTCCGTACCGTACACTTCATCAGTTCATTGATCGTTCTGATACCCCACCGTGATGACGTCCGTGATCTGCACCGCAGGGTTGATTAACTTAATTTATTACACTGCAGTCCGCACCCAAGTATTGGAGTATTTTTGGTTTGAGAGGTACATATGGAGTCCCCCACTGTCTATCAGAGTGCAATGGTCAATGGGACAATAGTGCCTGCTATGGAGTATCTACTCAGCCCGGTCAGATAACCCCACTATGAAAATTTCACCGCTAAATCAATCAATCATTGGAAATACAAAGAGTACGAATGGATCTCCGCGGACTAATACCGACTGTACAAGAATTACTAATTACTAACAGATCAAAAAAATAGATCCGTGGTCTCCACCGATTAGTAATTGCTCTGTTTCGGTGATAAATTGGCCACCGGGTTTGTTCCCTAAATTTGATAAGCTTTGTCTTCAGGCTTATTTCCCCTCCCTGTCAAACCTCTCCATCATCTACTCCTGTCCCTCGATTCTTCAAACAATATGGCCCCTTCAATCTCCATCGACACAAGCGACGATTTCAGCCCGTCTTTCGCGCCAAAGACGGAGCAGAAGCGCAGTCTTCTTTTGGCGCCACCGTCGATCGCCGCCCACGAGGAAAAATTACGGGATGTTTTCACCACCTTCGACCGATCCACCACCGACCTGCAGATGCTGGACCGGGTGTCGGCCGGGTTCGTGTCGCTTCCCGCCGATACATACGATGTGGTCATGGTTTTGACGGACAGCACCGGCGAGCGACGCGGGGAGGCCCTCCAACTCCTCAGCAGAGATGTATACAGTGTGCTGGTGCCGGCGATGAAGTCTGGCGCGAAACTACAGCTGCAGGACGGTCGCATGGATGCGATGCAGGGTTTGGAGGCGATTCTGGCGGGTCTGGTTGAGAAGGATGGTGCGTTCGAGAAGCCGGCGTACCAGGAGGCTGCTGTGCCTCTACGGTTCGGGAAGAAGAAGAAGGAGGGCGAGAATGCGGCGAAGGCGAACACAGTTTCTTTGGATGATGTTCAGGATGGAGATGAGTTGATTGATGAGGACGCGTTGCTGTCTGATGAGGATCTGAAACGGCCCCTTCCCTCAGGTCAGTCCACCTTACCCCAGACTACCCCTCGAGAGACATGATACTGATAGCGTACAGCGGCCAACTGCCAACCAGAGACTGCGAAGAAGCGACGACGCCCCTGCAAGGACTGCACGTGCGGACTGGCCGACCAGATTGAGCAGGAAGACAAACAGCGCGTGGAGAAGTCCGACCAAGAACTTAACGTCCTCAAATTCAACACAGCCGATCTGAACGACGAGGTGGACTTCACAGTGCAGGGGAAGACAGGGTCGTGCAACAGTTGCTCGCTGGGAGACGCGTTCCGATGCGACAGTTGCCCGTACATTGGGTTGCCGGCGTTCAAGCCGGGTGAGGAGGTGAAGATATTGAATGATGTGGTACAGCTGTGAGCAAGGAGCAATCCTGGCTATGATTTCATATTTTACGACTGCGACGCACCTGCCGATCGATCTCGGGTTATACTTGAAGGCATAAAATACATCTTAATGGTCACTTCGTGATGGATAACAAGATTATGAGTTTATTATTTATACAGAATTGTTTCGTTTCGTCCTACTTTATAGAATGTTCTTGCAATCAACAGGTATCAATATATCATATCAAGTGTTCATCGCGTAGTGGGGGTGGAATACCCCTCGCGGGGCCTATTCTGCCGGGCGGTGTATCGCTGGAGACTGAGCACGCGAGCGCTGGATGCACTTTTGAATTTTGATGCTACTTCGTACAAGAATTGATACTGTAGGATTTGTAGAACTCAAGACACTGAACAGAAGAGGTAGTCTCCCATGCCAACACGGCTGTCCCAGTAGGCTTTCTACAGAAGCAAAATATACACACAGGCACCAACTAGTACAAATCAGGCATCATCGATCAAATCGGGAATAGCGCCCTTTTACTTATCGCGGCAATATGAGCGGATGTCCGCCGGGCATCGCATGGTCTGGTTTTGCTCAAATATCGATAGTTGTCGGCCAGCATAGAAGTTGTCCGTCATATCAATTTGAACTCACCAACCAACTATTCTATCCAGCACGATTGAAACTGAGTATTCGTTGTCACCTAACGACTGAATCCTTGAGCACGACAACGTCATCCCCGCCTGTCTCAAAATTACCACCCCTCATCGCCTCTCCAACCTTCGTCTCTCCTCCCACGCCCATCCGCTACCACTATGGCATCATATTTAACTGCCAGCGAGGCATTCGCCCGTGAGAAGCTCACCCCAGCGAGCAATGCATCCACACCTCAGTCAGCCTGGGCCAACAAATACCGGGGGGTATGTACCTCCCCCTCCTTCTACTCCCCCATCACACACCATCCACCAGCTAACAGTATAAAAAAAAAGGCAACAATCGAAGATCTAGACCCACCCCCCGCCCTCTCCGTCTCCCCCGACGACCCCATCTCCTCCGCCATGCTGACCGCCTACGAACGCGACTACACGCACCTAACGGTCATTTCCTCCACGAAGCGCTCCCTCCTCGGCTACCTCAGCATGCCACGGCTCAAGGCCCTGCTGAAGGACGGCTCCGTCAAAGAATCCGACAGCGTCGCGACCGCCATGCAGCGGTTTAACCGCAAGCGCGGCACGTACCAGGTGATTACGATGGAGACGCCGCTGGAGGAGCTGGAGCGGTTCTTTGAGAGCGAGACGGGCGTGGATGGCGAGGCGAGGGGGAAGCAGTCGTTTGCTGTTGTTACGGATGCGTCGAGGAAGTTTGTGCTGGGTGTTGTTACTAGGGAGGATTTGGAGGAGTTTGTGAGGAGACGGCCGACGTAATTTTTTTTCTTTTCTTTCGCTGTCTTCTGGGTTTAGTGCCTTCCCCCCCCGTCTTTTTTCATATATATGTTGATATATCTGGTGGGTGTGATATTTCCGGTGCATTTTCAGGCGCGGATTATTCAACATGGTTTGGAATGACTCGTATATCTCAACATGACCGGATGTCTCTTGTTATCTGTCTTTCAACTTGAGTTTTGATCACGAGCTACATATATAAATCAACACCTTGGAAAAGCCTCAACAAATAAAACATGATATCAATCAAAGCAGCTAAGTCCACAACGCCAGACCATAGACCACATAGACATTACCCACTACAATCAAGGAATAGATCAACAGAAAAAGAATAAGGGGAAAAGAGAAAAGAAGGGAAAAGGATGCAGCTACTGCGCCTTCTTCTCGTTCTTCCCCGCGGACGCCTCCCTCTCCTCCTTGTCATCCTGCCAAGCCACCCAGATATAAGTGAACAGGATGACATTGGCCGTGATGGCCGCCGTGATGCCCCCGACAGTGGCGGATCCTGCACACTGTTAGCATTGCCATACGTAGTATATATACTCTGTTGCGAACAGCTCCCTCCGTCTGGGGAAAGTATCATACCGCCAAAGTCCACGGTGACAAAGTACATGCCGATGGGAGTGGTGATCATAGCGGCGGTGAAGCCGAGGAGTTTATAGATGACATGTCTGGTTGGAGTTAGTTTTGTCATCGATTGATTGATTGATTGATTGATGGATGGATGGGTTGAAAGATAATAAGTGACTATATCTGGTCGACTCACTTGGGAACCACGGGTGATACATCGGAGGCAGAAGGCTTGGTCTCGATTGATGTTGAGGGGTCCATGGGGGACTGACTCTGTGGACGACGGGTGGCCATGGTGGAGAGAGATAATTCGTCCTGATGGACAATGAGATACTGTAGAGAGGTTGATATAACCCTTCCAATTGTTGAATAAAGCAACGGAGATAGAGATTGGTGTAGGATGGAGTCGTGATAGTGTATGAATGCGACGATGATGAGAGCGGGAGATCGCTGCGGGTCGCTGATTGGTGGATGGGAGGAGCTCCGCTTGTCAGTACTGATACCGTGATCTATTTCAATTCAGAGAATGGATGTGGATAGTACTAATGTTGGGCTATTGGATATATAAGTCTCAGAACAATGGCAGTCTTACGATGTGAGCTAAAATAAAGATTGAGATTGACATGAATGGTTAATTGATCCCCATCTCACGTGACCGGGGCGCGTCTCGGCGCGTTTGCGGAGAAGAAAAAAAAAAGTAAAAAAAGGACCAAAAAGTCCCAGGATGAAGAGAGAAAGTCAAAAGTGAGACCCAACAATCGCATCTCCTCCTGAAACGGATCATGTTAGTCCCATCCCATCCAGCTGGGTTCTTTTGAAGAAGTTTGCCCCCATTATGGACGACTTAATACCTGACACCCCCGTCCGCGACAGAAAAGTTGTCCCCGGCACTCCGACCGACCCCAGAGAGGATCAGGACTACGAGACCGTTGCCACCCTTCCTCTGCCAGATCGCTACCACCAACCACCCGCAGCATCCCAATCCTGGACCCCGGTCTCTCAGCGTCTGACACAGCCCACGCAAATCGTCGAGGTCCCCAATTCTGCAAAATCCATCCAGGTTCCCGCCTCGTCGCCTCCGCCCTCTTCCTCTCCCTCTCGTCCCACGGCCACCGCTGGCCGCCTGTCCACTTTTCTCGCCCCGGCCGGTACCCGATTCTGTCCCCCTGCCTTCACCGGCCCTGCGAAGCGTGCTCCAGCAGTAGATCTCGACGACGACGGCCCGACCTATCGTGGTGGTTCGTCTGACGACGACGACGCGCTGACTTTGCGAAACACCGACATCAAACCCGCCCAGTTCACCAAGTCCTCGCGCAGTCCCGAGAAAATCATGGGATCCCCCCTGGGAAACGGCGGCGGTAGTGCCATGGACCGGTTCAAGGAGATCACTTCCTCCTCGCTCTACAATCCCCAGGGCGCGAAACGGTCCGCGTCCCAACTCGATCTCGCCCCGAAAGGGATATCCGTCAAAAAACCCCGTCAGGATGCCCCGTCCCGCGCCCACCCAGTGAATTTGGACATGGACATCTCGTCGGTACATGAGATTGAAGATTTTCAGACCCGGGCGAAGGTGGAGCGCATGCTGAAAATCGTCCCCCAGAAGTCTGTCCAGGAGTGCTTGTACGCCCTGCTGACCAAGCGCGGCAACTACGAACATGCGCTGGAGTACGTGGTTATGATGAACGACGATGGGGAACCGTTTGTGGTCGAATCGTCCGAAGATGAGTTGAGTGCGAGCCAGCGTATCTCGCCGGTCGCGCCCGCCAAGCAACAGATCAAGGCGCGCGGAACCATCCAGGGCAAATGGTCCGCCATGCGCCTACAGAAGAACCCCCCGCCCCAGAAGTCCAGCAATGCGCCGCCGCCCCAGGAGGATGCGAAACCGCGGCGACGGTTGATGAGGGGCCCTAAGAGCCGGGAGACCCGGCCGTCGTCCCCGGAGTCGGATCGGTCTCTCTCGCCGCCGCGCCCGGCGCAGACGTCCGGGAGACTGGTTCAGGGACGGAAGCCGGCCTCGCCCGCGCGGTCGGAGTCTCCTGAGGCCCTGTTGATTGACGATGACTCGGATTCCGGCGTCGAGGAGGTTCCCGAGATTGATGGATCGGTGGAGGTGAAGGTGCTGAACTTTTTCAACACGTGCAATATACTCGACCTGGCGGACATCGCAGCCATCACGGAAGATATCGCCAAGTTCCTCGTGTCGCACCGACCCTTCCGTTCGTTGAATGCCGTTCGTGCTGTTCCCGCCCCGACCGCGGACCAGTCGGCGAAGCCCAAGGGCAGCCGCGGGCGGAAGACGCCTAAGCCTATCGGAGAGAAGATTGTGGACAAGTGCTTGGATATGTGGGTCGGATACGAAGCGGTGGACTCCTTGGTCGCGCAGTGCGAGGAGCTGGGCCGGCCGATTGCGACGGAGATGAAGAAATGGGGCGTGGACATCTTCGGCAAGCGGGAAGGGGAACTGGAGCTGGTGTCGATTGACCCCGGGGCGTCGCATGACTCTGGGATCGGCACCCCGGCCAGCCAGCATTCGGAAGAAGACAGCGACGGCCCCGGCGTCGGGCCCCGCAAGAACCGGTTTATCTCGCAGCCCGCCATCATGCGCGAAGATCTGAAGATGAAGAATTACCAGGTGGTCGGGATCAACTGGCTGTCGCTGCTCTTCGAGAAGGAGCTGAGCTGTATCCTGGCCGACGACATGGGTCTGGGCAAGACGTGCCAGGTGATTGCGTTCCTGGCCCACCTGTACGAGAAGGGCATCAAGGGGCCGCATCTGATCGTGGTCCCGTCGTCGACGATCGAGAACTGGCTCCGAGAGTTCCAGAAATTCTGCCCCGCGCTGTCCGTGATGCCGTACTATGCCAACCAGAGTGGGCGCGCTGAGATTCGGGAGACCATCGAGAACAACCGCGAGGATATCAACGTGGTCATCACGACGTACACGATCGCCAAGGCGAAAGTGGACGCCCATTTCCTCCGGAACATGGATTTCTGCGCCTGCGTCTACGACGAGGGACACATGCTGAAGAGCAGCACCTCGGTGCTCTACGAGAAGCTGATCCGTATTCCCGCTCGCTTCAAGCTCCTGTTGACCGGCACCCCGCTGCAGAACAACCTTCAGGAGCTCGCGTCCCTGCTGGGCTTCATCCTGCCGAAGGTGTTCAACGAGCGCAAGGAGGACCTTCAGTACGTGTTCGCGAACAAGGCCAAGACTGTGGACGAGTCCCACTCCGCGTTGCTTTCTGCGCAGCGGATCGAGCGCGCCAAGTCGATGCTGAAGCCGTTCGTGCTGCGGCGGAAGAAGCACCAGGTCATCGACCTCCCCGCCAAGGTCTCCCACGTGGAATACTGCGAGATGAACACGGCCCAGAAGGAGATCTACGATCACGAAAAGGAGGAAGTCCGCAAGCTAATCGCCGATCGCGCAGCCGGCAAGAAAACCGGCAACAAGTCCGCCAACATTCTCATGAAGCTCCGCCAGGCGGCGATCCACCCCCTGCTCTACCGGCGGCACTACAACGACACGATCCTGAGCCGGATGGCCAAGGCATGCTTAAAGGAAGAGCAGTGGTCGATGTCAAACCCGAACATCATCTACGAAGAGCTACAAGCCTACAACGACTTCGAATGCCACACCATGTGCGTGAAGAACCCCAACTCGCTCGGCAAATTCGCCTTGAAGAACGCCGAATGGATGGACTCGGGCAAGGTCGACCGACTCTGCGAGCTGCTCAAGCGGTTCAAGGAGAAGGGCGACCGCACGCTCGTCTTCTCGCAGTTCACCATGGTCATGGACATCCTGGAGCACGTGCTCGAGAACCAGCATCTGGGCTTCGTGCGCCTTGACGGCCGCACCAACGTCGAAGACCGCCAGTCCATCCTCGACGCCTTCCACGAGCGCACCGACATCCCCGTCTTCCTGCTATCCACCAAGGCCGGCGGCGCGGGTATCAACCTTGCCTGCGCGAACAAGGTCATCATCTTCGACTCCTCCTTCAACCCCCAGGAAGACGTGCAGGCTGAGAACCGCGCCCACCGCGTCGGTCAGACCCGCGACGTGGAAGTCATCCGTCTCGTCACCAAGGATACCATCGAAGAGCAGATCTACGCGTTGGGTCAGACCAAGCTCGCCCTTGACCAGGCTGTCGTCGGCGAAGACGCTGCTGAATCAAAGAAGACTGAAGAAGCGGGCATGAAGGTCGTTGAGGATATGGTACTTGCTGATATCAAGGAGTAACCAATTCTTTCGCCCTGCTTTGTTTTCCTTCTTTATTTTATACTATTTTATTTATTTTTCTTTTCGTTTTCGTTTCATTTCGTTTTGTTTTCCCTGAAGATATCCATCCGCATATGCAGTTTGTACATGCGTGTTGATCCCGCTTAGATATCTACGTTTGTTACAAGCGGCCTAGACCATCGTCCATTATTACGCAGAGACTCTTGTTTTTATCTATGCTTGTTATTGTCATTACAGAAGGAGTTTTCATGTCATCTACTCTACTTATCTTATTCTTTGTTTACAACAAGACTTTATCACCTTGTCCTAGCGTTGTTGACACAATTGTCTTTTTGCTTCTTGCTTGGTTTGTCTGCTTATTGCAAAGACAAGACAAGATAAGATGTACTACACTACAGGCATTCCTGTCTACCTTTCAGTGAAATCCCCTTTAGGCTATAGCTTTCATGAGAAAGTGAACCTTGTGGTTGTTTGGTCGGTCTAGTATGGACTGCATGTACGTATGTCCTTTTGGTGGTGTTGCTGTCATTATTCTGGTTGCTATTGCTATTTCTAGTGCTGTTGCCGTTGCTGTTGCGTCTGTTATAGAACGGGTCTTTTATAACTATTGGTTCTTTCTATCCTGATTATCGTCCCTTTTTATTTGATCTTTGCTAGGAGTGGAGAGTGAACGGTGGGTTGGGGCTTAATTTATTAATATACTGAGGACTACTCTATAACTCTGTTTTTTTTTATCTTGATGTAGAATATAGTGAAGGTGGAGAGTAGATTATGTGCTGTGGCAATCGTGGCGCGGACTTTATTTAACGGCTCATTCATCAATCATATGTATGCTTGTATATACAAATATACCAGGGAATAATAATGATAGAAATAACTATCTAAGAAACTCCAACAAGGAACCAACAGTGGTTCATTAGGTAGGTAAAACACCGACAATGCAAATCGGCCGTATCAAGTGTCAATCATTTAACGAGTAGGAAAGATATGGTAATGCCGTAGCTTTTGTTCTGGGTTGATATCAATATGCAGGTGGCAAAAAAGGAAGACAAAGGTGAATAGAAGAAATGAGAAGCAATCGCTGGGAGGTATAGAAGTGATAGTCTATGCAGCTAGTTTCTGCTGCTGAGAGGCTTCAGGAGCCGTCTCTTCGGGCTGGGATCTGGTTGGGCTCGGGAAGGCACTCGTGCGGATGGGACCGCCGCCGCTGGGGGGTGACGGGGTGGGTTTCGAGCGGGGAGCGCCGCCTGCTGCGCGGGCGGACTCGTTTTGCTCGAGGGCTTGCTGGACGGCTTTGCTGTGGGTGTTTGTCGTAGTAGTGGAGGCGGTGGAAGTGGAGGTAGTAGCAGTGCTGGGAAGAGCGGTCCCGTTGGCGGTGATGGAACGCGATGCCAGGCCCATCAGCTCGTCGACGCGCTGGGCCTCGGGGATGAGATCCGGGAATTTGAGGAGATAGCAGTAGTCGGCGTAGCTCTTGGAGTCCCTGGCGATCTTGAACTCGCGGTCCTTGCCGGGCAGGAGGATGTTCATGAGGAACTTGGTGTTGCCGAAGCGGTTTTCGATCCCGATCGCCGCCTGGAGATAGTCGTAGACGACTTCGCGCCAGTGGAGGAGGCCGCCCTCGGCGATCGTGCGGAAGCAAGACGGGTTGGACTCTGCGGCCGTGGCGACCATTGCGCCGTCGACGCCGTACTCGGCGATTAGGGCGAGGGCCTCATCGCGCGAGGTGACGTCGCCGTTCATGACGCAGGCGATGCCGGCGTTGTGACACACGCCGGCGACCATGCGTAGCTGGTCGCGGATGGCGCGCTCGCGGGGCCGCATGGGGGTTGTGCGGCAGTGGACGGTCAGGCCGGTGATGCCGGTCTGGACGAGGCGGGAGACGAGGGTTTCGGTGAGGTCGGGTTCGCCGAGGATGCGGATCTTGACGGAGATGCCGATCTGGAAGGGCGTGCCGACGTCGCGGACGAGGGCCTCGAGGATGGAGACCAGACGGTCGGGATCCTTGAGCAGGGCGGCGCCCATGCCGCCGGAGGTGCTGAAGGGTTTGGGGCAGCCCGAGTTGACGTCGATGCCGGAGACGTCGGCGGCGATGAGCGTGGCTGCCTGGACGGCGCGGTCTGGGCTCGCGGTGCCGATCTGGAAGATGTGACGGTTCTTCTCGCGCGCGGGGTCGATGCGGTAGATGATGGAGTCCTTGTCGGCTTCGCTGGGGCGGCCACCGTTGGACGGCCGACGGATGAATTCCACGATCCCGGTCCGCGGGTTCACGCGGCGGGTGGTGCCTATGAGGGCGCGATCGATGGTCTCGGGGCCCCAAACTAGATCTGCACCGTATTTGAGGGCGAGAAGGCGTGTGGGCAATTCGCCGGAGCGCACCATCGGGGCTAGAACGACCTTCCCCCGGTAGTCGACGCCATTCGCGGGGATAGGAACACGAGGGGTGGAAGAGAGCGCAGTCATCGTGGAGCGGAGAAATCTGAGCATATCATATCCGGACGGCAGGAGGGAAGCGTCGTCGATCCGAGGCTGGACTGATGATCGAGGGAGAAAGCAGAGAGCAGTCCGTCCTGAGACGAAGTTTTTCGTGCCATTCCTGGAGAATCTGGCGATCAGGCCGAAAATCTGATAGTCACGTGGTGATAGGATAAGCTTTGCGTATTATTACGAAATAAATTACCTGGTTACAAGTTGGATTATTAGGATTTTTTGATAGCCTGTATCATGTATATAATCTATAGATTTTTCATATTTATGTCTTCCATTTATATCGTACATTAATATCGTGTACATTATATCGTGTGACAAAATCGTATCGACCCAGCATTGAATACGGTGGAAGGGAATGTCGACTCGTGGCAAGTGTTGCCACCAAATCCAGGCACGCAGGCCCACATGGCGACCTCATTCTTTCTCGACTAATTTCAAGAGAAGCTTTCATGGAAGACTTCCATGGCTCCGACCCATTGTCCAATCTGGTTTGGTTGGGACGGGAGCAGGATTCGTCAGAGCAGACGCAGCGAGGCAAATCCAGAGGAGCAGACGAACCAGGGGTGGATGCAAGTGGAGCCATTCATAATCGAAACAGTCCGAACTAGGTCTTGATGATTGACAGGGTGAGTGGCCAGTGGCCAGCTGGCATTGTGGGATAGTATGCATGGTGCATGACGGGGGAGTGTCAAGTGTGTCAATCTACAAGATAGAAGTCGAGAAAGGAAGACAATCTTCAAGATAATCCATAGAGAGAGAGAGACAATGATTAGAAGAGCCAATAGTCCAGTATAGGCCAAGGTCAACCTCGGAAAGACACGCCGAGGCCGAAATCAGGCCGGGAAGAATCTCCCCTACAATTTCTTTCTTTCTTCTTCTTCCCTCCTTTCCTCCTCACTCTGGATTGAACCCTTGGAATTAACCAGTGAACGGAATTGGTCAACAAATCAATTGGTCAACAGTTCAATTGATCTTGAATCAATGTTTCCCGGAGTGCTTCGAGCTCCATCCATCCGACCCTGCATCATTCTCCCACACGGTTTGACCGCAGCTCCGATTCGGGCCCGTCGTTATTGGCGCCCATCCGCAACGCTGGCTCCCCCCACTAAACAAGCCACCCCTCCTTCTCCCTCCTCTCTCTCCGCCCCTCTTCCCTTTTCTTCTCCTTCTCTCTCGACTTCTCTTTCTTCCTCCCCATCTATCTCGAGTCCCTCCGCTCGTGTCAATCAGATTTCGAGACATCTTTCTTCTTCCGCCTCCCCATCGCACACCTCATCCACCATGTCCGCCTACCAGATCCGCAAGGTCGGCCAGCCTTACACCCTGGAGCACCGTGTCTACATTGAGCAGGATGGCAAGCCTATCTCGCCCTTCCACGATATCCCCCTTTACGCCAACGAGGAGAAGACTATCCTGAACATGGTTGTCGAGATTCCCCGTTGGACCAACGCCAAGCAGGAGGTACGTCAATAAATACCCAGCATGAGGCAAAAAATAAAGAGAAAAAAAAAAAAATTTACAAAAAATACAATTCAAACCTCAAAATTCGAGGAAGATTGAATGATGATGATATTAACGACTCCTCCAGATCTCCAAGGAGGAGTACCTGAACCCCATCAAGCAGGACGTCAAGAAGGGCAAGCTGCGCTTTGTCCGCAACTGCTTCCCCCACAAGGGTTACCTCTGGAACTACGGTGCCTTCCCCCGCGTATGTTCTCTTCCTCTACATCTCCCCCATTCACCCGGTAAGCGGAATCTAACCCACCTTAGACCTGGGAGGACCCCAACGTCGTTCACCCCGAGACCAAGGCCAAGGGTGACAACGACCCGCTCGACGTTTGCGAGATCGGTGAGCTTGTCGGTTACCCCGGTCAGGTCAAGCAGGTCCGCGTCCTCGGTGTCATGGCCCTGCTGGACGAGGAGGAGACCGACTGGAAGATCATCGTCGTCGACGTCAACGATCCCCTGGCCGCCAAGCTGCACGACGTCGAGGACATCGAGCGTCACCTTCCCGGTCTGCTGCGCGCCACCAACGAGTGGTTCCGCATCTACAAAATCCCCGACGGAAAGCCCGAGAACCAGTTCGCCTTCTCCGGCGAGTGCAAGAACAAGAAGTACGCCGAGGACGTCATCCACGAGTGCTCCGACGCCTGGGAGAAGCTCATGAGCGGTGCCTCGCCCAAGGGTGATATCAGCATGTACGTTTTCCTTTTTCTTCTTCACATCCTTTATAGCCACTAACAACAGATAGTGCCAGCGCTTCCAACGGCACCGCCGACCCCGCCGAGGTGGCCAAGATTCCCGCCGGCCAGGACTTGCCCCCGGCTCCCGTCGACGGCACCGTCGACAAGTGGTTCTTCATCTCCGGTGCTGCCGTCTAAGCGCATCTTTAGCGAATGTAACAATTGCAATTTACGCCTTGATGGTGATTTGTTTGAACAATGGAGGTGCTTTTTTTTTAGATCGTAATGTGGTTCTTGCCTCGGAGTATCACGACGGTTAGATAGTATATACATTTATTTATCGTACAAGACAGTCGGACATTAGCCACGTAGAAGTCAATCCACTCCACTCGTAACCCGCCGACTCTACAGGGTCGAACCAATCACCCCAACTATCAAACAAGATGCGAGAACGGAACAAAGAAATAAAGAAAAGTCCAGTATAATCAAAAAAGAAAAGAGAAATCACCCCTTCAGCGTATCCTCGCGCTCAATAATCCGCCCAATGCGCGCAATCTCATTCACCATATCCGCAATCTTGATCTGTTCCTTCCCAACCTCGAACTTGACCTCCTTGCCGCCCTTGAACCCCACCGTCACCTCGGGCTGCTGCGTCGAGTGCCGCGGCAGCTGCTTCACTTTGATGTCGATGTGCGTGGGACTGCTGAGGGGGGTCGTGGAGGGCGTGCGCAGGAGGGCGAGGAGAGTGCGGCAGGGGCGCGACGACCGGCCGAAGGGGTTGTAGGATACGCGGAAGGTGTTGATTGTTTGGAGGGGGATGGACATTTTGATTGATTTCTTTTGGGGTCTTCTCTAGGGCTGGTGGATGTTAGTTGGCGTTGAGTTGGGTTGGTTGATGGTTGATTGAGGATGGGAACTGGGTGGACGGACTGACTTGGTGGGTTGTTGTCGGGTGGAATTGAAGAGGGTCGATTCTTTGGATAGGGTAAATCTGCTCGATTGGGCGAACACGGACGTCTAACGCAGGTAAGGTGATTGATTCTGGCAACTGGATCGAGATAATGCGGCCGAAGTTCAACATCGGACTGTGGAATATTCGGACATGTTTGCCAAAGATGCAAACACCCACAATTGCAGCCTCAGGAACCCATGCATCATCATACAGTTGTCTTTATACACCTCTTCTTATCTCAATCTCCACAACATCTATTACCATAATATGTTCACTTCCTAATAATACACAGACACACGTCTCCAATATCATAATGTCAGCCCCCCTACAATCCCGCTTAAAACAGCTCTCCACGGCCCTCGCCCACATCCACCCCCTCGTCTCCCGACTCCGCAACTTCACCACAGCCGTCGGCCAAGGCGACGAAGCGCGCCTCGAACTCGGCGCCGAGATCCACGCCCACCTGAAGGAAACAGAAGAGCAGCTCGAGCTGCTCCGAGTAGAGGTTGAAGCGCTCGAGACAGGCACCGACACACGGCGGAAAGGACAAGACACCGAGAAGGAGCTGGAGAGGGAGCGGGTGGTTGCGTTAGCGGGGCGATTAGCAGATGATTTAAAGAAGTATGCTGCTCATTTCCCCCCTCCGACCATCGCACACCATATTGTGTGGACATGATACTCACAAAACCAGGACGAGGGGCGACTTCCGCACCGCACAACTCCAAGCTAAACGCAATGCCGAGCTCGCGCGCCGCCAAGAGCGCGAGCTGCTCTTTTCGCGGTCTCAGAATGCGGCTGATAAGCGCAAAGAGTCGGCGGAGAAGTTGACGCAGGATCAGGTCACGCTGAATGCGTCTAATGATGTTACAGCTGCGTTGCGCCGCACGCATCAGCTTATGCAGGCGGAGCTGTCGCGGAGTCAGTTTGCGCAGCAGACGCTTGGTTAGTCTTGCTCCCCTATATGTGTATATGTGTATGCTACAATGGAATGGTTTGCTTATTGACGGTGCTTGCAGAACAATCAACAGCAGCGCTGTCATCCCTCTCAGAATCATACACGGACCTCGACTCGCTCATCTCCTCGTCGCGCAATCTCATCGGCTCGCTCCTGCGCTCTCGGAAGTCAGACACATGGTACCTTGAAACAGCATTCTACATCCTGATCGGCACGATCGTGTGGCTCCTGTTCCGTCGGATCTTGTACGGGCCCATGTGGTGGCTTGTATGGTTGCCGCTGCGGCTGGTAACGCAGGTTGTGTTTGGTGCTCTGGGCATGGCCAGCAGTAGCAAGGGTGTTGAGGCTCCTCTGTCGGATAGTGCGCCTGCTTATCAGACTCCCGTGGTGCATCAGAAGGTTGAGCCGGATGTGCAAACTGCTAGTGGAGGTGAGATGTGGGATAGTCCTCCGAATGAGAAACACGACGAGGGGCGCATGATTGACGAGATTGGGGATATGGTGGAGGAGAACGCAAGGGGGGACACGAACGTCGAAGACGCACATGCGCATGAGACCCCAACGCAGGAGGAACCTCCCCGGAATACGAAGAAGCGGATGTATGAGGCTACGGAGGTGGTGCAGGATCGGAAGGACGAGCTGTAGTATATGAATAGTATGACGCCTACGATACCACTGCATCGTTTATTGTTTTCTTTGTACTGCACCCCGCTAGGTTGTACGAGCTATAGAATGTTATATACGACTGGTAGGCAAGCCTCGAGCATGCTTAATGTGTTTCGTCTCTGGCGACACTGTCAACGAAAAGTCCGCGGGTGATTCCTTGTCCCAGAGAAGCACGGCTTTGATGATTTCTCCGGAGGCCAGACCCGCCAGTGCCTTTTGATATTCCTTGATCTAGGATTCCGGTCAGTACGTCTCGACAACTTGAGGTAGACCTGGACACACCGGAATATACGTATTCAGCTTGTCAATTGGAAACCGGCCCTCGTAGAACCATTTGATCATCTCAATGATTGCCTGTTTAGCATTAGCAAACTTGTACTTCCGTCTCAACAGGCTCTCAACAGAGGGGAAGAAAATAATATACCTCCTTTGGAACAGAATCCCCCTCAACGCACCCAATCACAGATTTCCCAGACTATATCAAGCACATCAGCCACCTCCCACAACCCGGACCACAGGGACCAAACGTAAAGCAAAAAAAGAAGGAAAAGAGATACATACAGCGATATACTCCATCCCCATAAGATCCAAAGTATACCCCAACGGCGTTGCCCCAATCAAGACCAACTTGCCGCGCGCACAAGCAGTCGCCAGTCCTGCCTCGATTAGCTTCGGCACGCCTGTCGTGTCGATGACGACGGACGGTCCGTCGGGACATATGGCTTTGACTGCTTGTGCGAAGTCAAATTCACCACCAGCTGGGGAGGAGGCAGTGTTGATGGTGTGTGTTGCGCCGAAGGAACGGGCAAGCTGGAGTCGTCGCTCTTGTTGGTCGAGGGCGATGATTGTTTGGCAGTTGTTGAGTTTGGCGGCCTGTTTTAATTGTTAGTTTGTCTTGATTTAACTCCGTTTATTATATCCATGCTGGATACAAGCCATAGAAAGGGAAGATAGAGAAGAGTATACCATAACACTAGCCATCCCCACACCCCCCAACCCCATAACAAGCACCACATCATCCTCCCCAGCAGCAGCAACATTCCTCACTGCCCCCACCCCCGTCTGAAAACTGCATCCCATAGGCGCGAAAGTCGCTAAATCGCCTGGGCCCCCGAGGACGTCTTTGACGTTGACGAGGCAGGACTCGTGCACGATGCTGAGCTTGGCATAGCTCGACTGTCCGAAGAAGGAGCCCCAGATGCTTTCTTTTTCGTTTCGCCCTGCTGCTGTAGTCTGAGACAGGAAGCTTCTCTCTTTGCCGGTCAGGTTCAACAGGTTGAAGTGATCGCAGTGGGCGGGGTGACGGCGGCGGCATTGCGTGCAGGAACTGCATGATTTGAAGCTGAGGAGGACGGGGTCGCCGATGGAGACTGATTTGGTGGAGGGGTTGATGGCGCGGATGTAGCCTGCTCCTGGTTGGGGTTAGTATCATCACCTGCTCTGTCTTGTCGTTTGTATGCTAAGGATCCTCATTCGTAAGGTAGTATAGCGTGTAGGTAGTACCCCAGTCACTATACTCCGGGAAAAACAGAGGTAATACCTTCATGCCCCACAACCTTCGGATAATGAACCCCCATCATCCCGTCAGGCACACTGGAAAGCACCATATCGGTGTGACATACCCCCGTGGCGACCATCTCGACGAGGACCTCGTCGGCGCCGCAGGAAGATACTGTCTCCACTTGCTCGAGGGCCCAGTTTGGTCCGTTGGGGCCCGGGGTGCGGGCGACGATGGCTGTTGTTGGGATAGACATGTCTTTTTCTTTCTATTGCTTTCTTCTCTCTCTTGTTTTTGTGATATTGGGATATGGTTGGGTTGGATGGGTTATGGACTCGGTGTCAGGTGTATAAGGTGCTTGTCCTACCTGGTGGGAGCTGTATTTTGGGACTGTTCCTGGGTCTTGTTTCTCAATAGGTTTGGGGAATTGAAGGTAGATATGTAGTGTATGGTTGACCTGCTGAATGATTCGTGCTTCTCTTCGAGATCTCGTTACTTTATTATCTTTTGTGTTCTGAATTATTTCAAGTGTCTATATACGACATGCGGGGAAATCATCGCTGCGGGGGTTATACGCTGCCGGTTATGTCCGAGGTAGGACGCCTTATTCGGGCGATCTTCTTGTCCTGTAATAATATGATGGCGGTACTTGGTTCGCAAAAGTAAACTCTGGCTAGGGTCCTTGTGTTGGTCTTCAATTCTGTTGCTGGATCAGGGCTGTCTCCATCACGTGGATACATATTATTTATAAGGTCTAACGAGCATATGCGAGCAGGATAAGCATCATATTGGTCTTAAACATTGGATAGATAGATACAAGCCCAATCCTAGAAATAAAGTGTGAGAATGTCCAGATGGATATCAGCTCCAATGCAAGTAGTGATTGACGATGAGGGCTATACAAAGAAACCTGGCTGTGGATAGATACTTATGTCTGCACAAAGAGCCGTGACTAATGCATAATCGGCGATTAAGAAGTCTTGGCATCCATCGCGTGTCACGTGTAGACGCGTCTCGACACGGCGCATCATCATCTCCGATACGCTTCCTTCACTGCGATATTGAACCAATTCCTGCTATTCTACCCTCTTTTTCAAATCAAATCCGCCAGCTCATCATGGCTGCCACTTTCTTCAACAATAAAGCCCGCGCTGCAGCGGTCGCAGCGGGCGGCTCCAAGCAGAAGCCGACAGATGGCAAAGAGGAGCAAACGCAGTACCAGCCATGGGTAGAGAAATAGTATGTGTCCCCATGTTCAGACTGTTGACACGCCATTGATTTTGTACAGTCGACCCAAAACGCTCGGCGATGTCGCCGCCCAAGACCACACCACGAGGGTTCTCCAACGAACATTGCAAGCCTCCAACGTACGCAGTGCCGGCCTCTTTTCCCTTCCGTTTGGCTGCTAACCGCAATAGCTCCCTCACATGCTCTTCTATGGCCCTCCCGGTACAGGAAAAACGTCCACGATCCTCGCCCTCGCGAAATCCCTCTTTGGCCCGGCCCTCTACCGCTCCCGTATCCTCGAGTTGAACGCTTCTGACGAGCGAGGAATTGGCATCGTTCGCGAAAAGGTCAAGGGCTTCGCGCGGACGCAATTGAGCCACCCGACCGGGGTGGGCAAAGAATACTTCGAGCAGTACCCGTGCCCCCCGTTCAAGATCATCATCTTGGACGAGGCCGACAGCATGACGCAGGATGCCCAGTCTGCTCTCCGTCGCACAATGGAACAGTACAGCCGCATCACCCGTTTCTGCCTGGTGTGCAACTATGTCACGCGCATCATTGAGCCGCTTGCTAGTCGATGCAGCAAGTTCCGCTTCAAGTCCCTGGACAACACTGCTGCCAGCGACCGGCTGGAGCATATTGCGAAGCTGGAGAACCTTAACTTGGAGGATGGTGTCATTGCCAAGCTGATCGACTGCAGTGAGGGTGATCTGCGACGGGCGATCACGTATATGCAGAGCGCTGGCCGGTTGGTCAATGCAGGCTCGCTGGGCGGCAAGAAGGATGGGGATGAAGATGCGGAGATGACCGATGCGAGCTCGCGACAAGTAACGGTCCGGATGATTGAGGAGATTGCCGGCGTCATCCCGGAGGATGTGCTGGATCGGTTGGTCCAGGCTATGCAGCCCACCAAGTTTGGGTCTTCTTACGAAGCCGTGGCTAAGGTGGTCACGGATGTTGTGGCCGATGGGTGGAGTGCTACGCAGCTGCTTTTGCAGGTATGGCCATTCCCCGGGACTTACATAGCGCAGTGCTGACGGTTTGCAGCTGTATCGACGGGTTGTCTACAACGACGCGATTCCAGATAACCAGAAGAACAAGATCGTCATGGTGTTCTCGGAGATGGACAAGCGGTTGTCGGATGGTGCGGACGAGCACCTTTCAATTTTGGACGTGGCTGTCAAGATCTCTGGTATTCTTGGGGAGTCATAAACGTGGGATTATAGTCGGAGGCATCATGACCGCTTCCATTCCCTATGATCCGCTTCTCGACGATTCTTCCTGGACGCCGACCCTCATTAAGGGTAGGGGCTCGCGTGAATGGTTTGAGCATGTTGGATGGCGATAGGGTCCACAGGAAGAATCTACGTCTTCCCTTCGGCCTATCTATCACGAGGTAACCATGTCCGCATGTCACCGTGGAAGCCCATCGGTTCTGGCTGGAGCGAGTCAGGGCCGAGAGTTACGACCGTATGAAGTTTAACGAGGCCAACAAAAATATCCTAGCTATTATATGTGGCTAGTTGCCGTAATCAATTATCTGACCAAGCATTGTCGTGTTCCTTACGTATACTGCAGGACGGGCGTACCTGACCCAGCGCCACGTGCGGTTCGTCGCATCTGACGTATGTAAGCTGACCGACGGCGACGGCGCGATCTTCTCCGGACTCGCTTGTCCTTCATTTATACTCCTTCTTAGCTCACGCATCTTCTTTCACTCTTTTCTAATTTGTTCATGCGATTTCATTATTCTGTAGTTTCTACAAATTGAATTGAAGTGAACAAACCATGACCCAGGCGATTGATACCAAGGCGAACCCCGCCATTCAACCCCACTATTTGACTGGCGACGGCGCCGCAATTCGATCTTTCCTCGACAAATTCGATGTACGTATAGCTTTTCTTGCTGTTGGATTATTGAAGGATATTGCTCTAATAAAGTATCATAGGTCTTCCTGTTTGATTGCGATGGTGCGACCCCCTTCTGCCCCGCATGCCTCCGCGGCGACGATAATCAGGAACACAACACAGTTCAATAAAAGATGAGATTGCTAAAGTTGGCTTAGGCGTCCTTTGGTCTGGCGACCATTGTTTCCCCGGAACGAACGAAACACTGGAGTTGTTAAGAAGTCAAGGTGCGTGACCAGATCGGTGGAATCCGCTGGCGAACGAACCCAACCTAACAACCAACGACACCGCAGGTAAACAAGTCGTCTTCGTCACGAACAACAGCACCAAGTCGCGCACCGACTACAAGAAGAAGTTTGATTCATTGGGGATTCCAAGCTCAGCCGTGCGTTCTATCCCCATTCCCCGCCCCTCCCAAACAATCCTAACCCCAACCAGGAAGAAATCTTCTCCTCCTCCTACAGCGCCTCAATCTACATCTCACGCATCCTCTCCCTCCCGCCCAACAAACGCAAAGTCTTCGTCATCGGCGAAACAGGCATCGAGCAAGAACTCCGCTCCGAAAACGTCCCCTTCATCGGCGGCACAGACCCGTCCCTCCGGCGCGACGTCACCCCCGAAGACTACAAGCGCATCGCCGCAGGGGACTCCTCCCTGATCGACCCCGAAGTCGGCGTCGTGCTCGTCGGCCTCGATTTCCACATCAACTACCTCAAGCTCTCTCTCGCATTCCACTACGTCCGCCGCGGCGCCGTCTTCCTCGCGACGAATATCGACTCCACCCTGCCTTCCGCGGGCACCTTCTTCCCCGGCGCGGGGTCCATGAGTGCACCGCTGATTATGATGCTTGGGCGCGAGCCGGTCTCGCTGGGGAAGCCGAATCAGGCGATGATGGATGCTATTGAGGGGAAGTTTCGCTTTGATCGTGCGCGGGCTTGTATGGTGGGGGATCGTGCGAATACGGATATTCGGTTTGGTTTGGAGGGGAAGCTGGGGGGGACGCTGGGTGTTTTGACCGGTGTTAGTAGTAAGGAGGAGTTTGTGGATGGGGATGTGCGGCCGCGCGCTTATGTGGATAAGTTGGCTGATCTTTTGGGGTCGCATTAACTTGAGAGAGAGGCTTCTTGCGCTTTGGTTCTACATGAGACTTGCTGGGTGACGGCAGAAGGGTTTATGTGGGGTGGCTATGAATTATGATGGAAATAAAGATATAGGCGGGTCCATAGAGTACAATTTGATATATACAATTTGTCTCTGGATGCATGCACGATGGTTTCGACAATCACGACCAACATTGTAAGATACTGTGTAGAGCCAGCGCATTATCGATTTCACTCCACATCACTGATGGTATTTGTATATGCATATACTGGATAAATAAGCTATATCAGCACTACGCCCGAAGAAAGCCCTTGAGCTTCCACAGAGTCAACAGCGTGTCCATAGTCGTCTTGTCAGCGGGTCTGAAAAACAGCGCTGGGCTCTGGAACCGCGCGTCAGAGCGTCTCAGCTCTTCCAGCTCTGCCTCTGACAGCAGCACCGACAGATCAAAAACTGGAACCCGAGACTGAGTTTGCTGCAGGTGCACCGCATCTGGCAGGGTAGACTTCTCCACTTCCGGGGGGGCAGTAGTCTGACCACCCATAATCAGCACCGCACCGCACTCCATACGCTCCACAGCCGGCAGGTCCTTCAGCGCAGTCTCCAGCGCCGATTTAGAACGCGCATCCAGCTGCAACGTCCGCCAAACGCCGTCGCGGCCCCGATCCACCTTCTTATACGTCCGACTCGCTTTCTGAAGCGCACGCGCAGCCTGCGCCCTCATCCGCCCGACCATAAACTCAGGCATGTCATCCCGCCAAGACAGCATAGCCGCAGCACGACTCGTCAACGGACCGTGCGGGTGCTTCCAGCGGTTGGGCAGGATGCGCGCCAGATTGGATCTCCGACGGTCGGATTCGGGACCGCTGTCGAGCGCCTGCGTCAGGCTGGTTAGAACAGGGAGGCGCTCGGTTAGGCGGAAGATGAGTGGCTGTTGGGGTGGGTTGTTTCTGGTGGTGGTAGGTGGGGTTGATTGTTCGAGTTGTTCTGAGGATAAGAGGGTTTGGTGCTGCTCTCGCGACGCGGCGAGGTCGTCTTTGAGGAGGCCTGTGGGGAGGATGTGTAGGGGTGGGTCTGGTTCGGTGTCGCTTGCTCGGCGGATGATGCCCCATTCTGTGAAGAGGGTGCGCGGGAGACGTGCGTTTGTTAGGTTGCACATGCGGACTGGGGAGGCGAGGGCTTGGGCCCAGGGGTTGAGGCGGAGGGGGTCTTTGTCTTCGGGGGTTGCGGTGCGTTTGTGGGGTTTGGTTTTGGGGAGGCGCGGGTGTGTAAGGAGGGGGGACTGAGGGAGGAGTTGCGAGGGTCGGGGGGATTTGCGATTGACATCGTGAGGGGTGGATTGGGTTTGGTTGGGTTGTTGTGGTGTGTTGGAAGTTGTAGTTGTGGTTGTGGTGGTGGTGTCGGTCGAGCGGTCTTGCGCGCTGGGGCGCTGGGTGGAGGTTGAGAGTGGGCGCGAGACGCGGTGCAGGTCGAATAACTGGCGGAAGACCCTCAGACGCCAGCTGGCGTAGGAGAGACGGTTGTGTAGACAGACCATGGTGTCTGCAATGGAGTGACGTGAGGAAGAAGTAAAGATGAAGCTGCGTTACATGGAGAAAATAGACTGCGCTAACCGGATCGGCGAATCTGATAATCGTTCGGTCCGATGCTTGACCGATCTCGCTCTCTCTATCTTTCCTCCATTCTCTCACTTCCCGCGTACCGCTTCGTCTGTTTATTGCATGAAATATACCCTGTTCGCTCGTTTCATACATTCTATATCCCAATCATGAATCCAGCCCGGTCGTTGCAGCAACTAGGCCGAGCGGTCGCCCGTCCGTCCAGCTCCATCGCACTTCCGGCCCTGGCGCGGAGCTTCACCAGCTCGGTCCCTGCACTGTCCACGAGAGGGGCCCCGCCGCGGGGATGGACGCCTACGCCGTTTGTGACGGAGACTGTGGTATGTGTTTTGGACCGGACAATGTATAACTTTGACTAACGAATGGATACAGGGAGGTGGCTGGCACACATGTACGTGAGACGAACTACCTAGGTAGTTGCAATGGCTCACCAACCTGTCTAGATGACATTTTCTCCCGACTGCTGAAGGTGTGTACCCTTTATCTTCTATCACAGAGAGACGTATAGAGAGAGAGACGACTATGGCTAGAGAACCAAGCTAATCTCCTTAGGAACGCATCATCTGCCTCAACGGCGAAGTAGAAGAGAGCATGTCCGCCTCGATCGTCGCGCAACTCCTCTTCCTCGAAGCCGACAATCCCCAGAAGCCCATCCACCTATACATCAACTCGCCCGGCGGCTCCGTCACAGCCGGTTCGTCCTACCTTTCCCTACCCTTCCCCTGGCCGTTCCCTCCCTTCCCTACTACCACCTGCTCCCCACCCCAAACTAACCTTACCCAAAAAAACAGGCCTCGCAATCTACGACACAATGACCTACATCGCCTCCCCAGTCAGCACAATCTGCGTCGGCCAAGCAGCAAGCATGGGCTCCCTCCTCCTCTGCGGCGGCCACCCCGGCAAGCGCTTCTGCCTACCGCACTCATCCATCATGATGCACCAGCCGTCGGGCGGGTACTTCGGGCAAGCGAGCGACATCGCCATCCACGCGAAGGAGATCCTGCGCGTGCGCGAGCAGCTCAATATGATTTATAAGCGCCACCTCACGGGCAAGAAGGAGATGTCGCTGGAGGAGATTGAAAAGTTGATGGAGAGGGATTATTTCATGGGTGCCAACGAGGCGCTGGAGATGGGGATTGTGGATGAGGTGCTTGATCGGAGGGGGAAGGGGGATGGGAATGTGGGTGGAAAGGGGGATGAGTGAGTAGATTGGGTTGGATGTGTTCGGTGGGGAAGTGGAGGGTGTTTTCAATGAGGTTTCTGCGGGTTTTCGGGCTCTTTTTATCATAGCACGGTTTATTGTCATTACTTATTATGTCTATTTGAGTTTCTCGTGTAGGGTTTGGATAGAGGATGCGTGAAAGAGATGCGGTGATGGGATAAGCTATTGACATATGTACAGACTACAACAGCCCACCCAGTGCGTAAACCATAACCATACCATAACATAACATAACCTGGATATCATGGTCCAAAGAATCCTACGACCCAATCCGCTGGACACGCCCGTCAGGCCCAACCTGGAGCCCAAATCGCTCGCGCAGAAAAGTCGCCGTCTGATCCGACGGCACATACGGCGACGGCCGTCGCATCGCTGCAGGGCTGTACCGCCACTGGTCGCGGATGATATCCAACAAGCCCATATTCATGACGACGGCCTCGCCAGAGGAAAACACGTCTAAGGGGTGGGTGTGCTTCCCACCTGCCGGCTCGGCTAAAAGCTCCGTGCGCTCTAACTGCTCGTCTGTGCTCGAGTCGCTGTGTGGTGTACTGTTCCGTGGACGCAGCTCGTCGAGCTCTATGTCCTCGGTGGTGGGAGGTTGCTGCGGTGATGCGGAGGGAGACAGCGGGCCGGTGCGGAGGACGCCCCGTTCTTCGGAGTCGTGGTCTTGTGGGTCGGGTGAGGTTTCTATGGGTTCTGATGCCGCGGAATTCGCCGCGGTGGCATCGATGGTCTTCACGCGCTCGACGATCAGGCCCAGCATGATCAAATCGAGAAGAAGGACTAGCACGTCCAGCGACAGTAGTCGTACCAGCGACACTGGCGCTTTTTGTCCGATAAAGTCGATCAGGAGTCCGCCGTGCAAGTACCCACGGGTCGTCTCGTCGGCTTCGGGGTGGCTAAGGAACTTGTGGTAGGCCATGCAAAAGAAATTGCTGGCGAAAATGGCTCCGATGAACGGCTGATTCCGCGTGGGGTCGAACGGGGGTGCTTTTGGGGTGAAGAAGATGAACTGTACGATGGCGCGAACGGCAAAGACGATGATCGAGCAACTGACAACAGGGCCATTGTTAGCCATCATCGTAACTCCAACTTCCAAGAGTCTACCCCGCGGGAAGAGGTCTCGTCTTCGTCAGCCGCCACAATATGGAATGACGCTACTCACTCCAAGTAATAGAGCGCTGATAATTCGCAGTAGACCAAGATGTCGAGATCGCGAAGGAGCCGATCAATGAAGAGGACCTTAGCCGCCGACTGCACTTTTTTCAAGCGCTCGCCCTGGCCCGATTGCTGGGCTGGCTGGCCCACATCGCTGCCATAGGACGTGCCGGATACGTCAGCGATGTATTCTGCATCTCGATAGGCATCTGGAGTGTTCATAGAGGGTCATGAGGACATGAATGGTGACTGGAAAAGGACGAGCGAGGGAGAAATATGGCGGGAGGTGTCGGAGGAGGTGGGTGGTGCGGTCAAAGGCGAGAGGAAAGGGTAGTGAGGGGAAAGATGGGTTGTTGGAGAGGGAGATCTCGATAACGATAGGAGGTGAGCCTGGTCGCCCAGGCAGGCCGTCAGGTGGTACGGACTTTCCTCGGCCCGATCCGACTAGCCTGAACGGTCGCGATTTACTCCGCATCTCCGTGCTTCATTTCTTAGGCAACGATAAGGATGATTGGGAGATGATATATGTACTTGTGAATCATATTCTACCTGGAAAATAGTGGATACTAAATATCTAGAATGATTTCACATGTTCAATCCACGAAAATCGTCTTTGAGGTGGCCGAGTAATGCTTGAAGAAGCTGGCAAACAGTCGGATCGAATGCTCCACATCATCAGTGCCTCCCGTCTCGCGGATGCTGTGCATGCTCAGCTGTGGGTTCCCCAGATCCAAGGTCCGCGTACCCAGGGCGGCGGACAGCATGGGACCGATGGTGCTTCCGCAGCTGGAGTCGTTGCGGACCACAAAGAGTTGCAGGGGCACCCCCGGGCGGTCATTCTCGGCGGCCTTCTGGGCAACCTCCTGCAGGAGTACAATGCCCGGAGAGTTCGTCGCGTAGCGTGCGTTGGCGTTGATCTTGATCACCGGGCCTTTGTTGAGTTCCGGCCGATGGTCGGCCTCGTACTTCCCGCTGTAGTTCGGATGGACGCCATGGGCCATATCGGCGGAGAGAAGGAAGGAGGTCGAGAGCGTCTGCTCATAGGCAGTCGAGAGATCGGCATTCCCGGAAGCCGACGAAGGCAGAACAGACAGACGGCGGATGATGGCCGGAAGCATGTTGGAGTCGGCCCCCTGCGCGGTGCAACTGCCGATCTCCTCGTGGTCAAACAGCGCCACGAGTCGGATGGCCGGCTCATCGTCCAAGGAAGAGGACTCCGCCACGGAGTCAATCAATCCGATGGTGGCACAGAACGAGCTGTTCAGGTTGTCCAGACGGGGGGAAAAGATGAACTCTTCCAGCAAACCACCGAGGCAGGACTTTTGCGTGTCGAAGAGGATCATCTCAAAATCCACGATGTCAGCGGGCTTCACGCCGGCTTCGGCGGCCAGGAGTTCGACAAAGTAGGTATGGTGACGCTCCGTGATGGCTTTGAGTGGCGAGAACTCTGCTTGTTCGTCGCCCTTGGAGGCCTCCTTCTCGCCGCCATTCTTCGATTCTCCAGTGCGGTTGAGCTCAGCAGCCACGAGACCGGCGATGGGGAACAGCTGCGTTTCCTTGTTAAAGGCAAAGTTCTCTTGGCGATCTAGGTGGATGGCCAAAGTAGGGATCCGGAGAACTGGGAGGATTTGTTAGATGGTTGATGTCGATGGAAATGATCGGCAAAACATACTCGGGCGATCGACCTTGATCAGTTTCTGCACGATAGAGCCGTCTGCCGCTCGGACCATTGCCCGACCAGCGACACCTAGGTCACGGTCGAACCCTAGAATCATCAGTTAAAGGATACATGCGAGAGAGCAAGAGGAGGGGGACATACATGTGTGCCAGAGCCCGCCGCCGTAGGTTTCCACCCCCACTTGGATATAGCCTTCCCCGCGCTTGTTGCTCACGGGCTTGACCCTCAAGACGGGCGAATCGGTGTGGGCACCGACCATGGAGATGGAGTTTCCCGGCTATCCAAGTCATCAGTATTACTCGACGAGTCCAGTACAATAAATATGGAGCGATTACCTGCCATTTCTTCCCTACGGCAAAGGCCACAATCGTGGAGCTGTTCCGGGTCAAGTAGTACTTCCCACCCGGTCGGCAGGTGGATGCCCAAGAATCTTTCTCCTAGACGAATTGTTCAACATGTGGGACGCACGTGTGCCGGGATATGCTGGATTTACTTTGAGTTCCTGAAACCCAGCCTTTATCAGAAGATCTTTGGCGGATTGAACCGCATGGAAGGCTGGACGCACTCTGAGTTAGACAGACATTACTGCGGGGAAATGGACGGAAGCTGGGAGGGGGAATTACGGGTGGGAGAGGCATTGACAAAGGACAGAAAGTCCTGAGCCAGATTCTTTGCGACCTTGGAAGTCATGATATCCGATAGACTAACCCGTGGGATCTAGACAGCAGTTGCTGGTGAAATGAGGGGAAGCCAAGTGGAGTTGAGGAAGTTGACATGAGATCATCGGGAGCTGGTCCGGGCGGTCTTGGCGTGGTTTCTACTACTACAGCCAGTGACCCCTCGTATCTTTTGTCTCAGGGTACGATATTACCTACCTACCTTCTTACAGGACTACGAGCATTATTAGACATGTCCGACGCAGAGATAGGAACAAAGAAGCATGAGACTGACAAGGACGATAGGGTCTGTTGCAGAATAAGACACACAAAGGGATTCAGTAATCGGCCAGTCCCTTACTTGCTGGTCGCGTTCTTGTGCGCGCGTGGAATGGACCGTCGCGTCTTGCTTATGTAATTATACATATCAAAACAACCAAAAACAACACCTTTTGTTCCTTGGTGTTGTTGTTTGTATTATTGTTGTTAGGTATTATTGTAGATCGTAAAACGCTCCTGATCTGGTCTAGGATAATCCCAGGTGAAAAATACTCCTCTCATGCCTTGGTATCTATCTATTCTCCTGATCTCAGCCACCACATGGATGGATCAATCACCCGGGATGATCACTCAGATGGATGGGCAGGATTAGTATGACCAGATGATAAGATAGAGGCTCCGTGCTGGAATGATGATCAGGCACGTTGGTCAGACAGGAAATGGAAAATATTACCTGGTATTGGTATTGAATAAGAGATGAAGAGTGTATTGCATAGCAACAGGTTCCTGCCTTGAGGCCTTACCAACCACTCTATACTCCCAAATAGGTCTAGCGCTCCCGACGCGTGACTAGAGGGATTTCCCCTTCCGACGCTCCCAAATCCACCCCCAAAGAAACGGCCATCGTCAACCCTTGGTTCCCTGTCCGCCATTTCAACCCTTTTCTCCCTCACCAGACCGTGGTCAGGTCCCTCTCAAATGACCTCCACAATTTGCAGGATTTCTGAAACTCAACCCTGGGTCTGGTGAGAGACACTGTTGACTTATCTTCATCCCTCCCCGTCATTCCTTCGACCGCCTGCCCGCCCGTCCATTTGGTGATCACTCCGAGCGGAGAGAAAGGCTCGTGTTGTCACTGGTGACCTCGCCATCCCCCGAGAGATATACCACCAAGGAAAAGAAGAACAAGGGACAGAGGACACCGGGTGTGGCTGGATTGGGAGGAAATCGGATTACCCGCTATTTATCTACTACATATCTTACGACCGGTCTCGCGCTCATCTGGACCGTCCTGCGATTGCGCCCTAGAAACTTGTCGCATACGATCAGATTCGCCTCGCTTATTTTGATTCCCGCTCGCATTCAGAATCCCCGACAGCCGATATAAAGGAAAGTCATGAGCGACAAAACCCGGAGTGCGGAGGCGTCGGCGGCTCGCCGCGCGACAAGAGGGGCCAAACCGTCGAACAACCCGGCCAATGCCTTAAATCTTGCCTCCCCGCCCGGCTCGAAGACGCCTCCCAGCATGCCTGCCAAAAAGACCCTGTTCTTCCCCGGTTCAACCGGGGGACGCCAGAAGAGTCGAAATAGTTCCGAGCCCATCGACCCGGATGCGCTTGCCAAGGCATTGAAGGACTACGAAGACGCTGGACGTCCGCGCGAAAGGACCCCCGGGACAAGCCCGAGTCGGAAAAGACAGAGGGTCTATGGTGATAGGTGAGTGGTGGAAATTATATGTGCTGTCGAGGAGTTCCGGCGGCAGCAACGGTGGCTTGCCCTTGCGGGACTATTGCTAACTGCTGCGCTCCAGGTTTATACCAAATCGGGACGGACAGGATCTCCAAGCCACGTATAGTCTCCTTCATGAGGATGGGTGTCCGTCAACGCCGTCGAAATCCAAGAGACGAGCGCCACACTCGGAGCTCCAGTTCCAAAAGAGTGAGTGTCGCCAAGGATTGATGTCTTCCAGTCGCTAACATCCCATCTCTAGCGGAGGAAGCGAACAGGACATACTCGCGAGTCTTACGGAGCGAGCTGTTCGGAAACAGCGTGCCACAGGCCGATTTAGATTCATTGTCCCCAGATCCCGTGCTGGGTCTAACCGGCGGCATCAACGAGAAGACTCGTTCACATACCCCACCCTCCCACGTTGTCTCCAACTTACCCCCAGCCAATATCACCCCTTCAACACCCCACAAGAATCTCTTCAACTACGCATCCCCGCGGGGGTCGGGACAACCAACCCCCTCCAAAACACCTCGAAGCCAGCATGGCCCTAATCTGAACGTCCGGTCGGAGCTTTACAGTTTGTCTCCCATTCGGTATGACAGCCAGCGCATCCTGGAGACCCCTCGCAAACAACCACGCTATGTCAACAAGGTTCCCTACAAGGTTCTCGACGCGCCAGACCTTCAGGACGATTTCTACCTGAATCTGGTCGACTGGGGCAGTAGTAACGTGCTTGGCGTTGGCTTGGGGAACTCCGTATACATGTGGAATTCGCAGACCGGCAGGGTCACAAAATTGTGCGAGCTGAAGGATGACACAGTCACCAGTGTGAACTGGATTCAACGAGTAGGCTTCTCCATCCCCGGGTCCATAGTCTGCGGCGTATCCGAGACTAACTCGCGGCATTTCTAGGGTACGCATCTTGCCATCGGCACCGGCAAAGGACTGGTCCAGATCTGGGATGCCGAATATTGTCGTCGCCTTCGAACCATGATCGGGCATACCAATCGCGTGGGCGCTCTGGCCTGGAACGACCACATCCTCACTTCCGGGTCTCGCGATCGTCTGATCTTTCACCGTGATGTCCGCTCCCCCGATCAGTATCTGCGCCGGTTATCCGGTCACAAGCAGGAGGTGTGCGGGCTTCGATGGAACACGGAGGATGGCCAGTTGGCCTCGGGGGGAAACGACAACAAGCTTCTGGTGTGGGACAAGCTGAACGAAACCCCACTCTATCGCTTCTCCGATCATACCGCCGCCGTCAAGGCCATCGCCTGGTCCCCCCATCAGCACCATCTGCTCGCCTCCGGTGGCGGTACCGCTGATCGAACGATCAAGTTCTGGAACACGTCCACCGGCTCCCTGATCAAAGAAGTGGACACTGGCAGCCAAGTGTGTAACCTGGCGTGGTCCAAGAACTCCGACGAGATCATCAGCACCCATGGTTACAGTCAGAACCAGATCGTCATCTGGAAGTATCCGCGCATGGAGCAAATTGTGTCGTTAACCGGTCATACGTTCCGCGTGCTGTACCTGGCCATGAGCCCCGACGGCCAGACCGTCGTCACGGGTGCTGGCGATGAAACCTTACGTTTCTGGAAGATCTTCAACAAACGGCCTGGTCGAGAACACGGGCGCGAAGGGAGCAAACTAGCGGAATGGGGCACCATCCGATGATGCTCCTATAACGATTCGCATGGCTTCGGGAGTCGCGACCTCGACGCTTTACTTTTCTTTCTTTTCTTTATTTTCCTACTAAGAACTTCCCACAAGCATTAGAATATGGCGTTCCTGGATTTCGGCGTTACTGCGACCCACGGTATATCCTTGGACGGTCTGGGGGAGGGTCTAAAGGTCTAGGTTGGCATCTCTGCATTTTGTGGGTTTACAGCATAATCCGGGCGACTGTCAGGTGCTTAACTATCTTTGTTTCCCATCTTTCATCTGGTCACATTTTCATCGCATGTACCTTGGGCCCTTGCTTCTTCGTTTTACTTGCTTCATGTTGTCTTTTGATGTTTCGCATTCGTGCCTTGTCGTTTTTTCCAGTCTTATATCCCTTTACAATGAATAACAGCGACGGCGCTCATGGTGTTCCCTCTGGTGGCCCCCGAACGTGGCGTTGCCCACCTGGATGGATAGGTGGCTGGCCTTTGATTGCCGTCAGGGTCTTTTCATCCCAGTTTCACTTGCATGGTATGGGCTTTGCACTCTCGAGGGTTTCAAATTGACGATGAGATGACATTTTACACTGGGCACCTTCTGCTGTTACTGGTTTTTCGAGGCGTGCATTATTACTGCGAAGGTATTCGCCGGTTGACAGAGCGTTTCATGCATGATTCTAAGGAACGGAATAAAACTCCATAGTAATAACACAAAGATATTGTAGTTGATAATTCTTGATTTGCCCAGCAACGTGCGTATCTTGTATACGATCGTATCGCCGGTTTCTTCTCCGCCCGGGGAGGCGGCCGGACAGGAACATTTTTCTGCCGCCGAGATTGGAGGATCTCCGACTCTTTGATGTCCAGGGATATATCGTCGTCGGTCAACGAACTCAAGGTGAGTGGCTCTGTGCGATGGCCTATTCCAACCGGTCTCGTCATTTCCCCCTGTTTTGGAATTGATGTCCACTGGTGTGGCACTTCTGTGTCCGTCCCCGCGGTCCCCAAACATGTTGCATCTGTCTACCTCGGGCTGCAGGCTAACATGATCATCTTCGTACACAGTAGAGGCAATCATGTTTGCCAGGCCATTCATTTTCCGAGCGTTCGCGCAACCATGTCCACGAGGGTTACTATTCCCCGGACTCCACCCATCCCCCACGCTATGGCGAACCTTCACAGCCAACGCCCCGCGGGCAAAAGCCGCGATCAAACCCAAGCAACAACCAATCGCCTATAAGCCTCAACCCAAAGTGCAGAGTCAATCGGCGGAAGAGACGCTGAAATTCGCCGGACGACGACCAGAGGGCTTCGGAAAGCTGGAGCGCAAGGTCGCCAAGGAGGGGACACTTCTACTTTTCAGCGCGCCGTCGCTGCGCAGCTACGTGCTCGGAGCTTACGGCATCGCCTCCTTCTGCTTCGCCTACGCCGTGTACAACTCCAACGCCGTGTTTCGCGATCCGCTCGTGCCTCTCCCCATGTGGCAGCAGGGCCTGTTTGGCGGTATCTGCGTGATGATGAGCGTCATGGGCACGGTCTTCCTCGTCAAGACGAGTCGGTTGATCCGGTCGGTTCACGCCGTTGCCGTCAATGGGCAGACCTATCTTCGCTTTAATGTCCGCAGCGCGGTGCCCTTTAAGAAGTCGTATTCCTTCGATGTCCTTCCCCGCCAGATCGCCTTCTCGCGCCGTCTGATCGTCTCCCCCTCTGCGCAGACCGCGCGCCATGCCGAGCTGGCGGCCGGTGCCCAGAAATCACAAGTGAGCTTCTTCAAGGCCCCGCTGCAGAAATCCAGCATGCTTCTCTGGAGGCTGTTTCGCGCGGTGCGGCAGATTTTCACGCAGGAGGACTTTATCCTGCTGGAGGTGGAGGGCCAGAAGGGCGTGTTCCGGATGGATTCTGCGGGGTACGTCGCGGAGGACTTTTTGATCATTGGGAATCCGGTGAGCATTCGGAGGTAGGGGTCGGATGAGCGCAGTGTACGATATCTATCTTTGAGTGTCTAGTTTCTTTCTGCTCTTCGTGCCTTGTGTCTGATGGAGCCGGAGTTCGATCTATCTTTTTGCCAACCACCAGGAGCGAGGGGAATAATCATATGTACATATAGAATCAATTCTAGAAGCATAGCATCTCTACCATTAACCAGCGAACTCTGAATCGTGTCTCAATGGCCGTGATGGGGCAATCAAAAAAGTCATAGATCGGATCGACAGCGCTGATAGGACGGACACACGTGACCCAGCGGCGCGTCGTCCCAATCGCCCGTGACGCGACCTCGAGTTATCCCGATGGCGCGGAAACCCCTCGTAACACACTTGCGCCGTTCTATCTCCACCATTCCGGCCCGACCGTTTTAATCCACCGTCCTTGCCACTGCAGTCGCCGGGGAGCGACAGCACTGTCGCGGAGATGGGGAAGCTCATCAGACTCGAGCTTTTCAGTACGTTTTGTTGCCCCTCTCCACACTCGGGCCTTCGAGATGGCTGACTTGATCGATCACTAGATTTCAAGTCCTACAAGGGACATCATGTTCTTCTCTTTGGAGATGCATATTTTACGTCCATCATCGGGCCCAACGGCTCCGGGAAGTCGAACTCGTATGTGGAGAGATGAGGAGGTTTAAAATTGGTTCGCGCTGACTCGTCCTAGGATGGATGCGATCTCATTCGTGCTAGGCATCAAATCATCCCACCTGCGATCGACCAACCTCCGCGATCTCGTCTACCGAGGCCGCGTGCTACGCACGGCCAAACTCGACGCCGACGGGAACGCCATCGACGGAGAGACGAACGGCGAGGAGCAGGAGGAGCCCGCTACACAAGACGGGACGGATGGCGGCGAGCCATCGCAGGAAGCGAACGGCACAAGCGATCCGCGCTCGGCGTGGGTGATGGCCGTGTACGAGGACGACGCGGGCGAGGAGCAGCAGTGGCGACGGTCGATCACGAGCCAGGGCGTCAGCGAGTACCGCATCAATAATCGCATTGTAACCGCGACGCAGTATAATGAGTCGCTGGAGGCGGAGAATATCTTGATCAAGGCTCGCAACTTTCTTGTCTTTCAAGGCGATGTTGAGGCTATTGCGTCTCAGTCGCCGAGGGATCTTACTCGCTTGATTGAGCAGATCTCGGGCAGTTTGGAGTATAAGGCTGAGTATGAGCGGTTGAAGGCTCAGGCGGAGGAGGCGAGCGAACTGCAGACTTCTCAGCTGAATCGTCGTCGCGGTATCAATTTTGAGGTTAAGCAGTACCAGGAGCAGAAGCGTGAGGCTGATAACTACGCTCGCAAGGCTGAAGAGCGCGACCAGGCTATTATTACCCACATCCTGTGGAAGCTGTTTCACTTCCAGCGTCTTATCGATGCCTCCAGTGCGGATATCCAGAAATATCAGGACGAGCTCAAGGAGTACCGTCGTGGTGTTGAGAAGTATGAGCTGAATGTTGAGGACGCGAAGAAGGACTACGCTAGGGTCGGTCGTGATGTGTCAAAGGCTGAGAGGAACATCCTCAAACAGGAAAAGGACATTGAGGAGGCCAACAATGCACTTGTCCCTGTGGACGAAAAGGTCGACATCACCGTCAAGAAAGTCGAGCGATTCGCCTCCAGGATTGCAGAAATCAGCAGGGAACGCGACGCCCAGTCTTCCAACGCCAAGCAACTGGAGAAGGATTTGAAGGTCGTCGAAAAGGCACAGGCTCAGTGGGAGGCTGAGTGGCAGAAAACTACCAGCAAACAAGGGCGTCAGTTGAGCGAGGCCGACCAGCAAGACTACAATCAGCTCAAGGAAGAGGTCAACAAGCGGTCGTCTGCGGATCGACTGAACCTGGACAATCTGCGGCGCCAGAGGAAGACCGAGGCCGAAGCATACAACAGCCTGAAGGGCAAGTTCGACGGTACCGAGTGGCAACTCAAGACGCTAGAGTCCGACACGCAGTCTCTGTCCGAGCGCAAGTCATCTCTCAATAGCACGATCAAATCTACATCCAAGGAGATCGACCACAAGAAGAAGGAACTCAACGCCCTGACTTCCGAGCGCCTCCGCGCGTCCCAGATGCGGACAGAGCTGGAGGAAAAACTGCAGGTGGTTCTGAAGAAGCTCCTCGAAGCCGACGATGGCAAGAAGCAGACCGAGCGTGAGATTCGCGCCAAAGAACTGATCTCGACTCTGAAGCGGATTTTCCCCGGCGTGAAGGGCCGCGTCAGCGATCTCTGCAAGCCCAAGCAGAAGAAGTACGCGGATGCAGTCAGCACCGTCCTTGGACGAAACTTCGACGCCATCGTCGTCGACAACGAGAAGACCGCCAAAGAATGCATTCAGCATCTGCGCGACCAGCGAGCCGGCCAGGCGACCTTCATTCCCTTGGAAACGATCCAAGTCAAGGCTTTCCATTCGAACCTCAAGGGCATGCACCGAGCAATGCGCCCGGCAATCGAGACCGTCGACTATGACGATTCTGTCGCGAGAGCCATCAGCTACGCTTGCGGTAACTCCATTGTCTGCGACGACCTCGCGACCGCCAAGTTTCTCTGCTACGAGCGAAATGTGGACGCCAAGGCTGTCACACTGGACGGAACGGTGATCCACAAGGGAGGTCTCATGACCGGTGGTCGCGGCCAGCAGCAGAATTCAAAGCGCTGGGAAGACTCCGAGGTCGAGAACCTGTACAAGCTCAAGGACAAATTGATCAACGACCTCACCAATTTGCCCAAGGGTCACCGCAGGGGCACCGAAGAGGAAACGCTGCAGGGCGAGCTGGTTGGTCTCGAGCAGCGTCTTTCCTACGCCCGCGAAGAGCTCAAGGCGCTGGAGAGAAACCTCCAAAGCAAGCACTCCGAGCTTGACTTCTCCAAGCGGCAGCTGGAGGACCTGAGACCCAAGTACACGGAGCGCCAAGAGACGCTGAACGAGCTTGACGAGACGATCGCGACGTCCCAGGAAGCAGTCAGCAGTGTAGAGGACGAAGTGTACCGCAAATTCTGCAAACGTCTCGGGTACCAGAACATCCGCGAATACGAAGTCCAGCTTGGGTCCTTGCAGGAAGAGGCTGCCCAGAAGAAACTGGAGTTCACGACGCAGAAGAGCAGGATCGAGAACCAGCTTAGTTTTGAGAAGCAGCGACTCCAGGCTACGAAGGACCGCATTGCCGGTCTGCAAGCTCAGCTCGAGCGCGATGAGAGCCTGATCGAGGAGCTCAGGGCGGAGCAAGAGCAGATCGGCAATCGACTAGATGAGCTTAATGCCGAGCTTGATATCCTGCGAGAGAAACTAGACGAGCAACGTCTGGCCTATGAGCACTCGGCTGAGAATCTGGCCCAGCATCGCAGGGAGCTTCAGAAACGCAGTCGCGAGGTTGAAGGTGCACTGAAGCATGTCAACGCCCTGGAGGCAGAGATCCAACGCAACTCGTCCAGTAGATATGCTCTCCTTCGACGGTGCAAGCTTGAAGATATTGATGTTCCGTTGACGGAGGATTCGAACGCGCTGGACCAGCTTCCCATCGACGACTTGGTCCAGGCCGTGGATCCGGATGCGATGGAGGTGGACGAGGATAACGAGGAGGCTGGTCAAGGCATCCAGGACTATGGCATCGAAGTCGACTTTGACTCATTAGGAGACACCCTCAAGGAGGTACGTTACATATACTTACCATATAAAGCCCACGCTAATTAGACCCAGGAATCGGACGAGAAACTCGAAGAAGAGCTACTTGACAAAGTGCGGTCCCTCAACAGCGAACTAGACAAGATGGCACCGAACACGCGCGCCATGGAACGCCTCGAGAGCGTCGAGAACAAGCTCCGCAGCACAGAGAAGGAATTCGAGCAAGCGCGCCGGCACGCCCGCAAAACCAAGGACGACTTCGAGGAGACGATGCACAAGCGGTCCGAACTTTTCAACAAGGCCTTCTCCCACATCTCGGAGCAGATCGGGCCCATCTACCGGGAGCTGACCAAGAGTGCGAACTACCCACTTGGTGGACAAGCGTGAGTGTCTCCTCTCTTCTCCATGAAAAGCGATCAATTCCTCTAACAAGGCAAAACTTCTAGATACCTGGACATCGAAGACTCAGACGAGCCCTACCTAGACGGCATCAAGTACCACGCGATGCCACCGCTCAAACGCTTCCGAGACATGGAGCACCTATCAGGTGGAGAGAAGACCATGGCCGCCCTGGCTCTGCTCTTCGCCATCCACTCGTACCAGCCGTCTCCGTTCTTCGTGCTCGACGAGGTCGACGCCGCCCTCGACAATGTCAACGTCGGCCGCATCGCGAACTACATCCATGACCACGCTGCTCCGGGCATGCAGTTCATTGTTATTAGTCTGAAGACGGGACTGTTCCAGAATAGTGAAGCCTTGGTTGGAATTTACCGCGATCAGGCGGAGAATAGCAGCAAGTCGTTGACGCTGGATGTGAGTATTTTGATTCCATACTTGTCTCCCCTCCTCCCACCAAACGAGCAAATGACTGACTACTTTTCAGCTTCGGAAATACAATTAGTCTCCGACGGAGCTTGTAGCTCTTTATCTATTACCTTATTTCTATATCACTATTCATTTATTCCTTTCTTTGTTCATTCATGCTATGTGTAGAATAGTTGTTGCCGCGGTTTGATTTCTTTCTTTCTTTCTTTTTTTTTTTTTCATAGTTTATGTTATGCCTTGATGGTTGGGTGGGGTGCAGGTATGGTATAGCTAGCTTGTCACATACCTAGGTAGCTATATACTACTTGCCTACAGTGGATCTATATCGACCTATCATCCGCTATACGTAGAGTACCTACTACCTATCTAGCTACCCACCCACCTATTTAGTCTGTGAATCGGCATCGTCAAAGCCAGTATAGTCTTGCTCGCATGAGTACACGCTCGTGGTATTCCCCCACACCACGATATAGTACCTGCCTACTTAGTCTCTCAAGAAAATGCACCTCGGCTGCAATTTGAGCAGTAAGTAAGTAGTGCGGTTATGTTATTTTCAAGAGTCAGTAGATACTAACTGTCTTGTCTTCCATGGCCTTATTCAGTGCCTATCATAGATCTTGACAATTTATTTACTTTCCAATAGCCCTAATATATCAAAGTTTATAGCAGACTTGGATAGCGAAGGGCAGTCATATCTGGATAGTATATGTAAACACAGGTACCCCGCTCGTGACCAATAAAGCCCTAAACATCTACATCGGCGGATGACTCGAGACGAAGACATAGATTGAGTTGGGTGGCTTCGACATCCTCCAAATACTCGACACTGTGTGCCATGCAGAATATAAAACAAACGTATCCGTAGTTGATATCAGATTCTCAACCCCGACGTACATATATGGGACGGGCCGGGACTTTGCTTGGGTCGGCTATTTCATAACTGTAGCCGATCTATACTTTTATCTGCCTATGTAACTGTAATATAAAGATGATGCTTCTGGTAGTGAAATTCATAAATTAAGTATATATTCGCTATGCCGTTATCTACTATACCTTACTATACCCCAGAAAATCTGTAGTCTGAGCTCTCCTTTCCGGGAATTTACATGTTAGTTTTAGAAAGAATAGCCTAAGCCCCTGATCCAGATCCAGATCTGTTTTTGGTTACAAAGCGCTATCAGTGGCAAAGGTATCGCAAGCTGGAACTGGGGAATGAGCCAAATCGGCTCGGGGTCTCCGCACAGGGATCCTTCATCGGGTGGATCATGTGAGAAGGGGGAGGGGAAACATGGGATCTGAGAGGTAAACTGCAGGAGAGCTGTCTCATATCAAGTGGATAGCGTCATCTTCGAAGCGGAATGAGTGAAATATCTTGAGTTAGTATCGACTTGGAAGAAGTTACCTTGCCCGTGAGAGACATCGATATCAAAACCTAAGAAGGATCCTAAACCGGATCTCGCTGTTAGATTACTTTCTATCGTAGATACCTGGCTTTTGTTAGTATTAATTTTATACGAATTTGCACCAAGACCATGTGGCGATTGTAGGGTAACTGTGAAAGCTCAGAATTGATGCTCTGCATTCACATTGTCAGAGAGATTCAGCTGGCATTCATTGAGCAATTACCCTCATGAATTATACCATGTCGGTGGAAGCTCGCAGGCAGCCTAGTAATGAGTATCTTAGACCCTTGCTGCTTCAGCACCTATCTTTGAAAAGCATCGGTCTCCAACACTCCAACCCCTACGGTGCCGCCCTTTAGGGCGTCAACTCCTACCTCTGTTGCGCGTCACAGAGCATCAAGCACGTCCACATGCGTCATCAGTCAACGATCGTTACGGTGCTCGGTAGTCAGTCATGTCCACGACGCCACGCGGGGAACAAACATCCCTTACTATGACAACATCATGACCACGGCTATGGTCGGCAGCGGAGATAACGCGCGCATCGCCATTATCCCACTGGAGAAAGACCACAAGGCGGCGTATGCAGCCTCCGAAATGGGGAAGTGGCCCGCTTCGCCCTCGTAAGTATGAGTAAGTTTTGGTTTTCCGGCTGGCGCAAAACACGCGGAATAGCATCCGGCCGCTAGGTGCTGCTTTCGATTGCCTTTGGCAATCCCTTGATCTAGTCTCGTGCAGCGGCCAACAAAAACCACGTCCCATCAAGCGTTGCCTAGTATGGACGGCGATACTGCTAGGGGTTTGTAAAGGAGAAATAGATGCAGAATGCGCCAGCCGGTCAGATGGCGGCAGTGATGGCCAATAGCGTGGTCGAGATTGCAACAGTATCTCGTCACAGTGCGTCTTCTGGGGTGAACAAAGGATCCGGGAATATAGATCACTAGGTTGCCTTCTGGAAAGGAAAAACGAAGCGACTATGCCAAACGACCATTGTTCGGGATGTTTATTGGGAAGACCACAAGAAGACTGGAAAAATTCTGGCCGGTCCTCGGAGCAGATTATGAAAATTGATCTTTTAGGGCACCCACTCGAGAGTTCAAGGTGTGGGGTCGCAGAGATCCGTGTCGAGATTAACTCAATCATCGTAAGGTGGCAATAAAGTAGTAGCCACGCTTCCCGAATACGAGCAATCCAAAGCCACCAACAGACCCAGACGACCAGGCGGTTGGCATGATCTTGACCATCCATCATCCATCGTGGAAACACAAAATCCCCCTAGTAACCGCAACTAGCCAACCAAAGCTCACGGTCACTACCAGCAGGCGAAAAACTAATAGTGTGCTGCAAGATAAAAATATAATCAGCTATGCAGACTGTGGCAACAAACTTTTCCCGGGAGAAGGTCTGTCGGGCCAGTGATCGGTGGTCGAGGAGGGCACACGTCAGTCTTCCCCGTAGCTGCCAGAAATAAGTTATGCATCAAGTGACCGGTGTGGGAGAACGACTGATCTGCATCGACGGGTGCGATCTCTCATAATTTCTCGGTCCACAGTGGCCCTGAATTGACTGGTCGATTCTCATAGGTGCTCAGACTCCAACGTACTATTCCAATGTAATTTGATCCCTAATCAATAGGCAACTGATTTTCTGTTTTGACCATGGCCGTCGAGCAATTTCTCGCTTGATATGGGCTTGTTTCTAAACTGATAGTGACCAGTACGATGCTGTTATGGGTTTGTTCGGGTCTGAGGGCTACAGACAGAAGATATAGGCGGCGAATGGTCGTGGCTGCCTGTCTGGCTGCACCCTGGATGCCGCGCCTATGTTGCTCTGGGCTATCATTAGACGACCGAACCACCAAGGACTCAGTTGTCATACGTCAATTGTGACAGTAAGAGACGCGAGTTGAAAGCAGAGAAGGAAAAGCAAACCTGAAGGCCCACTTTCCCCGCAAAGATGCGAGGGGGTGAAATCTCGCTGCTCATTTTCGCCAGGTCGTACCCTCTCTGGAAGACATTGCGTTTGTTTTTCGGGTGGCGTAAGCTGAGATTTGGTGTGGAAATGGCAGAAGCACATTGTACATACTACGCCGGACGAGTAGTAACCGGCATCAATGTGGTGGAATTCGAAGAGCCTGTGTCCCATCTAAGACATATTTGCTTCTTTGACCTTCCCTGAACCGTTGTTGATGCAGGCCATTTTCTAAAATCCTGAACCGGTTGCCGCTGTCGTACGGAGTATACAACCTCAGTGGAGAATGCCCAATGACCTATTCTGGAGATCTTCTCCGTGAAGGCTGGGACAAATAGCTCATTTCCACATAGAAGCATGGTGTAGCAGTGTGTCCAAATCGGGTCGGGTCCAAGCATGTCGCTTAGCCACTGGGAGCCAATTCGGTTAAGTACATTGATCACTTGAGTGGTTGAGTTGCAAATCTGGAAGGCACGGAAGTGCGAAGGAGTCCATTTCGCTACACATAAGAAATGAAGTATGGAAAGCAGATGCGTACCTCTGATAGGATACCACGCTGAATTGCGGACAAGGTGATGGTCTTGGAAAGGTATTCAGGTCCCACAGCACGCACTGACTCGCACTCGAATAGAAAAGCAAGAAAAATACGGAGTAATAATAAAAAAAATAAGACAAAGGAATAAGAATAAAAGAGAAGGAAGCACCGGCGGAAGTCAGATTCTGTTGATCCGGACAGGGGAATTGTTCCCACTGGCGGGAAATAGACACTAATTAGCCACACTGCGCTTGAAGTGGACCAAGTCACTAACGTCCACTCGGTGTCACCCATGCTGACGGGCTGAATGGGCACTAGTACTATGACTGTAGCCTGTCGGTTGGAAAGTCTAGAAGCATCCTGCATCTTAAACTCGAGCTATACAGTGGCAACCCATGACTTAGAACGGGACTCTGGCTGGGATGGCCGAAGCAGTTTCTGTTTCCTTTCGCCAGTGACATCATCCTCATTGGTAGTAATGGGCGCAGCCATAACAGACAAAACATAGTGAAAATGTATATGGTGTAGGTGCTTGGTAGATCCTGCGGTCGTCTGCCATGCCAGGCCTTACCAATCAAGATTCGATTCGCGATGTATCCACAGATCAAGAATGACGATCCCAGAGACGTACCATGTAGGCATGATCCCCAAATCCCTGCCAATGTCTGAGAACGCAGATCATGGCTCGATTCAACAAGTGTACTACTGATAGAGTTGGGGGTAGGCCCGGTCATGAGGGTTAGCCTGTTCAAAAATTCTACATTCGTGGGATGAAGGAATAGGAAAAAGGAAAATGGCACTAGTATCACCATCTGCATCCATATCGGCATCTCCGTCCATGCGATACAAAGTATCCATAGCACACCAGATGTTTCAAGTTGGTTTGATCGGCGCGATTATAGATCAATGTAGAATTCCATGGATGTTCACAGCGTATCTCACTTCTAGTTTGCCATTTTGAATTGGAGAGTCCCCACGCCACCCCGTCGGCCCCGAAACTCAAAAGGGGGCTTTGAGTCAAGAGGATTTGAAAAGATTAACGCCGTAGTGGGTCATCAGAATGCTCGATTTACACGCAGCTATGGAGACGGGCCGTCGTGGATGGGACCGGGGCTGACCAAAGAGGAATTTGCCTGTATGTACCTATTTGTTTTCCTTGCATTAGTTTGTACTGGCCAAGGGCTGCGTTGCGCTGAAGAGACATGATCTGTTAGTCAGAGATCTTGGAAATAGTACTTTCTCCTTTTCCTCACTTATTTTCGTGGACTCCAATAAAAGTAGAGTTTCTTTTTGCCCTAGACGTAAAGTATATTTGGCTGCCGGCGGCCCATGAAAAGCGCCCGAGCCGTAAGCATGAAACCATAGAACTTCAAGCCTTGAAAATCCTTCTGCAGTCTTTCGTGAACAATCATATAAATCTATCACAGCGTGCCGTACCAGTCTCCCGGATACACTGCTGATCGAGAGTCCCTCCATTTGACCCCCTTCATCCCCTCTAGACTTGCTCGTTACGGGTGCCCGAGCTGAGAGGAGTCTTCCCTGTGCGTGGGACTGTCTTCTCGTTGTGATAATAACTCAAGCATGGCCAGTCCTGGGTACAGTATGGATGCGATAGGTCATCCCGTTCCGGCGAAGGGGGATGAGCACCCTCACATGCTGCCTTACCATGACATGACTGCTCAGCCAAGACCAGCGGTATGGGATAGAAAAACCCCAAGACCCCCGTGATCGTTCGACGAGTCATCCATAGACTAATATGACAATGTGATTAGAATATGCAGTGCCCTCCGTCGGCGGCGTTCAACCCGCCTTTCACTCACTTTGCGCTCATGTACGTCGACCGCAATGGTGAGCTCCAGGTAGACGTATCGCCCTCACTCATGGGATATGAGAGATCCATCTTCACACAAGAGGTGAGAGATCGGTTTCTCAAGTCCACGAGCTTTGGATGGCAGGCCAATTTGCCCAGCTTCCACTCCAGTAAGTCAAGAGCATCCGAAGGTGAAGTAAAAAGGAAGAAGGAGAGACGCGAGAATCTGACTGAACGTACCTTAGACTCCGTCAGTCACATGGATGGCGATGCCACGGGGAAGCAGCCTTATGTTTTTGGCTTGCAACAGAATGCCTCAGGCTGGTACGGTGCGCCGGGTCCAGCAAGACCTGCACCTACGGGTCTCATTCCCTGCGAGTGGCAGTCACTGCAAAACAACAAGCGGCACCGGCGCAATATGAGGCGCATGGACTCTGGAATCGACAGAGACTCGAGCTCATCCTCTCCGAGCTCTTCTATCCGCTGGACAGCACTCCGGGTAGGGGACAAAGAAACCCTTCGGAGCTACTATGACAAGGCATTCGAGAACTTCCAGCAGCTCAATTGTCGCGCCATCGCAAAGGCCTTCGTCAAGCTGGTGGAGCCTCGCAAGCAGGTGAATCACCCGTATAATGGGCGCAAGACGGCCGCGGGGTTGTCTCAGCGCGTGGACCCGGAATTGACAAAGCCTCAATGGTGGCCAGCGGGCGTGACACACAAGGAGCCGGACCATCTTCTTAAATCGGGTAAGAGGCGATGCTGTGATACATTTCTTTGCAGGTGCTAATGTGCGACTGGCGTCCTGCAGACCGAATCCGTCTCCTAGTACATATTCTATGCGAGCTACGGGAGTCTCATGGTATCACAGCCGACAAACTGAAAGATGCGGGCCAGGACGTGCGGCGCCAGATCATGCCCGCGGAGCGTATACAAGTTTTGGATGAGATATACTACGTCCGGGATATGGAAGAAATGTACTTGGATGGGAAAATCAGTATGTGCCTGAGTGACTACCTCGCAAGTCAGTAAAACCATTGCTAATCGCAAAACAGGCGCCGATACTGTGGTACACGTTTCTCATGTCCACATGGGCGAAGCTGGCGCCTCGGAGCTAGAAGATGGAGCCACGACAAATCTTCAGAGTCTACCCGTTCCCATCATCACAGTGAAGTCGGATGCATACAACCGGCCAGAGTCGCACCAACAGAATATCGACCCTAGCCTGGACCCGCATTCGACGCGCAAGGGAGGATTTCTGCCTCCTTCTCCCGTCTCGGTCCCTTCCGTCAGTCGGAAGAATTCCTTGGACAGCAGTGTCTCCACTTCCTCGTCAGATCTTGTTTCATCGATGATGACTTCTGCGGAGCCCGGGCGGACTCTCTACGCACCAAAGGACGTGCATACCACCGGGGCGACCTGTCTCCCAGAGTACTTTGCCCAGCACCAGTCTACAGCTCACAATACGCAGTCCGGGTTTTGGGATCCACTGCACCCTAGCCAGCCCTCGATCTCGTTTCATGGATATTAAACATTAGTCTCCCGGTGGGAATGTGATAGGTGTTGCGGTTTCTGGGTTTTATGCATTTTTGGGGTATATCTGATTAGCCTTGTTGTCTAGTGGGGTTCTGGAATATTCTTGGAGTGGATGTATTGAAAGGAAGAAATATAGGATAGATAGATCGCAAAACATACAAGTATCCTGACTTGGCGCTTTTGCAGATTAATAACCAGTTTATATTAATTGTGACAGAAGTACGGAGTAAACAAATGGCGTGGAGAGCCTGCCCGCCACCCTACTAGCACATGTTCCGCTCGATCTATAAACTTGTTGATACTTGGTTAATGTACGGATGATATCATAGGGTTATATCACGTCGTGATCTTGTTGGCAGCCGTGATTGAACTCTTTTGGATCAGATTAGATATTGAACTTCGTCTCTTGGTTCAAAGATCTGTGGTCTACGTTATTTCTATGAATTCATGTTTGTTATACTAGTTTGAGTTACACGTTTAACCTTATACACTACGGTATCACACTACTATTTATAGTCACATAGCCGGTTAGCTGTACGGAATAGTTGTACACAAGCAATCTCCAGTACCCTCTGCGATTGTCCATAAACATCAGAATTTGGTCATGATATACACAGGATAAGATAGTATTCCCCCCATCGAACCTCCAAAATTCCTTGATCTATACAAAGTTTCTGGTTCTGCCGATCCCGCATTCCCGACCGATTAGACGGACTGACCGACCCGACGCGACCACCCAAGTCTCCACCAACCGGATGGCCCATCCTCAGCACACGTGAAACCTCATCCTTCCAACTTGTCCTCGTCTTCCTCCCTGCCACACCCTCTCTCTACATCCCCGCACGTTCTCACTCTTTTCATTTGTTCAAGCGTCTTGGGTCATGCGCCTGGCACGCTGACTGGGACTGGTTGTTTGTTTACTCTTCGTATCAAGTTGGAATTAAAGCCTCGGCGCGATCGGCCTCGAAAGTGCCAGGGAGTTGACTCGCTGATTGGAAACGTGAGTATATTTCCCAAGATCAGCCTGTAGTTGATATATAGGTCTTCCCTGGTTTGTCCATGTCCCTCTCCTGGCGTTTCTCTTCTTTCCTTTTGAGGCCTCCTCCCACTCCAGATCTCTTGTCCCTGTCACAGGACGGCATACGTCACTCCTACCGATCAAAATGGGAATACTGATTTTTGGACGCTTTTTTAGTCGATCATATCCTAATAATCTCAACGAACCGACGATCCTCTTCTTCCAGCAGAAACTCATCATGGAGTCTACACACTCGGGAGGTGAATCCCCCATTCTGGAGCACAGTACGATGGGCTCGACAGCCGACGAACTGTCGGACTTGGAGGACTTGGGATCCGATAGCTACTATTCGCCCTCAGCCTCCCCCCAGAGACCTGGAATGTCGCGCGGCTCGTCCTACTCCTACCAGGATGACTGGGAGACCCTCCCGGCGTTGGACCAACTTTCGGTATTCGACCTGCTGGACAATCTCTCCTTGTCTGACCGACTGGAAAAGCTGCACCGGACCATCAACGCACAGACAGAGAAAGTGAGGAAGCAGCGGGAGAAGCTGAAGTCAACCTCGGCCAACGCCAAGGACCGCGTCGTGGGGGAGTGGAAGAGACGGGTCCCCACGGCGGACGAGCGATTGGACAAGTACCGCCGTCGCATGGGGCGCGGGGTCGAACGATTAGGGAAACAGTGGAATGCGACTGCCACGGTGACTTTGCGTGAGAAGATTGCCTTCATTGCTGGAGTGCTCAATATCTTCATCAGCGGTTATCTCCTCGGATCGTTTCCCCAGTACTTCTACATCTGGTTCAGTGTGCAGTTAGTCTACTTTATGCCCATTCGGTACTACGAGTACCACAAGAAGGGTTATCATTACTTCCTTGCCGACCTTTGTTACTTCGTCAACTTGCTCTGCATATTGACCATCTGGGTGTTCCCGCGATCCAAACCCCTTTTCATCAGCACGTTTTGCCTGACCTTTGGAAACAACGCGGCTGCGATTGCCATGTGGCGGAACTCCATGGTGTTTCACAGCATGGACAAGATTGTCAGGTAAGACCCTCTGCAGACCCATCTGTTCGACAAGTGAAACTAACGTGGGACCAGTCTGTTCATCCACATAATGCCCCCCGTGTCTCTCCACTGCATGGTTCACCTGACCCCGGCCGAGGTGCTCCATAAGCGATTTCCAGCGGTCTACGAGATCAAGTTCAGTCAGCCGGGATCGCCACACCACTACTCCCTGTTCGCCATGATGTGCTGGGCCACCGTGCCCTACATTATCTGGCAGGCGGCATATCATTGTTTCATCACTGTGCGCCGGGCAGAGAAGATCGCCGCCGGGCGCCCCACCAGCTTTACGTGGCTCCGCAAATCGTATGCCAAAGCATGGATCGGGAAATTGGTCCTTAGCCTTCCTGAGGTGTTGCAGGTTCCCGCGTTCATGCTGATCCAATATCTATATGCTATACTGACCATGATCCCGTGCCCCATCTGGTTCTGGTCGTCCACGGGCAGCGGGATCTTTTTGTCGGTGCTCTTCGTTCTTAGCATATACAATGGCGCTACTTTCTATATTGACGTCTTTGGCAAGCGTTTCCAGAAGGAGTTGGAGGAGCTCAAGAAGGATGTTGCACGCTGGCACTCGTCGCCTGAAGGTGCAACGGTTCCCGTCTCCGACAGTGGCGTGGTGTCCCCTGCCAAGGGTTCGGACGAGAAATCTCCCGCGAATGAGGCCACTCCCGACAAGGCAAGTCTTGATCGGATCCCTCCGCTTGATGCCCAGGTTATCTCCACCGGTGCGCAAGGAGCGGATGCCGAGGGTGATTCAACGGTTCGCGAGAGGAAATAGGTTGACCGTTGAGGCTGGTATTGATTCAAACCACAACGTCAATCTGGTTTTTCTTTTCTCTTCCTTCATATTTGTTTGCTTCTTCGACCAGTTCCTTTGCCTTGGCTCTTTGTCTAGAGTGTGTTATTTGCGAGTTCATGATACCCATCCCTTCACTCATTTGGATATGCGTTGGACGGTTGATAAACGTAGGATTGATGGATGAGATTGGCTGTGATATACATACTTTCTATACGTCTTCTTGGTTTATTCAAGATCTACATCAATTACAGGTCTTGTACAGAAACTTCCACCAAAAAAAGCTACTTGCTTAATATATTTAGAGGATAATCTACTAACACCGGAAACACGCTGGAAAGGCCCTTTTCGGCTACGTCAACACCGGCGTCAATTAGCCTTGCAAAGCCTGATGTCAACCTAAGATTGGCAGCCCTGTCGGACCTAACAATTATCCTGTCATAGGAGAAAGAAATTGTCTTGTACTATGTCAGAATTATCTACTATGATGATCATTAAATTGGCTACCACCAAGGCTACCAGTTTATATCTAATAATCTTTCACACACGCCCTAGTCCTGTTCATTGACGAAATGGCCAGCAAAAGAGATCTCTTTTGAGACGAAGAAGCAATTTTGCGCTTAGGTTGTTGATTCCCTCTCAGGGTTGGGAATTGGATGCCCGGAGATCAAGGTATCAATCACCACCGCGTTGATCAGCTGCATCTTCTTTGATCATATCTGACACCCACTCCGCAATGGCATAGAGGTTTGCCATCGGATGTCCACACAGTTGCAGCGGCTGAATAGACGCATCAACCACTCGTACATTTGTAGCTCCGTATACCTTCAGCCGGTTATCTACCACTCCTCCCATGGAACGAGGGAGCATGGACGCGGTTCCGACGACATGGTAGTTTGGGGTGTCTATGCTCACTATTGTATGAGAATACAGTATGGACAGTAGATGGGGGGTAGGTCAGACTTACACTGCTCTCCGATCCATCTTGCCCACGTTTCATCTGATGCATCTTCCGGAACGACTGACAACCCTGGTAATGATTCCTCGGCAATGAGGTCACTGAATTCGCCCGTCTTATACATCTTGCGGAGAAACTTGGACATGGCTATCTGAATCTGAACATCCCAGTCCAGCATTCCATAGTTGGGATTCACAACCGGTGGTTTTGTAGGATCAGCAGAGACAATATGGGAATTTCCCCGAGCAAAAGGGAGTAGACCCCAGTATCCAGTGTGAATTGACTGGTCTCCCTTCAGGAGAAAGACGAATTCAGCAGCAGGGAGGTTTTTGCTGAAGATATGGTCATGTTGCATTTCAAACAGCCTTAGAAGGTCCTCGGCGTTCGTGGCCCCGTGGCTCGCATTAGCAGTGTCATTGGCATATTGGGCTAGCTGTGACCGCGTCGATGCCGCAACCGACTCTACCGATGACCCAAAGATGTCGGATGCCGAAGCGAATGCCACTGTTCTGGTTCCCGTTACAGGTGCCTTCGTGGACACAACGATTGATGTATTCAGTTGATCCTGTAGGTTCTCTCCCACACTGGGGAGGTTGATATGCACCGGGATTTTGAGCTTCCGGAGAATACTATAATGTTATTAGCACTCTCTTAACAGCAGCTTGGGCAGATGGTACATACCTTGGATTCCCAGCACCAGAACGCTCCAAAATAGCAGGTGATCCCAGAGCACCAGCAGCCAAAATGACTTCCTTCCGGGCATTGATGACGTGTCCCTTTCCACGCCCCGTGTTTATCTCAACCCCAGTCGCAGTAAGATCCCATTCATGACCCCCCTGATCCCGATCATCCCACACTATTCGGTTGACCAACGTATTCAGTTTCACATGCACATTTGGCCGGTTCGCGTACGGCCAGTAATAAGCTCGAGCAGCATCATTCCGAATATTTGCCACATCCACTGTCGACGGGTGGATGGTGAATCCTCGCATGTGTCCTGAATTCAAATCCGGGTTCGACGGGATACCCATGGACCCCAGGGTGCGATTGAATACTGCTGTCAGATCATGGTCTTCTTTGCGTAGATCAAAGAAGCCCACAGACAGCGGTCCGCTGGAGCCATGGTACTTCGGATCAATGGAAACACCAGCTTCAATCTGTGTCTTGTTGGGGGCGCTGATGTTTTCGCTCTTGAAGTAGTATGGGAAGAGATTCTGCCATGTCCATCCATCATTACCAATTTCCTGCCATGAGTCGATCTGTGCAACTTCTGCGCGCGCATACGCCGCCCCTGGAAACAATCTTCTAGATACTTTCACACATCATACAGGCTGAGTCCGGTGGATGGCTTACCGTTCATGACACTCGTTCCTCCCAGTGCTTTGCCAGCGCGCAGAACCTGAGTTCGTCCACCATAGGTCTGCGGTACGGTTTGATATGCCCAGTCGATGGAGCTGTCGTAGGTATAGTTCAGACGGTCGATATCAGTCACGTTGATATTGTCAAAGACCGACGGCCCTGCTTCAAGGACAAGGACCGAGGTCTTCGGGTCTTCTGACAATCGGTGGGCAACGACCAATCCACTTGTTCCCCCTCCCACAATGATGTAGTCATACTGGGCAGCTATCGTCGCTGCCAGAAGGAGCATGAACCATGGAAGAATCATCGTAGGCTTTAGATCTGCCGGACTGAGTTCCAAAAGAATATTGATCGCAATGGCGCATCGGCCAGGAATGCGGGGGTGTTATATATCTTCTAAGTCATTCCGCCAAGTGTTGGTTTGAAACAACCAGATAGGTATGATCGCATCCAGCCATGCAGGTCTGGTTCTCTACTCTTCAAATGGGGCACTGGCGATCACCGAAGTTTACCCGGAGACCCTTGTGAGTTAACGTATCCCTTGAACCGAGTTGTCAACGCAAGGGCCGCTAGAGGCCTCGAAACATATAGTGTGGAGGAATATCAATGGAATGAATGCAAACCCCGCACAGGTCTTGGCCCCCGGCAATTCAATCATTCAGGTCTCAAATCCAATTCCACAGCAAGATGTGCTCGATCTACAGCTTAAAATTCCCAAGTTGGCCAGTGGGTTGGTATATACGGCAACCCGTTGGTAGTGGGAATCCTATGCAAGGTTTCGCCGCATTCTTCACTCTACAATATTCCTCATCCAGTGGACTCCTGTCAATTAAACATGACAGCTCCACAGCTACGGCGTCTCGGTCCGCGAGCCGTATTTGATATGTCTGGACCTTGTTATAGAGTCAGGGGAGGGGGGCGCTTCGCTTAGAACTAAACTGCAAGTACGGAGCCCAGCAGCCCCGCTCGCCTGATATCCATTGTGATCCTCCGAATTTTGAACAGTCAGAAGGTCGTCTAACGTGGCGGGGTATATATATGGGGCTCGGGGCGAACCGACATGGGGTCTGGTCAAAGTGACCTTTTGGTCCAGTTGGTAGTATGTTGCCCGAACGCGTGTCATTACACTTAGGTACCTTGAGATATGATCTACGTATATATACATAGAAAGAGGGGAAAAGTTGAGCTGGCAAGCCTGTCCAGCCTGACTCCCTGACAGAGTAGAAAATCTCGGAGATAAGATAAGGTAAAGCTGGCTGGTGTGATCAACGTAATCAACTTGTAAGAAGAAGATGATGATAATATGATGCCAACCACATCAAGATGTTTAACGTTTTTTAAGGTACCCAAAAAGTCTTGGCAACCCACAAACTCCGATAGTCCAGAACTAACTCCGAGTCCCGTGCCATCACGTGCCGGGCCACTTCGCCTCGCACGCCTCGGAGTGAACGACGCCTCTCAAGCCCAATCCCCACCACTACTCCCAGATTTCCTTCAATTTCCTGTCTGGTGAGCCTCTCTTTCTTTGGAACGCTTTTGGACGCTGTTGTGCTATTTTTCTTGATTTGCTCGCCCTCGAGCCCCCCCTTTTTAAAATTTCCGCCATGTCCGTCGCTATGAGATCGGCTCGGCTTGTACACGGCAACTCCGTGATCCGCCCTGGTTTAGTCGGTACGTGATTTTTGCCCCTTCAAATATGGGTTGTAGTTCATATGAGCGACCGATTTTGTGATCGGGGATAGAACACAATGACTGATAAGCAATTTCTAATCAGCCCGACCGCGCTTGGCGGGTGCACTTGGTGCGGCTTCGGCCGCCAACCTCCGGCTGAACGGGAGAGGCCTCCCCTCGCACGTCCAGGCCCTTGCTATCCTGGTTTCGCCCCAGCGCGGATATGCCACGGAGCACTCGACTTCGACGTCTTCTGCGTCCGACCGATACCCGCCCCCGGGCTTCAACGCACAGCAGGCCCAGAAGCCGCTTTCCCCCGAAGCGTCGCAACAGAACCAACAGGTGGCCGGGAAGGCTGATCTGTCCGTTGCTTCCAAAGATGCACACAGCAAGGCCCACCCAGCCGAGTCGGGGGCCGTCAGAGTCGCTGCAGAGCAGGCGAACAAGAAGGTAGCGGAGGAGAAGAAAGAGCTGAAGAAATTGACGATGGGGCAAAAGATCAAGAAGGAGGTCCAGCATTACTGGGACGGGACCAAGCTGCTGGCCACCGAGGTTAGGATCAGCTCGCGACTGGCGTTGAAGATGGCAGGAGGATACGAGCTGAGCCGAAGGGAGCAGAGACAGGTATGTTTGACAATCCCTGGGTGTATTCGGACCAGCGGCTAACTTGATGATCAGCTCCAACGTACGACCAGAGATCTCGGTCGATTGGTCCCCTTTTCCATGTTCCTCATCATTCCTTTTGCGGAGCTGCTTCTCCCCGTCGCCTTGAAGATCTTCCCCAACCTCCTGCCCAGCACATACGAGGGCCAGAAAGCCCGTGAAAAGAAGGCCCTGAGCCTGAGCTCGACGCGCAAGGAAGTGTCTGGATTCTTGAAAGACACCCTGCGCGAGAGCGGCCTGCCCTTGACGGCCGCCACGGTCAAGAACGAAGAGTTCGCCGAATTCTTCAAGAAGATCCGCACCACCGGCGAGGCGCCCTCGACCGACGACGTGATCAAGGTCTGCAAGGTCTTCAAGGATGATCTGACCCTGGACAACCTGTCCCGGCCGCAGCTGGTTGCCATCTGCAAGTACATGAACCTGAACTCGTTCGGCACGGACGCCATGCTCCGGTACAACATCCGTCATCGGATGCGCCAGATCAAGCGCGACGACCGCGCCATCTTCTACGAGGGCGTGGAGTCGCTCTCGGTGCCCGAGCTGCAGATGGCCTCCGCGTCGCGTGGTATCCGCACGCACGGAGTGTCGCCCGCTCGCCTGCGCGAGGACCTTACCATGTGGCTTGACCTGCGTCTGAAGCAGGGCGTGCCGTCGACGCTCCTGGTGCTGAGCAACGCCTACGTCTACGCGCAGGGCGGCAAGGAGGCCGAGATGTCCTCCCAGATCGAGTCCCTGCAGGCGGTGCTGTCGAGTATCCCCGAGGAGCTGTTCCACGAGATCGAGCTCGAGGTGCACAACGCCGAGGGAGCCGCCACCAACAAGCAGCGTCTGGAGGTCATCAAGGAGCAGCAGGAGCTGATCGAGGAGGAGAACGAGCAGAACAGCGAGAACGAGGAGAAGGGCATGGCGGCGCCCAAGGACACGGAGGATATCGACGAGAAGGACGAGCACGAGGCCAAGTTCAGCCAGTCGGACGAGGCGAGCGAGGCTATCAAGGAGGGCGACAAAGTCGAGGAGCAGCCTGTCGATTCTGTCCCCAAGAGCAAGAAGGACAACTAGACCTCGCTCTCCCTTTCTCTCGCTCTCCCTCTTTCTTTGAACTCCCGCCCTCGCTCCGTCCGTCATGCAGATAGCCTGGCATGACTGATCCCCTTCTCACTCCTATCTTCTTCTCGTGTGTCATTCTTACCCGATAGACTTTTTCTTCCGTTAATGGAGTGGGGCTGGCTGGTTATCATTCCCAGTGTATTGTATTTTTTTTTTTTTTGTGATTTACTGATCTATAGATGGGGAATACCTGAAACAATACTGAATTTGAATTATTAACTGTGAACAAGCTTATAAGAGCGTTGTGATATGTAGTACTTTATTCTTCCAGTACAGTCATACCGTAGTACTAAACCAGTCATATACTCGATCATTTATCATAAGTATCAACATTGATGACCCCTCAACCTACGATTGGATACTCCTAGGTGAGTCCATCATCCGAAACTGTTGGAGAGGAGGTACGCCACACAACGCACCATGTGGAGACAGTCAATACTTCGTCGAATTACAATAACCCGTGTGGCAACATGGTACAGTTACAAACACAATGAAACAGAAACTCATCCATGGGTCAGGCCCTTCAGGATCAAGTCCATCAGATCTAATCCATCAACACATCTATCTCCACTTCTCTACAGATGCATACATAACATGTATAATGGAATGCCATTGTATAGAGCCTTACCAACAGCAATCACGTCGGTATAGACATTGCGCGTCGTCTTCTCTTTACTCAGTTAAGAACCTTACTACACTATTTAGCAGAAATCAGTCTATTAAAGTCCACCCATTCGTCACTCTCAAAAGCTGGGCACACGTAAAACCAATATATCAGATCAACGCGAGTGGACAACTGTCCACACAATCCCTACCCACCTCAGCAGATACTAAAAGAGCGATCGTAGCGGGCAATATGCGATATGACGTCACTGATCGCAGTCTCCATGTTGGCCAATATAATAAGGGATAGCTGTCCCCTGAGTCCACTCTCGTCTACACGTATTTAATCTCATGCCGATTTCATAGAATATTTACTGTTTATACTCATCGTCTGACCCACACATCAAACCCTCGAAGATACTTCAAGAGAGTGACTACCAGAGAGAAAAATAGCCGGTATGAAGCTTTCCCATGGATAAAGACCCCACCAGACCAGACCAGAAGTAACTCACTGTCCATCCATCCACAGCTTTCAACCCAGATCTAAACCATTACAAAAATCTTACTATACACACGTCCCTCGAAGAAAGGAAAATGTCCGACAACGTCTCCGGCGCCGCCAAAACAGTCACCTCCACCCTGGGCAACGCCTTCGGCGGCGTCTCTCGCACCGTCGGGGGCGTCACGGGCGCAGCGGGCCGTGGCATCGGCGACACCATCAACAGCACGACGGGCAGTATGGGCAAGCCGGTGGGTAATGCCGTGGGGAGTTTGGGGAGCGGGGTGGAGGATGGGGCGAGCAGGGTCGCGGGGGGGATTGAGAATGCGGGGAAGTGGAAATAATTTTTATTTTCCTCATTTTGGATTCAATGTCATATGTTGTAAATAGTCTTATTTTTATTCACTACTTGTTTATTGAGCATGGTGTGGGTGTCGATTGATAGTAGGATGAAGGTGGACTGTCCGGTAGATGTATTCTTGTTGATCCAGAGGATAACATGCGGAACTGTTCTGAGATTAGTTCACACACTACTTACCGATAAGCCACAAACCTCAATCACTATCTAGAGAGACCGAGTTTATAGCAACCGTTTGATAGATTAAATCAAGAAGACAAAGTGAAGTCAAACAGTGAAGTAAACAAAGTGTAACACGCTGAGTCATCACTCCGCATCCAACCTCGGCAATCAGGCCAACATCGGACCGCGATCAATCATCAACGCGGTCTTGAACAGACCAGGAACAGACTCCCACTAGTCGACGCCAATATCTACCCTCGAATCCCAGTTCCAGGCATGCGGAGTCTTCCATTTCTCCGCTTTCTTCGACTCTCCCGACCCTTCACCACCAACACCATGCCTCGTCTGAACCCTGCCTCCGAGGTGAGTGACTATTAGTAGTTCCTCGGCCCCTAGTATACAGCGCATATCTAACAGCGATACAGGCGGCCATTGAGCGTCTCCGCACATTTCGGCCCCCGCCCACCAGCTACGATCTGGTACCGCTGTCTCGTCGCGCAGCGGTCCTGCTCCTGCTGTATGCTGACCCGCAAGGCGACCTGCGCGTTGTATTGACCATTCGGGCCAAGACGTTGAGTTCATGTATGCCACCACTACATTACATAAATTCAGAATTCCATCCATCTATCAAGACGTCCCCCCAAAACACACACATACACCTATAAGTATAAGATATTAACCAATCCAGACGCCGGCCAAGCAGCCCTCCCCGGCGGCCGCGCCGACAGCCTCACGGAAACACCCTTCCAAACAGCCCGCCGCGAAGCCCACGAGGAGATCGGCCTCCCCGACAACGACGCTCTCCTCCCGCGGCCTTTCCGCGTCGAGCACATATGCGAGATTCCGTCCAGTCTCGCTCGCACGGAGCTCGTCGTGCGCCCCTGTGTGGCGCTACTGCATGCTGTTGACCCTGTCACGGGCGAGACTACTGACCCTGAGGAGACGCTCATCCCGCGGCTGGATGCGCGCGAAGTTGCTGCTGTGTTTACGGCGCCTTTTGCGCAGTTCTTGCGCGCGACGGACGATCCACGCTGGGGGAGTGACAATCCTACTGAGTGGTATCAAGGGGCGTGGACGGAGTGGCATCGGGAGAATTGGCGAAGTATGTTTTCCCTTTTTTTTTTCTTCTATCTTGTCTCTCTACTTCCTATGGGACTCAGGTATACAAGTAAACCGAGACTAACACGAGCAGTGCACCAATTCTTCGTCCCCATCGACCCCAAAACAGTCGTCAAGCCGCGCTCCTCCAACCAAGCACAGCAAGAAGCAGCCTCCGCACTCGAGGAGAAAGAGCGCTCGGGAGCCGTCACGCGGTACCGAGTTTTCGGGATGACGGCGCGCATCTTGGTGGACGTGGCGCGGCTGGCGTACGCACGGGAGCCCGAATTCGAGCACAACAGCCACTTCGGGGACGAGCGGCTGATTGCGCAGCTGCGGGAGATGGGGCGGCTGAGTCCGGCTCGGAAACGGGGAGATGAGCTGACGAGGGAGGATTTGGAGATGGCGAGTCAGGTGGGGATGAGGAGTGAGAAGTCGAAGCTGAGTTAGATGACCGGTTCTACTGATGAGGTTTTGGTAGTATATGGTTTGGTAGATACCCTTGATGATCATGATGCTTGTGAAGTAATTCAAGCTTTCTTAATATACTAGTATATATCCGGTAGTGTTGTAATATCAAGCCTTGACAGTAGGAACAGCGTCCACAGCATCCGTGGGAGAAAACGGCGCCGCAAACCCATACTGCTTCCACCCTTGGGCGTAATCCACCTCGGCATCTCTCTCTACACGAGTCAGTCTTATAAAATATCAAGATATCCAGAAAGAAAGGTAGAAACCCACCATGATCAGGCGGAAACGCCCTCCTCCGATGCTCATAATACCTCCTCCTCAGCCCCTCCCCCTTCCCCTCCCCCTCTCCCTCTCCCCTCCCCACGAAAGTAACATAAACACTACTCCTCCCCGCCACTGACTCATTTCTCTTAGATCGATGCGCCAACATACTCCCAAAAAACAACACATCACCGCGACAAAGCTCCACAGGAACCCACTCGTGCGCGTCCTCCCAGCCCCGCGCGATGCGGCCGCCCTGCTCGAAAGCTATTTCCATCCGGTGCGATCCCGGCACGATCTCCAGACAGCCATTGGCAACGGTGGCGTCGTCGACGGCGATGTTGGCGGTCAGGTGTGCGAGGGGGGCGATGTGGCTGTAGGCGTGGTAGTCGACGTGGGCGTGGAAGCCGTTGCCGTTGGGGAGCTTGTAGTTGATTTTGTCTTTGAAGAGGGTTGTTTTCTTCTCGATTTTGCCATTAGCATTTATATATCTTTGGTAACTATAGAGAGAGAAAAGAATGAGGGAAGGCGTGTACTTCACCAGCCAATTGCCCAAGAACTCCCCCCAAACCATCCCCACAAACAAGATCCCGAAACGGCTCATGGAAGTCGACAAAGTTCTCAGTGCGCATCAGCTGGCGCGTCCCGTCAGATGTAACCTCAAAATAGGGCATCCATTTCCCCTTCTCAAGAGGCCAGCTGCGCACTTCGTTTGTCCATTGTTGGAGCTGGGCTGGGCTGACGAGGTTGTGTTCTGCGGCGGTTAGTTTGAGGTAGCCGTTTTCGTGGAAGAAGGCGAGTTGGGCGGGGGTGAGGGTGGGCATTTCTTCTTTTCTTTCTTGATTGCGTGTGCTGGGTAGTGGGTAAGGGTTTGGTGGTGGTGTGGTGGTGAAGGCTGATGGTTGGGTAGGTCCTATATACTTAGGGCTTGTGACGTGTTGGGTCGGGCTTCGCACCGGTGGGCGTCTTATATTAAACTATGATTGTTCGCACTCGCATAGGGTACCCTCTACTGCATTTTTTTTGCGGTATTTTAGACTCGTTCTAGACTCTGCATAAGGCAAAGCAACAAGCGAATAAAAAAAGAGAAAGAAAAAAAATGATAGACACCAACCCCCGCGAAACCATCACCCAACTCTTTTCCTTCCTCCGCGCCCAAGGAAACACAGATTACCTCGGCGAGCGCGTCTCCCAGCTCCAACACTCACTACAATGCGCCCACCTCGCCACACAATCTCCGCAGTACGGATCCGACCCGGAGGTCATCCTGGGCGCACTACTCCACGACGTCGGGCGCTTCATCCCCTCTGCAAAAGATATGCCAGCCATGATCGCCCCAGATGGTGCGTACATCGGGCAAGCAAGTCATGAGGTCCTCGGTGAGCGATACCTGCGACAGCTGGGATTCGGCGAGAAAGTGTGCCAGCTGGTAGGGTCGCATGTGGTGGCGAAGCGGATATTAACGGCCACGGAGAAGGGGTACTATGATGGGTTGAGCGAGACGAGTAAACGCACGTTGGAGTTCCAGGGGGGTGTCTTTTCGGAGGAACAGGTTTGTGAGGCGAGGAGGGATCCGTGGTTGGGAGAGAAGTTGGACGTGAGGAGGTGGGATGATCGCGCGAAGGATCCTGAGATGGAGGTTCCTGGTTTGGAGGAGTATGTGGAGTTGGCTGTGAGGTGTCTTGATGGTATGTTTGGTTTTTATATGTGATTACGGTTTGTTGTTTGCTCTAGGAGTGTGTGCTGATTGTGTAGAATCGAGGGCATGTGTCGTTGTGGTCTCACGCCGGTATCCACTCCCTGAGAAGCCAGTCTTGATTGTCTCGGTCTCAGAAGGTCTTTTGAATCAGTGTCTTCACCATATGCTGGAGGAAATCAAGTGCCATGACTGGATTATGGAAGGCTTTCCCCGGGTGGAGAATGGGGATAGACCGGCTGTGCAACGGGAGGCGCTTGAACAGCTGGCACGACGAGGAGTGAGGGTGGTTGACCTTGCCGCTGGTGGCCAGGACTATTCCAAGAATAATACATGTCTACCCCCTGACTCAAACGTAGTCGACATCTACAATGAGCTGGAGGGACTGCCCCCCACAGACCCGACTGGGCGTGCTCAGGTCGTGGTACGGCGAGGCCTTGCCCTGCTACAGCAACGGAAAGCCGACTTCGTTTACCTCTCTCTGCCAACCAGCCTGAAAGATGGCCCATTTGGTGATCTTCTAGAGGAGCTCAAAGATGGACTAGTCGGCCTAGATGCGATCATCGCGATCACGGCAGAAAAGGCCCCAGGTGGCGGAGACAGCACCGGGCGGACAGTATTTGACGCGGTCTTTGACCGAGCCAAGAAAACTACCAAATCTTCTTCTGTTGATCTACCATAGCCAATTGTACTTTTAAAATGGGTTGTGGGGTTCTGCATCTAGCGGCCACGGGTCAATCTCAGGAAACGGAGTCTGCAGGTTAAACATGTCAAAGTCACTCATATCCTCCACCCATCCGACGTCCGCGTGGAACATCTCCAAGGGTGCCACGGCCTGGGGCGATGGTTGAATCGCCGGAGTGGTGTCACGGCCTTCGTCGGAGAACTTGCTGCGTAGTTTGTGCACGCCACACCCAATTTTCACCAGCAGGTGCTGCCGGTGCATCTCGCTGGTAGTCTCTTGTAACATGACAATAGTACGGTCTACCAGTGACAGAATCTTATTTCTGTCGAGCGTGACGGCGTCGGCGTATTTCGTCGCCACTTTCAACAGGAACACCACAGCAAACGCAATCATGGTGTCGAAGCAAAGCGGCAGCCCGTTCAGCAGCGACTGCAGCTCCGTGTCGGACGTAATAACCCCCAAGATAGAAGCCGCGCAGAGGACGGCCGTGTTGGCGATTTCTTCCATTTCCAGAGACGGGAAGCTTTTCGGGTCCGGACACGCCTGGGCGCCCCGGAAGGCATGCGAACAGAGATACAGCTTGGCAAAGTGGAAGTGCAAACCGACGCCTTTGGCCGGGTAGTTGCCCACCTTCTCGTTGGGTCCAAACCGATCACTCCAGTCCGCATACCACGTATCCAAGGCGATGGAGAACCGGCGCAGCTGGGCGAGTTTGCCAGGCGGAACGGGCGTATCCACGTCTACCCCGAAGGCGTCGAACACGGCGGCCGAGATCGACCAGATCTTGACTTGGGTCACTAGTCTGACGTCGTCTTCGGTGGCGTGGTCCGTCTCCAGAAACTGCATGGCCGCTTTGATGCTGTCGCAGTCTCTTGACATGGGTGGCCGGCCGTATAGAACGGAGCAGTGGTGGTCGCAAACATATACTAGGTAGTATAGACGAGTCTGCACGTACGCAAAGCGATCTCCTTTCAGGGCTTGATAGATCCCGTGGTTGAGCTTGATCTCCAACGCGATTCGGACCGCTGTACATACTGTTAGCATCGATCCTGGTCCCTACAGCAGGGAGATCTACCCGTTCCTGCCAGTCCCCACGACAGCTCGTGAAGCCAAAACGCGCCGATACAGAGTCCACGGACGTCATCCACATTGTGCTCTCGGGAAAATGTCGTGGTCGCCACGAGCTGTTTCAACTCGTTGTAGCACCTCTCAAAGAGGTGACCTAGCGATTGCGAATGGAGAGCCGCGACGGTGCAGATCACCGCCGTCAGAAGAGGCGAGCTTGACACTACGGTATCCAAGCATTGGTGATCCCCGAGTATGCGGTAGAGAAGATGATCCAAGCGCTCATGGTACCGTTGGAACAGACCCTCTGCCTCCTGCGGGGAGAGGATGCCACGCGAGATGAGGGTCGGTCGGACAGGCGTTCGTGCCTCCCGGGGACTAGGATTGCTCATCTCGGAGATACAGGACGCCGGGATGGACGCCGGTTCACACTTGGGGTCGAGCTCCCATGTATGTTCTTCGCTCGCTTTCGGCCCATACTGAGGTGTCTCTGAAGGCTCCGCCTGCGTTCCCCAACAATCCCCAGACGGTCCCGTCGGCTGAGCACCGGGTGTCTGCAGTCGACTTGTCAACTGTTCCGTAATGCCCTCCAACCTCCGTATCTTCTCTGCAACGCCATGCTTCCACCTGTCGCCTCTTAGCCCCCGTGCGCTTGCCCATCGATACTGAGACATACGTAACGTCATCCTCCAAGAGCATCTGTAGGCTCCTGTTCACGGTGCAAGGCAAACCTCTCTTCCTGCACCGCGTGCAGGGCGGTCGGCCGTCCGGCTGCATGTGGCACTTGATCTATCCTTTTGAGGATCCGCCAGTCAATGTAAGGGGAGGCACATCTGACCTTCTGTTTCCGACATGCGACACAGGCTGTAATCTTCCTCGTAATCTCTGGGGGCTTTCGATCCCCGAATGACTCCCGCAAGGCTGAGACATCGGGCGGCGACGGGACTAGTGATTCTTCCATTCTCCTAGCAGGCGACTTTTGGTTATGACTGGATCTTTTCGAAACACGCATCAGTCGTTACATGCAGGGTGTATACCCGAGACAGAATGCAAGTGAAACCATCATGCTGTGCATTTCATCGTCAGCTGGAAGCTCCGACGCGATGCGGGGTGTGGCCGGAGGATTGCGATAACGACGAATCGGGAGGAAATGATTGGACCGCCATCGCGACGATCGTGAGAACCATCCAGCTAGTTGTTATCATTAGCAGTAGGAGTGGGGTAATTGCATATTGTCGCCCGGCGGACATAGAGGGGTTAAAACCGAGAAGAGAGAGGCAACAAACGGGGTTCGCGCCGAGAGGTTTGCAGACCCCGAATGCGCCACACGTGGTCAACGGATGTTTTGGTCTCTTCACCTTTACCCACCAAGTAAGGGGAATATACGACTAACTTCAACTAACTCTCGCTACATGAGAGCCACACTCCCCAAGCCAGCGCCTGGTCCCACCAACAACTTCTTCGATACGAGAAAGCCCCTTACCGAGGACGGAACAGGATGTTGGTCGTTTTGCGTGGCCCCCGTGGCCCCCGTGGACGCCATGCGGTATACAGCATGGCATGGATACCAACCTCGTCTTTATGCTCTTTTCCATGAAATGGATTTCATCACGTCATGTTGCCTTCCATTGTAACCAGGGGGCAGATGCTCCAGCTGTTTATGGCCTAGTCGAAGTTTATAATCCTAGACGCCTCGATATGGTTCTTTGACGACATCTGCCAACGCCGACAGATAGTCAGTTCGTGTGCAACCAGACCCCAAGCGAGCTCCGACCCGAGTATAGACGCCTCCAATAGGTACGCCTCCAATGAGAAGAGAAAGAACCGGCAACGACATTGATGGAACTCGTGGATATTTGACAAATAGCGATATGCCAAGATCTTGTGAGGGAGGCCCACCATCTGGTTTCCATTGTTCGCCATACGCGAGCCAACCAACTACCCAAAACAGGGAAATGGACGAAAGTTTAGCGATATTACACTTGACCGAACAAAGCCGAACCATTGCGTCTTATAGGGGATTTTCCGGATAATCGTCTAGACCAGATGCGTGTTCGAACACAGCCGTTGGGGACAGCCTGGTTCGGAGATATGCAGCAGGTCTCTTGGGCTCATGCAGTCCACGGAGTTGGTGAAACACATAGAGTACCCACAGCTTCAGCAACTAGATGCAACAGATGGTTCGGTTCAGCCTGTGAAAGCTAGTATCTCCGAGGAGTACTTGACCAGAAGATTGAGGCGAATGTCGGAGCGAAGATCTCCATATGGATTCCACCGCTTTCACGTTTTCACATAACACAAATAGCCGATTATATAGTATATACTAGGTAGTGCATTTACTAAAGATGTTCTTCCCAAAACTCCATGTCATTTTCAAGCTGTAGTTCAAATTTTCCAGTTAACTCTAAGGGTTCAACCTGATAAACAGCGCCTAGTAGTACTGATTCTAGCGACTTGCTGTTAGTTCTATAAATATTAGATTAATATACTGCCATCAGTTAGATATTATGAGTATGATAAATAGCCATTATCAAGTCTGAAAAACAGTCGAGTCACCAAAGGAGTCTCTTACGCGCTCTGGATAGCTTCAGTCTAAGCATTACCTTCAATCTGTGGAATTGTGAGACATCCAATCGGCCAACACCAGCTGGCTTGCACCGTTTCTCCCACTTAAACCACACCGATCTTTTGACTGTTTTAATCGCTCCTCCCACACAATCTAAGTATTGTTCTAGCAAGCAGCTGGCACACTTCTTCTTATACTACTCTTCAAACCAAGTCCCAACCCCAGTCAATCAAGTCGTCTAAACATGGAGATATCGCCCATCGCGAGCCATGCCCCCCCAGCTGAAATAACCCCACAACGCCGCCACCTTGATCATAATTATCATCTTCAATAATTATTCGTGCTCCACATATCCCTTCCTCAGTCTGTGTCGCTCCTGATCCGATATACTCAAATATATTTTCAGTCCGAAATTCTGGAACCGGTAGACGCTGCGCTCTTCGCAACCTAACACCGTCTGTTCTCAGATATACTAACCCACTAGCCATCCCGTCTAGGGTACACCAGACGTTGTCCGAGACCTCTGTAGACCGGAGCAGTCGTTTTGGTTCGTGCGTCTGGAAGTACGTGTCTTGAAGGGCATCTGAAGGCTTGATCAATCGCTCTCTCGTGTGTAGGATTGTTTCCCAGAATGACGGAGGACTGCGATGGTACACTGCGATGCGACCAGCAACTTTACCTGGCAGTGATCTGTTACTGTACTCCCTTTCATCGCGTCGAAGTTCGATAATTAATATCGGGGGAATAAAGTTTACGGCCTCAGTGTTCATTATCTGGCCAAGACTTTCCCACACCACTCGGCACTGCTCCTTAGTGGGCCGTTGCCATTTCGGCCAATGGAAGTCTGTCGGTATGGGATCAGCCATCCGAGGATTGCTGTAATTCGTATTGGTGACGGGAGGTGTGTATTCAGAGCCAACAGGAATAAAAATGGCAGCAACACACGCGACAGTCAGGGGCACTGATGATGGTCGTGTGGCTGTCTCGATAATAATTCGCGGCCAGAAGAAACTGACTGACACGGCTCTAAAGGTTTCGAAAATCCACTGGCTCTCGTGGGCAGCAGGAAGCCGGAAAGTGCTTGATTCGCAGTCCCGGAGGCTGAACGGTGCTATGTCGGCGTAGTGCCTAGATCCATAGCCAAAATTACACGCATCAGGCCGTGGCATTTTGATGGAGTTGTTCTGCAGATAGAATAAGAAGAAATATGGTTAGTGAACAACAGGCTGGAGAGTATCTCCTCGCGGTTAAGGTGGTCTTTAGTTGAAGAGTGAGAGAACGGAGAGGAGTGTGAATAATAGAGTGACGAGAAAAATGTAAACGCAATATCACGTGTTATATACTTCGAGGAAAAGGCTCTTTAATACACATCATTGCCATTATCAAGATCATCTGCACGTCAGATCAAGGTTAGATCTGGATCATCTAAGCATCTACTGCCACTACGAAGCTATACTGGATCACATACTTTCAAGTTTAGTCAAGGTATGGACAAAAAAATATGAACAACACCCATACAGTATGTACAACCGCTCCTATCCTTATTAGATGTGCAAGTTACTAGAACTAGAACAGTAATCAGCATTTGGACATTGTAGATGGTTATGTAGTAGTATGCATAATCAAGTTTCATGGGTCCTGTGTCTAACAATACTTCTCCCACGCAAGACCTTTCATATACCCATCAGATCTAGCATAATATGGATGTTAGGATATAGCCAGAACAAATGGATCTGGAGATATACCATAGAAGAAATACAATCGAAACTGTCTGAATCCAAGAAGGGGACTGTGAATGAAAGCAAGAAACGACTGGAGAGGACGAGTTCTCTTGTCGAACAAAGGGTCTACCTCGTTTGCCTCTATTGAGGAATCCATTAAACACATTTAACATGTCATGCAACTATGTCCAGACCATTGAAAGGTATAGATTAGCAAACAAACCAACAAGCTTATCTTCAACCTTAGTAAGAACCTGCCTGTCATAGAAATACTATTTTAAACCCACCAAGCAAGGCACCTCAGCAATGCAACAACGTGGAAAGCAAGAAACAAACATCTCAAGTCGGATCCAAGGCAACGCACAACCAAGACTCACCCACAGCCACCCATATGCCGGTTCACATCATATCATATCATCCATTGCGAATATCGCCCCTTCCATCTAACCGAATCGGAAGATTCTAACCGCTCCAACCAACACTGACGCATCCATCCGACTGGGCATCCCCTTGTCCCCTTTTCGGAGAATTGCTTATTTACTTCAAGGGGCGAGATGATGCGAGTACGAGTGTGAGTATATGCCGTACTGGATCATTCATCATCACCTCGGACGCCGTCCCCCGCCCCATCTGCACTGCCCTCCTCGTCTGCTCCCCCCTTCCGGAAAATGTTTGCTGGGGTGGGTTCCAGGGCGCAGGGCCCCTTTAAATTCGGCATGATGACGGCATGACATAGATAGGGCTGCCGCTTACATAGGTCCCTTGGTTTGGATGGAGAGGGGAGGGATGGAGGACAGGGAAGTAGGGAAGACTATCGAGCGGCCATTACGCTCGCCTATCAATCAAGGGGTGTCGCACGGTGGAGAATAGTCAGAACGAGGTGCACTGTACTGCGCCGCTTGCTGCGGGATCCGACGAGAGGAGGGGGCAAATTCAGACATAGGGAGCTCGGTTATCTGGCAGGGGAGAGACAGGCAGACGCACAGACCGACCGATGGGATTTGAAACTTGACGCCCATCGCTAAGCCATGATAGGTGAGGCTACATTGTGTGACCATGTTAATCTCCAAGCGACCGACGCGGTCGAGCTGGTTAGTTAGTGTTGGGTCTGAGGCACTGTACACTCCGTACTACACTACATAATACTGGGAGACTATTCACGGGTAGTAGATATCCTTGCATGAGGGGGAAGCGCACTGCGTCACACGACTCGTCAACTTCGGGACTGTCCAGTGTCATGCCGGTCAGTCGACAGGAGACTGTCTAATGTCTAGAGACAGGAGTCATGGGTTGAAGAAAAGCTCACGTCGCATGAGAGATTAGGTTACCAGGTGGGGTGGAAGGGACAAGATCAACGCTCTGGATCGACAAGACCCTTGACAACATGGGTAAGAAGGAAGCGATATCACAGTACGGTGAGTCTGATTGGAATGGCGGTAACCCATTCCATCTCCATCCATCGTCCTAATTAACTCGATATGAGCCCTTCCCGACCGAAAAGGGGGACAAGGCAACCTAAGCTCCAAACGGATGGTTCACCGCTAGAGTTGGCGATGTGATATATCATTCCTCATGGGAGGGGGAATTAGTTGGGTAGCTTGACTAGCTTGGACCCGAGGAACCGGGGAAAATGAAGCGAGACCACGGAGGAGTTGATGGATCGGGACCAAGACTCAATTCGTTCGGTGATTTGGGGAAGAGCTTGTTAGGGACGGAGAAGTAGGAGTCATGAGAATGCACCTCGTATCATCCTGTTCTCTCTGGTTTGGTGGAGTCTGGATGAACAGCTGGTCTCTCTAAACCCAGTTAGGGTTAGAGGAAGGATTCAGCTGTACAACATCAACCAGCGCAATCATCGTGGTTTATTGGTTCTTGTGGACAATTTGATCTCCACTTGATCAGCCCCAAGATTATTATGGTTATCCTGATTGACTCTGGTATCCATCTAGTGAGTTATTGACGTGGTGGATGGCTAGACCCGGCAGTTGCCGGGATCCACTGCTTCGATTGATCGATCGTTCCATGCCTCAACCTGGAGTCCGATGGAATGCGACTCTTGATACTGATGAGATGCGACTGCAATGCTGATACGGATGTTGATGTTGATGCTGGCATCATCCCTCTGCGGTTTCAGGGCCGAATTGTGATTGTCCCCTCCCAGACCTAGGCTCAATCTAGGTTCAACCATCCCTTGCATGGATGTGTCACTCCCTCCCCTCCCCTCCATGAGGCTATTCCACCCTCCCTGGTCCATGATCGCTGCTCTCGCCGATCCGTTCTCCCTTCTCTGGTTTAGTGTCGGAGAGGGATGGGTGGGATTCATACACTAAATCAATATTATTAAAAATTCCAACCCAAAAAGGGTCAGGCATGTCCAACTGTCCTGCGCCTCCTTCTCCTCCTCCTGGGTCCGAGAGACTCTCTCGGCGTCCTGTTATGCACTGGACCGCATCCACCCCCATCACATCCCTTCATATCACATCACGACCTTGCTGTCTTCGTGGCTCTTTTTTCCTTTTTCTTTTTTATTCTTTAATTATAAGCAATTATTTTATCTTATTTTATTTCTTATATTAGTGTTTATTCTTTTTTATTCTATTCTGTTTACTCCTCCAGAGTAGATAGGATGCCTGTCCCCTCCCCTACCCTTCGATCTCAACCCTGGTCTCTTCTTTCTCTCGCTCGGGTCCCACTGCATTCCTCGTCCTTCGTTTCGCTTCCTTGATCTCGATTACCCTTCTTTTCCTTCGATCCACCTCGTGGGAATGGACGGTGGCACCTGGTTTTCTTTGTTCTCCTCGATCCTGAAACGTTGACGTGGGTTACGGGTTACAGCCATTTCCTTCTGCAGGGCCGGATTAGGGCTCGCGCGGGCTTCCAGTCGACCCAGGAGTCGGGTCCCAATCGTATTGGATCGCTTGTTTTGGTTTGAGAATCGGACCAAAAAAAGAATTCCAAGCAGAAGAAAGAAAAGAAAGAAAGAAAGAAAGAAAGGGAACGAAAAGGGAAAAAGAAACGGGTCTGATGATCCCATCGGCTGCAGTCAAAGAAACCCATCCCTACCTGATCCAAGGGTAGAGAGGATCAAGAACAAGAGGGGGGGAAGTCAAAAAAAAAAAAGGAAAAAAGGAAAAAAGAAACGACGAATAACTCGTGTATTCGACTTTCTTTGTCTTCGCCCCAGATTCAGTGATAATTCCCAAACCTCCCAAGGCGACATCCTAATTATATTCCAGTTTCTCCCCGGGCTGTGTGGAAAGTCAGTCGGTCGATTGTCCAACCCATTCGTGTCATTTCCTCCTTTCTTTTTGCAAATTCCCTTCCATTTTTTCTTTTTCATTGACTTGTTTTATTTGGATTATTATTACTTGGGATATTTTCTTTTCTTCTTTTAATCCCCCCCTCCCATTGGGGGAACGAAGAGGGAAAAGTTCCAGTCGAGGAGATCACGCAGTAATTGCAGGACGGTCCTGGATCCGATAGACGACACAGCATCCTGGACGGCCTGCATGATGCCCTCCCCATCCTTCTTTAAATCACCTCGACAGGCGCCGCCCATGAGGCCCTCTCGATCCCTCGAGGGTCTCGAGCGTGTCATTCCCCCACAATTCTCTGACCCCCCGGGGCGATCGACCGTCCACCTCGACAAACCGCTACCCGACTTACCTATCAAACCGTTACCAGAAACTCCTTCGATGGAGGGATCGACCGCCTGGAGTGAGGACAGTAGCCTCGTCGACAGTCTGGAGTCCCACCGACACTCTGGGGATTCCACCGAGAGTTACCCCGTCTTCGTCCGTCCTGGTTCCGCGGATCTGTCCGAGCTGGTCGACCATGCGGCGGCGCCGGATTCCTCGCTGGATCGTGCCTCGTCGTCCGGCCTCGAGGAGTACGTGAAACACCCGCCGCTGTCGAACAGCAATCCGTATCTGTCGGACGAGGACTACGAACCAGAACGACCCATACCTCTGTGGAACCCGACGCCTACGGGTCCCAACCATTATTTCCGCGAGAAGAAGTGGGACTTCTTCCCTGAGCTGGCTACCCCGTCGGCCCTCAACACCCGGGCGCCCCCATTCCCCACGAAACCACAGAAGAGCAGCAGTCGTCTGAATCTCGCCGTCTTCGATTTCAAGAGAAACCATCGATGGCAACCCTCCGACCGCGGGGGGCTAAGCCTAGCCCACGACGTGCGGGATTCAATCCGCTCCTACGTCCAGCGACGACTATCCCGACATTCAGTCGACAAGGAAAAGGCCAAGCGCGAACAGCGACCCGCCACCGCGTCCGACGACACCCCCGACTACCTCGATGCACAACCCGCACGGCAGCGGGTGCCGTCAAGTCAGTATTCCGACCACGAAAGCACCATCGCAGACATGAAGTCCGCAGGCATTCAGACGAAGCGGCTATCCGTAACCAGTGCCACGAGCACCGCCGCATCCAGCAAACCGCCCCTCACACTCCTCGCCTCCTCCCGGAGGAAGAAGCAACTGGCCGTGCCCCTGTCCGCGTACCAGAAGTACGGACCCGCCATCTGGGAGAAACCCAGCCGCGAGAAGCGCATCAGCTATCGCCAGAACCACCGCGTGCGGTTCCCGCGCTATCGACGAAACACTACCACGCCGCGGACCCGGCCGGGGTCGGCGGTGGCTACCCCAACCCCCTTGCCGTCGCCCACACACTCGCAGCTGCAGCGGAAGACGACCCGCGAACGCGTACGCGCCCTGCAGAGTGGCACCAGCCACGTGCTGGTTGCCCTCGACGGCGCCCGGAAGCGGATCATCGGGGCAAGGGTCGAGCGCAAGCATAGCCAGTTGAAGTCGCAGATTCGACTGGTTGGGCCGGTCAATCCGTATCAGAATCTTCGGCAGGCGGATACGTGGATCTAACGTGAAACGGGGGGCCGGGTGGGTGATGGGAGGGCATGGTTGTCTGTTTTTTCTTGCTTCGACCTCGAGTCTACTATATGGGCATGATACGTTTATTGTCGTTGCATTCTTCTTTCTGCTCTTTAGCTTTGTGTTCTTTGGATGCTTTTTTCTTCCCTTCCATTGTTATATTGATATCCACTTGCTTTTTCTCATCTCTTGATTGAAGACTGCTACGCTGGGCGTTGGGGACATGGTTGGAGCAGGACTACCCTTGTTGAATTCGTTATATGACCCTTGATTTTCATTCTCTTTTCCAGACTGTAATCAATCATTCTCATCAGTATATGAATAGATGCAATTAGGGCTTGGCTGTCTTGGCCAAATGATCAACATTCCTCTTCCCCGCTGGATCATTACGTATGCCAATAATGTGTCACTCGTGCCTGTTTTCGGTCTTTCCCTCCTTGTCTTGTCTCAACCATCTCCTCTTCTCCTCTTTTCTCCTCATTCCCCTCTTTCTCCTCTTTTCCCTCTCCTCTTTCTTCTTTCTTATCTTCAACCACCAACTTTCTCCCCTCCCACATCCTAGTGTGGGTTGATCAATCCATTTCCACGCTATCTGATCTTCCCCCCACAATGGGTGGAGACGCGGTCCGACAAGTGCCCAGCTCCCTTCCCCGGAGTCCCGCCGGGCCCGTAGGTCAGCGGATCAAGGGCATCTACACCGACCGTCTCCGACAGTTTACTGCAGGTGGTCAATACCAGTCCCAGAATCTTGTCTCGTACGTTGGCCCACATTACTTCTGCTCTCGGTCGCCGAATTGATTGTTTATTGACCACCTTTTCAGAAAACTCCACGACGCAACCGCCTCAGATGAAGACCATGTCAAGCTCTCCGTCTACTCGGTTCCGGACCTGCAGCGTCCTTCATTCAAGGAAGCCACGTCCCACGAGTTTAAACCGACTCGTATCGGCGCCTCATTCGGCCCCAGTTGGTCCACCCACTGGTTCCGCATCCGGCTGACCGTCCCGGAGCACATGCGTCAGAAGGAACGGCTGGAGTTCCATTGGGACGCTAACAACGAGGGCCTCGTGTGGACCGAAGACGGCCATCCGCTGCAGGGTCTGACGGGTGGCGGCGAACGAGTTGAGTGGATCATCCCCGACGCCTGGCGCGACGGCAAGGAGCATGTCTTCTACATCGAAATGGCGTGCAACAGCATGTTTGGCAATGCGCCGGGCGGGGACTCCATCCAGCCGCCAAACCCGGATAAGTACTTCACGCTGCATACGGCGCGCATCACGGCAGTGAACCTCGAGGCGCGGGCGCTGTTCTATGACTTTTGGATCATCGGGGGTATGTACCTCCTGTGGGTGGAGAGTGTTAATTCTGGGAGACTGACGATGGATAGATGCGGCCCGAGAGTTCCCTGGAGATTCCTGGGAGTCGCACGAAGCTAATGTGGTCGCCAATTCCATCATGGACGCGTTCATTGCAGGTGGTGGGAGCCAGGAGTCGATCAAGGAGGGTCGCAAAATTGCCCAGAAGTATCTAGGTAACCGTGTTGACTCTTCGGACGTCTACAAGACCCAGAATGAGTCGATCATCTACGGCATCGGTCACTGTCACATTGATACGTGCTGGTTGTGGCCCTGGGCCGAAACGAAGCGCAAAGTGGCCCGGTCGTGGTCCAACCAGTGCGACCTCATGGATCGGTATCCGGAGCATCGCTTCACGTGCTCCCAGGCACAGCAGTTCAAGTGGCTCAAGCAGTATTATCCGAGCGTCTTTGATCGGGTGAAGGGATGGATCAAGAAGGGCCACTTCCAGCCGATCGGCGGTAGCTGGGTCGAGCACGACACCAACATGCCTAGCGGGGAGTCGCTGGTGAGGCAGTTCCTATACGGCCAGCGGTTCTTCGAGAGCCACTTCGGTGAGCGCTGCACGACGTTCTGGCTGCCAGATACTTTTGGCTATTCCACGCAGATCCCCCAGATCTCGCGCCTGGCGGGTATGACCCGATTCTTCACGCAGAAGCTGAGCTGGAACAACATCAACAATTTTCCCCATACCACGTTTCAGTGGGTCGCGCTCGACGGTAGCCAGGTGGTGTGCCATATGGCACCGTCGGAGACATATACGGCCGAGGCCAACTTTGGCGACGTCCGACGCAGCGTGACGCAGCACAAGTCGATGGACAACGATCGCACCTCGCTCCTGGTCTTCGGGAAGGGCGACGGCGGTGGGGGACCGACATTCGAACATCTGGAGAAGCTGCGTCGCTGCCGGGGTGTGAGTGATAAGACGGGCTTGCTACCACGCGTGACGATGGGCAACTCTGTAGATGACTTTTTCGCGCAGCTCGAGAAGAAAATCGCCAATGGCAAGCAGCTGGCCACCTGGTATGGGGAGCTGTACTTTGAACTGCACCGCGGGACCTACACCACGCAGGCCAACAACAAGCGGAACAACCGCAAAGCGGAATTCCTGCTGCGTGAGGTCGAGTACTTGGCCACTCTGGCGTCCATCACTCATCAGAAGTACAAGTATCCCAAGAAGGAGATCGATGACATGTGGGAGGGGGTGCTACTCTGCCAGTTCCATGACTGTCTTCCGGGGAGCTCTATCGAGATGTGCTACGATGACTCGGACGAGCTGTACGCACAGATCTTCGAGACCGGCCACAAGGCTCGCGAGGAAGCCCTCAAGGCACTCGGGTTCACCGAGCAAGGGTCCGGAAAGGATCTCGTGGCCATCAACACCCTCCCGTGGTCTCGGTCTGAAGTGGTCCAAATTCCCGAGGCCCTCGCGACCAATACGGGTCCGAAGTATACTCTGGTCAGCGGGGAGACCGGTGTCATGCGCTGTGGGCCGGCGGTCTCCACCACCAAACCCCCTGTCACGGTCTCGGAGATCAAGCCCGGGGTGTTCCGTCTGCAGAATGCGTCGCTCAGGGTCGACGTCCACAACGGCGTCATCACGTCACTGTTCGATCTCCAGGCCGAGCGCGAGGTGATCGCCGACGGCGGCCGGGCAGGCCAGCTGGTCATCTTCGACGACAAGCCGCTCTACTGGCAGGCATGGGATGTCGAGGTCTACCATCTCGAGTCACGCAAAGAGCTCAACTCTGGGCCGACCTCCATCTCGGACAAAGACGAGCACCGAGTCAGCGTTGTCACCGAAACCAAGATTAGCGACCAGAGCTGGGTCAAGACGACGATCAGTCTGGCGGCGGCGGTGCCCAACCAGCCGTCGTATGTGGAGTTCTCGAGCGAAGTCGAGTGGAAGGAGAACATGAAGTTCCTCAAGGTCGAGTTTCCCGTGGACATCACCAACACGGAGGCATCGTACGAAACGCAGTACGGGATTATTCGACGTCCCACGCACTACAACACGAGGTATGTCGTATCATCCAATTATAGACCCACATCAATCCATACCGAGATGTCATACTGACTTCACTAGCTGGGACATGGCCAAGTTCGAAGTATGCTGCCACAAGTGGGCCGACCTCTCCGAGAACGGCTACGGCGTGTCCGTCCTCAACGACTCCAAGTACGGCTTCGCGACCTGCGGCAATCTCATGCGTCTATCGCTGCTGCGCGCGCCCAAAGCCCCGGACGCACACGCCGACATGGGCCGCCACCACATCCGCTACGCGATCCTGCCGCACGAAGGCGCTCTGGACTCGCGTACCATCCGCGCCGGCTACAACTTCAACCACCCGCTCGTGCTGCGGGCCAGCAGCCCCAGCCGTGGACCCCCCACCCAACCCTTCCAGGCTGTATCGGTGAAAGGCGCGCCCTCGCTCATCCTTGACGCCATCAAGCGCGGCGAAGACGACGAAGACATCTCACGCGACACCCTGCCCAAGCGGCCCGGGAAGAGCATCATCCTGCGCGTATACGAGTCGCTGGGTGGGAAGAGCCGCGGCCGCATCTGCAGTCACTTCCCGGTCCGGGAAGCGTGGAAGTGTAATGTTCTCGAGGATAATGAGACGCAGCTGACGCTGCGGCGGGAGGCGGATGGTGAGTTTTGTGCGGATGTTGAACTGAGGGCTTATGAGGTTGCGACATATCGGTTGCAGTTGTAGTTTTACCATGAGCCTGACCTATCAAAGCCTGGGGAAGAACTACTGAAACCTACGGAGGCCTATCCGAGGAAGGCTCACTGAAGGTCTGACAGGAGGAAGCGAAGGTAACCCGAGTATGAATATTGTTTATGAAGTAAGGTACATGTATCACGGATATCATATTGTTAAAACAATCCCAACCAACCAGCGCCTAGCTCCTTTAGTATGACATAAAAAATTAGAAGATAAGGAAAGGAACCATCCCCAACCCAAAACACCAACCGTCCAAACGCACAACCAACTCCAGCCCTAAAGCCACAACAGCCATGCAAGCCATTCCGTTCTCCCTCACAAGAGTCCACAGCATGGGATGAAACGAAACGAACTTAGAAAAGAACAATCACTCCCGAGCATAACTAATCTTCAACCTCTTCGACGGGGGCTTCCCATCCTCTTCCTCATCAACATCATTATTGTTGCTATTCCCCGCCTTGCCGCGGTTCGCTCCGCCTCCTCCAGATGAGGAAGATTTCTTCTTATTAGCCTTGGACGGGCCGCGCACTTCGCCCGCGTCTTTGTCTTTGGTGGTGGCGCTGCTGCCGCTTGCTTTGGCGTTGCTGTTGCTGTTGCTGTTGACGGCGTTGGTGTTGGCGTTGTAGGCTGATGTGGGTGTTGCGGCGTGGGAGGGGGTCGTCTGGGCTGAGGAGGGGGGTGAGTCCTATACATTATTGATTAGCATCTTCGTTTCCTTCTTCATTTCTCCAGGATGATAAGGATGCGGAAGGAAGACAAACCCTCATAAACCCCGCCGAGCTCCTCGAAAACACCCGATCCGCATCCGTAACCTGCGCCTTTCGTCGCGCGACGCCCGTCCCCAGCGCCATGCCGCCGCTGCCGCCGCCCGCGCCGCCGCCGAGACTGCTGCCCGCGCCGCTGAGGCCGCCGCTGGAGGAGCCCTTGATGTAGTTGTCGAAGCCTTTGATGATGTTGCCGGCTGTTGTTTCTTCGAGGTAGGATTGTTCGAAGCGGAAGATTTGGTCTTCGAGTTGGGACTTTTCGTTTGTTAGTCTTGTATATATTTTTATCTATATATCTAGAGAGAGATAGAGATATGGATGGGAGAAGTCAAAAACATACCATGCTCTTATCCATCATGCGCTTCTTTTGAATTGTGTCGCGTAACTCGCGCCGGAGTTTCTCGTAGTAGGGAAGACCGCGGTTTGCGCTCCCTGACGCGGTCGTCGACCCCGTCCCCGGTCCTGAACTCCCGTTTACGCCTCCATTTGGGGCTGCGGATGCGCTGCCATTGGACTGCGCTGTATCTGTTTGGTTATTGTTGTTGTTGTTGTTGTTGTTGTTGTTGTTGGTGGTGGTGGTGGTGGTGGGCGCGGTATTTGTGGTAGAGGGAGGTGGAGGGTTGGTGGTGGATGTTGTTGCTGGTGCTGGTGCTGGTGCTGGTGCGCTTGAGGTTGGGGCTGATTCGGACATTTTTACCCCTTCTTCTTTCTGTTCCCTTTCCTCTTTCTAGAAGATCAACTATGGGTACGGTGGTATGGCATTTGTTGAGGGAGAGTCAGTCGTTGAAGCTCGCTGAGTCGGACGAGAGAGACAAGAGAGATCAATCTCCGGATCGGCGTGTTTGGCGTGTTTGCATCCTTACATATTAGGCCGACCGTTTAGTTCATTGATGGCATCATCTGTTTCCCCCTTCCGTCCTTTTATCTACTTCCAGTCTTTTATTCTATCTGTCTCTTTTATCATACTCATCTCTGGCTCGATAAAATGGACCACTCCCACCACATGGACATGGACATGGGCCACAACCACGGCGACATGGATATGGGCGGTGGGCAGTGCAACATGAACGTATGCTCACCCTCCCCTCCCCAAACACTCGCTTACGACTGGCTGATATAATGGGGGTAGATGCTCTTCACCTGGTCGTCGAAAGACCTCTGTATCATCTTCCGGCAGTGGCGCGTCACAGGCCCGTTCTCGCTCTTCGTCTCCCTGGTGGTTATCGTGCTGTTGACGGCGGGTTATGAGGGGGTGAGGAAGGTGACGAGACGGTATGAGGCGATGCATGGAAGGCGGTTGAGTGCTTTTACAGCTGTTACTGGTATGTTTATCCTATCCTAACTATTGAATTCTGTGTTGTTTGAATTTTGGTGGATTTGGTTTGTTTGTTGTTTTCTGTCTTCTGTGATGCGTGTCTATGTCTGTCTGTCTGTCTTCTGGCTCGATTGGCGCGGGCATTGACAACTCAAGGCAATGACCGTCAAGACATCGAGTCCGTCGACGATGCGACTGCGCCAGATTCCCATAACCATCATCCTCCTTCATCATCCAACCACGCCGGCTTACCCCTGCTTGTAGGCAGCGATACTCGGAGGGCCTTGGAGCACCGCGGCAAGATCGTCCTGGCGCTCTTGTATGCGGTGCAGGTGTTTTACAGCTTCTTCATCATGTGAGTTATGTCCTTCGTCGGTTTCTCGACCCAGTGCTGACCGTCTAGGCTCCTCTTCATGACGTACAACGGCTCGGTCATGTTGGCGGTCGCGGTGGGTGCGTTCGTCGGGTATTTGGTCTTTGGGGAGGATACCACGGCGGCCAAGACGGTGGCTTGTCATTGATTGCTGGCTTGCCATTGACGGTGGACGGCGGGATACCGGGTTGAATCGCGGGAAAGAAGAGAGCGGATATAGATTGGTCTTTTTGTCACGAGTTCAATGAATGTGTTGTCTTCTTCATGGAACTTCCACGTCGCTCCCGTCGTCTCCGAACCCAAAGCTGAACCCCCCAGCCGAGGCATCAGCGGCCTCACCGTCCGGCTTGCCGTGGACGATCTCATCCCACTTGCGCTTCTTGCCATCATTTCTCTTCTGCAGCTCTTCCTCCGCCTGCGCAAGAAGCTCCGGATGCAGTTCGCGCATCTTAGTCACGAACCGGTCGTAGGGGTTCTGAACGTCCTTGCGGAACCCAGAGATCTGGTCAGCCTTGTTACCGAGGAAGTCCAGCGCCGCCGTCAGATGCCCCCGCGGGATGAAGTTCTGCGTGACAGCGATGGCCGGCTCCAGGTTGACGACCAGGTGCCACCAGCCCGACGGGACGTGCAGGATCTCGCCCGCCGCGCAGACGCCCTCGATGCAGCCGGGCGTGCGGCGCGCCTCGCCGTGGAACCCGAGCAGCCACTCGGCGATGCTGAGCGGCGATGTCACCTCGCTTTGGTCCTCGGACACGAAGACGCCCGGCGGCGGGGGCAGCTTCGTCGACGACGGGAACATGATCCAGTATTTGGACCCGCGCACGACGGCGTTCCACGCGCTGGTGGCGTTCGGGTCCTTGTGGAAGCTGCTTCCGGACCGTTCGGGCCCGACGATTAGCCACTGGCGGTCGGGACGGTCGTCGCCTAGCACGGAGAAGAAATCTTCCCCGAAGCACGGGGGCGGCCAGTAGGCGGCGGCGGAGTCGTTCTTGGTCCGGTCGATCTGGAGGTCCATCTTGGAGACGAAGGCTCGGTCGAATAGGTAGAGAGGTCTTTCGTCCATGTTGCTTTTCATGTAGTCGACGTAGGTGCGGAACGGCCAGTCAACCGACTCGGCGCGGAAGACGACGTCCCCGTAGGTCGACAGCAGCGAGTCCATGGTCCAGGTCTGGTAGATGGGCCATTCCTTCACGGGCTCCGTGAGAATGAAGGGGGTGTCTGTCCATTTCTCCTGAAACTCCTCCTGGGACAGATTGGGCAGTCGCGCGATCTGGTTCTTGGCGGGGATGTCGGCGACATAGGGGTCGATGGAGACGTGCGCACAGTGGAACGGACGGTGTAGAGCGTCGGAATAGAGACTCGAGCAGTCCAGGATGCACACTCCCGACGACGGGAGGTTAAGATAGGTGGAGCGCCACGTTCCTCGCCATGTAAATGAAGGTGGAGGAGATCTGTATACAGTACTTTAGTCCATGTTTTCCCTGCCTATACCATCCCCCACGGAAACTTACTCCACAAAGAGGGCTTTCCACAGCTCCTCGGCTCGAGTAAAAGCATACAACGCCTTGCACGTCCGGCCAACAGCCAGCAAACCCGACCCATCGAGCGACTCCAGCACATTCAAGATCAGCTCGTCGGGCAGGAGTCGAAACGCGCCAATGGCATGACGGAGGTTCTCCGCCGCCAGCAGGGCGTTCCCACTCGGTTTGACTCCCAGGGGATGACCGGGAATGGTATTCTGACTAGGCAAATCCTGCAGACTGTCATTGGGATGCGACGTGTAGATGCTCCTCACCGCATCGGAGTCCCGGTTGGTGGGGTCGAAGGAGGTGATATCGGGCATTTTCATTCCTGCTGTCACCTCTGTGTGATTTCGAGTAATCTGCAGGCACAAGCCAAATGAATTCAATCCCAATGAATCATCCGATATGACTCTATAGCTCCGTCGTAAGCAACCGACCGATGTGACTCAACTGGAGATAGAAGAAGTATAGCCTCAGGTTGCCGAATGAGAAAAGAGGGCAAACCTGAGGCTGCACTGATTGGCTGCTGCCCAATACAGCAGGCGGTGAGTGTCGGCTAGACTCAATAGCGCGAAAAGAGGAAAATTTTCTGAGCAGAAAAAAAAAACAGCAGAGAATCTTTGGGTCGAAGTCGGCTGCAACTTTTTTTTTTTTTTTGCCCTTCCCCTCCCCGCCTCATTCTTCTTTCCCACACTACATCTTTTTCATCTCTCCCACTTCACCTCTACTTTTAACTACACTTCTAGATCCGGACTCAAGTCGTGGTTCTAGTTTTTTTGATACTTTTTTATCGTTACTTTACGGTATGTTTCCGTGCTTTTTTTTCTCCTCTTTCTTTCCCCCTCTGCGTTCTCTTGTTCCTGCCCCACTGTCGCTGTCGCTGGTCGCTAACAAAAATTTTATCTTGCAGCTCACTGTCCGATCACAGCCTGTAGCCTGTGATCTTTTTATCTACTCTCGCAAATATGGCTGACAAGGGTTTGGAGGATGTCCCCGAGGGTAGGTTATTTTCTTTTTTCTTATCTTTTTTTTCTTTCTCTGGACGTTGCGATGTGTGGTGGTCGCATGTGGCGTCGGGGAAAAATCAGCAAAGGAAAATATGACCCAGTGAAGGGGAAAGAATACAGCAAAAGAAGGAGAAAAGAAAAGAAGATGAATCGAAAGGGAGGGAAGGAAGAGGGAATGAAAGAAATACAGGGAGAGAGAGAGAATCATGATCAAAACAGACCATGCTAACGTCGCCAACAGGACAGATCGAGTCCAACTACGATGAGGTCACCGACTCCTTCGATTCTATGGACTTGAAGTCCGAGCTGCTTCGCGGTAGGTTCCAACTGGATGGATAGAATCAAAATGAGAGTATGCTGATTCGTCTCAGGTGTCTACGCCTACGGTTTCGAGCGTCCCTCCGCTATCCAGCAGCGTGCCATCAAGCCCATCATCAACGGTAGGTTTTCTTACCACTCTTTTATCCAGCGTAGCATGGTCTAATCCATCCAGGCTCCGATGTCATCGCTCAGGCCCAGTCCGGTACTGGCAAGACCGCCACCTTCTCCATTGCCGCTCTGCAGAAGCTGGACGCCAGCCTGAACGCCACTCAGGCCCTGATCGTCGCTCCCACCCGTGAGTTGGCTCAGCAGATCCAGAAGGTCGTCATCGCCATCGGCGACTTCATGAACATCAAGTGCCACGCCTGTATCGGTGGTACCGCCGTCCGTGATGACATGAACGCCCTCCGTGACGGCCCCCAGGTCGTCGTCGGTACCCCCGGCCGTGTCCACGACATGATCCAGCGCCGTGTCCTGCGCACCGATCAGATGAAGATGTTCATCCTCGACGAGGCTGATGAAATGCTGTCGGTATGTTTTTTTTCCCCTTTCCCCCCTTCTTGAACCCCTAAAATCCAGTAACTGACCGTCCTAGCGTGGTTTCACCGAGCAAATCTACGACATCTTCCAGCTGCTTCCCCAGTCCACCCAGGTCGTTCTGCTGTCCGCCACCATGCCCCAGGACGTCCTGGAGGTCACCACCAAGTTCATGCGCGACCCCATCCGTATCCTGGTCAAGAAGCAGGAACTCACCCTGGAAGGTATCAAGCAGTTCTACATCGCCGTCGAGAAGGAGGACTGGAAGCTTGACACCCTGTCCGATCTCTACGAGACCGTCACCATCACCCAGGCCGTCATCTTCTGCAACACCCGCCGCAAGGTCGACTGGCTCACCGACAAGCTGACTGCCCGTGACTTCACCGTCTCCGCCATGCACGGTGATATGGAGCAGTCCCAGCGTGACGTGATCATGAAGGAGTTCCGCTCCGGTTCTTCCCGTGTCCTGATCGCCACCGATCTGCTGGCCCGTGGTATCGATGTCCAGCAGGTCTCCCTGGTCATCAACTACGATCTGCCCGCCAACCGTGAGAACTACATTCACCGTATCGGTCGTGGTGGTCGTTTCGGTCGTAAGGGTGTCGCCATCAACTTCGTCACCGCTGACGACGTCCGCATGATGCGTGAGATCGAGCAGTTCTACAGCACCCAGATCGAGGAGATGCCCATGAACGTTGCTGGTACGTTTTTCTTATTCTTCTGGGATGATATTGGATGACATTGATGCTAACGGTTTTAGACCTCATCTAAACTTTTTGAGTCACCTTATGTCTCGATGCGGATTACGATTGCAGTTGCCAATGATCCAAGGGTAAGCTGCGGTGGACACGGCGTTAGAACATCGTTTTGCTTCTCTTGGCCGAGAATTTACCAAAAGTAGTGGCTTTCTGTATCTCCAGCATTTACCGGCGGCTCTCAGGGCGAGCTCTGGTTGCTGCTGTTCATGGTTTCCTTTGTCTTTATTTTTATCACTTATGGAGATGCGACATGCCTGTTCGACTTATTTGCTGTAATTCATGATTTTTGAAATCACGTTTTCTTTTTCCTTTTTCTCTTTATCTGTTTTTGTCCATTTTCTATCTTTTTTTTTCTTTGCGATCTCCCTCTTGCTCCGGTTGGTTAATGATGTCGCTTCATGCAATCCGGAGGCAGAGCGCGAAGAACAAAACCGAGTGATCCTGCATCATGGATGCGATGGCAGCACTTGGAGGAGGTTCTGTGTGACGTGGCTGTATAGCTATAGACTGAAGGCAATACATTTACGAACTGTTGTCTTGTAGTTGTATTATGGGTATGTCACACCTGATGACACCCTTCCCCATCCTATCCTATCCCATCCCATCCCTAACCCCCTCCTGATCTACCTCACCACCTCACCTACACCCCCCACCCCAAAAAAACCAACCAAACCACAAAGTGAACAAAGTAAATTCAAATGACAGCCCAAGAAAACCCATCCACCTCTCGCCCTCCCTCGCACTGGAACCCAACAGCCCCCTCCCTCCTCTGGGCCCACGAACTCCGCCGCGAAAACATCCATCTCATCAACCGCCTCGACACGGCCCACGCAGAGCTCACCTCCCTAACCTCCACCGTCGCCGAGCTCCGGCGCACAACGGCCCATCTCGCAGAGCAGATCACCACCGTCGATAACCGCTACGAGGCCCGGCTGGATGGCTTGCGCGATGGCTTCACGCAGCGGGTTGATCTCCTTGTTCGGCGCGTGGATGTGCTCGAGGGGAGAGTTGGGATGTTGGAGGGGATATTAGAGGGGAGCTGTTTGGGTGCTTGGGGGTTTGGGGGCGGGGATGGGAGTGGGAGTGGTAGGTCTTTCTCTGTCTGTCTGTCTGTCTCTTTGAGAGGGTGTCGCTGTTGTTGCTATGTGTGTGTATAGCGATTGCCATGCGGCGTTGCAGGGATCTGACTGACCGACCACCTACCTTGTGTTATTCACCGGGTAGTACTACAAGGAAAGAGACATCCAAACAGACGCACTAAGCACTCCCAGGGAGAGGCGTCCTCAGAATCAGACCCAATCTCAGACCAAGATCAAGACAAAGACGAAAACACAATCCTCGTCCCCGACTCCTTCCCCCTAGACAAGCGCCAACCAGACACTAATCAACAAGACTCCAACCCCAACGAATACAACTACCTATCAGCCCATCCCCAACCCACACCAGATCCTCCTACGCCTAGTCCTATCACCGCCACTAGAACTACCACTACGTCCACAGTCACAGTTACCACTCGCGACAGCCCCAGCCCGTCTAGTCCAGCGGTATCAGAGCAGCCAACAGCAATGCAACTCCAACAAGGTAGCCGACCTCTTGAAGAGTATATCCGCTTTGGGGGGAGTCTGCGCGCGGGATTGAAGCCGTGTAAGCGCGAAGGGGAGATTGTGGGACGGTTTGTGAAGGGACTGAGTGATGAGGGTGTGAGGGGGATCGTGGAGAGGAGGATGGATTGTGTGGGGTGGGTTTGGGAGAGGATGGTGGGTGTTTTGAGGGAGGTTGTTGAGGATAGAGGGGGTAGTGTTGCTGTTGTTAAGGAGAGTGGATGGGCTGCTGCTGCTGCTGGTGAGGATAACGGAGGAAAGGAAGGTAGCAGAAGAGGCAAGAGGAGGCGTATTTCTATTGTTTCTCCTGATGAGGAGGATTTGTTGCAAATGGCTGGGATGCATGTTGGGTAGGTGGTAGGTAGGCAGGTATCACCATGTTCCTATGGCAGTGTCTATGACAATCTAGCTCTTGTATATGTAGTATACAGCGACTCTAACACAGGAGAAAAGCTAGGTCTCACTATAAAAATACCTCCCCTCCCTATCCTCAACCTGAACCTCAATCCTCCCCTCCTCAATCTCCTGCCCCCCCACCTCAATCGACGCCCTCATGACATCCCCCGCCTTAACCTCTCCCACCCCTTTAGGCGTCCCCGTGAGCACAATATCATCCTTCTCCAACGTCATCACGCGCGAGATCTCCGCCAGCAGGCGCGGAATGCGATAGAGCATCAAGCCCGTCGAGTCCGCCTGGCGCGCCTGCTCGCCGATGCTCAGCCGCAAGAAGGCATCGTGCGGGTTCGGAAGGCGCGATTTCGGAATCTCGTTCGACACGGGTAGGAAGGTGTCGAAGCCTTTGGCGATTGTCCAGGGGAGACCCTTCTTTTTGGCTTCGTCCTGGACGTTGCGAGCTGTCATGTCGATTGAGAGGAGGTAGCCTTTTATTATATTATTAGCATTGCCATATATATAGAGTGAGAGTAAGGTTAGGAGGCTTACTTCGAATCGCATCCATTGCGCCCTTCTCATCGTTCGGGTCCAAATCCCGAACGGTGCGGCCCATGACGAGCGCCAATTCCACCTCGTAGTGGAGTTTGGTGCCGCGCGGGCGCAGCACGGGGCCTTCTCTAGGGCATAGAATGGAGGAGGCGGGCTTGAGGAAGAAGAAGGGCTGTTTGGGCTTGGTGTTGTTCAGCTCGGTGATGTGGTCACTGCATTCATTAGTCGGTCCGTTCATCTTTCTCCAATTGCTCCGTCAATTCTAGACGGTAATTGAAATTGAAATGCAATGATGAAAGGGACGTACGCATAGTTGCGACCGATGCAGATGACTTTTCTGCAATTAGCTTTGATTGCGCTGGCCATGGTGAATGTGTCTGGTGGGAAGTTGAAGGAAGACAACGAGGGGAGAAGAGGGGAAAGAGGATATAATGGTCAGGAAGTTGTTCGGGCGGGAAAGCCGACGTGCGGAGACGGCCGCAATCTCCGAGACTCGGCGGTTGCATGGGGAATGGTAGCTTTGTGGGGAGTGTGGGGGATCTGGTGTCGTGTAGCATTGATCTTTTTTCTTGATCATTCTAGATTATAGAGGATGTCATGTTATAGAGATTGAGAAGTAAGTGTATTGCGACTGGGACTGCAGTGAAAGCCACGCCAAGCCCGATCAGCGAAACTCCGAGCACCTCATCTTCCTTTCTGATTCTTCCTCTATCCTCCTTCTCTTCGTCTTCAACCTAGTCACCATGCAAGTCGCACAGATTCTCTCCGATCTAACATCCCTTCAAGTCTGTGTACGTATCCCATCAAAACCCACGAAGCGACTCCGAACTAACCAACCCAGGATCATCACGACGCCCTCGCCCTCGTCACCGTCAACGAGAGGATTCCCCGCACCCACACCGCAGAGGGGAGCGCATCCCCGGCGAAATCTGCATCCGTCGACCCCGCGGAGCAGACGGTTCACGATGACCTCCGTCGCGCCACGGAGCTGGTGGAGTTACACTACGAAATCAAGGCGCGCCATGCGGACGGGATCGTGGACGATGACCTTGCGAGGGCAAGGGACGAGGTGGATCGCGTATTGATGGAGATGGAGGAGGATGCTTGGTAGGATATTCAGAATGCGACGAGGTACGATATGAACATGAGGTTATGAAGAGGGAACTGGACAGGCATCTGTGGCATATGTTGGTGTTGGGTATAGGCGTACGGGTTCCGAACGGACGGATGGCTGTTATATGGCTGTTATATGTATACCACTGGTTCAACTGGACTGAGCCTTGCTGTATTTTGATTGAATTAGAGGGGTTTAGGTACTTCTCTCAAGAAACCACCTACTACGATCTAGATCTATCAATCCACGTCCAAGCAGAGTATGATGTATGCAATGACGTCCTCAGGCACTCTACGCCAAGACGCAAGGCGGTGAGCCTATCTTGCTCGTCACGAATCATGATCGATTTATCGCCAGTTGAGCTTCACTCCGCCATTCCTCTTCCTCCCCCTCGTCTTCTCCTCTCTGAGATTTCTATTGCCCTCCCGCATCATGGCCACAAGCGTGGATGCGAAGCTGCTGCGGCGGACCAAGTTTCCACCCGAATTCAGTCGCAAAGTCGACATGACCAAGGTCAACATTGAGGTCATGAAAAAGTAAGCGATGCCGACTCCTTGCCCAACCTCCTCCCCTGTCGCTGACCCCGTCCGTATAGATGGATTGCAGGAAAGATCTCCGAGATCTTGGGCAACGAGGACGACGTTGTCATTGAACTGTGCTTCAACCTCCTCGAGGGAACCCGTTACGTACGTGCCAACCTACCGCGGGGAACGAAGGGAAATCGGAATGACCGCTAATATGATCCTCTGTGCAGCCCGATATCAAATCGCTACAGATTCAGCTCACAGGCTTCTTGGACAAGGATACGGCGAACTTCTGCAAGGAACTCTGGTCGCTCTGTCTAAGTGGTCAGGAGAATCCCCAGGGTGTTCCCAAGGAGCTGCTAGAGGCCAAGAAACTCGAGCTCATCCAGGAAAAGGTCCGTCTAGGTCTCGTATAATACTCATGATAGATGATTCATTGACTGACAACTCTCAGATCGAGGCAGAAAAAGCGGCCGAGCAAGCGCGACGACAGAAGGAACAAGAGCAACGGCGGGAGCGGGAAATGGAAGACCTGCGGCGGCGCGACCGTTCGGATCGGGGGCGTGGAGGAAGAAGAGGAGGTGGGCGCGGGGGTGGGCGCGACTTCGAGCGTCGTCCATCGCCACCCCGACGACGCAGCCGTGAACGGTTTCGCGATGCGCCGCCATCCCGGCGTGACTTCGACTCATACGTACCATCGCGGCGAAGCCGACGGCCCAGCCGCTCCCGGTCTCGCTCCGTTTCCTCGTCACGATCCCCGCCCCCTCGTCGCCAACAACGCTTTTCCAGCAGGGACAGGGACCGACGCCGACGCCGCCGGTCGGCCAGCGGTTCAATCTCCCCGGAACGCCGGCGGTCCGCCCCTCGCCGACGCGGCAGCCCGGACTATGGTGATCGAGTGCGGTCTGCTTCCCGCAGTGGTTCCTCGCGCTCACGTAGTCCCAGACGAGATCGCAGAAGATCGCGATCGGTGTCGTCACGCAGCTCATCCCGTTCACCGCCCCCGCCTTCTTCCCGGGACCGGCGCCGGAGGAGGGGCTCTTCGGCCTCGGATGATGACCGGGGCGCTCCGCGACGGAGAGGATCCTCGCCTCACCATTCTTCGCGCACGCATAAGAAAGAATCACCAGCTGATGTTGCAAAGGTCCGCAAGACCCGTGATGATCGCCGCTTGAGCCGTAGCCGCAGCCACAGCCGCAGTCGCAGTCGCAGCCGGGGCCGGGGCCGGAGCCCGACGATGAGTATCAGCAGCAGCCGCAGTCGAAGCCCAAGACGACACGACTCGCGCAGCCGCAGTCGCAGTCATAGTCGCAGTCGCAGCCGCGGTGAAGGCCGAAAACGGCGACGCTCAATCCCCAGATATGCCCCGACGGCCCGCCGTCGGCGCGACTCGTCTTCCGTGTCAGCTCGCGACGAGAAGCGGCCACGGGTTCGAGAAGCAGACTCCGATGCCGCGCCGGCACCAAAAAGATCCCCAAGCCCAGCCGACAAAGCTCCCCCAAGCGACCATGACATAAAGGATGCAGCTCCCGAGGTGGGTGAATCACTTTAAGTACGTTTGGGTATCTGGGGGGAAAAGAAAGAGCGATAAGGTTTCAATTCAAACAATGAGTCTTCCACGATGTCTGTCTATCTATCTGTCTTTCTGTCTTTTTCATCACTGTCCATCCATCCTACGAATGCCGTTGCTACGGGACTGATTGATTGATTGATTGATTGATTGATTGATTGATTGATTGATCCTTCTGCATCCGGGCTGGCTTCGGCTAACGACGTACCAACACATAGTCCACGCACTCTGCCCATCGGCCGGCCGCTGCGCGCATCTCGACCACCGCGCTACGCGAGAAGCTCCTCCGCGAAAAGCTGGTCGCCCGGCGACGGTCGTCGAGGGCAGAAAGGTAGGTTGGTCAGTCGCCACCAGGATGGGAGGGAACCAACCGTGTGAGTCCAGTCGTAAGTCTGCGGGATTTGCGCATGTTCGCCACGCTCACAGCAATAGATAGTTCTGCAATATGACTGCGACCTACTTCATGTTCTGCATAATATGTACACAAGATATAGTCATCAATCAAAATAGTAGAAGAGATCCCAAGTACCAGCATAGTTGAAGTCAATTGGAAGCCCGCCTCAGAACCTCTTCCACGGACAATGACTGATTGGTTTGGAAGTCCATTTACTTTCCAACCTGCTTATTCGAAGACAGAGTCTGCGTATACTCGTCCTAACTTGCAAATCGTCCTATTACCAAGACACACTCGGCTGCAGCTTACCCTCGCTGTAGAAACATTACTGAGCAGGATAAACAGTACATAGTTTAGGTTATGTGGAGACTGGAGAGACTGGGGAGAAACGGTTCAAACTGTCAGTATGACAGGCTATGAACCTTGCCAGTCGTCTGTATTTCTTTTCCGTATGCTAACATTAATCAATCGCAATGTAATCATAGAAGTCGAGGAGTCCAGACTCCAGACCGGTAGATAAACAGATAAATTTATAGATAGAGACAGACAGATAGATAAACAAACACCGACACCCCCCAAACACCACGCCATAATTACTAAACCCACGCACACACCAGGATAAACACCAGGATAAACAACGAACCCGGGAGATTAATATATCCAAGACAGCTAATCCTCCAAAAAAAAAACCAACACCCAGGATGATAAAACCGCCGTGCATGTATATCATTTTTAAAACCTTATTTTGACCTCCGCTTGCTTTGGTTACAATGCACTTGTTCGTGTCTGGTGAATAGAATGGTATGACTATACATTGATTAAAAATGTACGGTTGAGTAATCAACGCTTCATAATCAATTAACTATCACGGCCGATAAACAAAGGAAGGAAGAAACCTAATTAAAACCCTTGATAACACCATTCTCCACCATAATCAACCATTATCACAAATGATTATTAGTATTATTATCATCGCTATTGAAAGAGAAGGAATCACATGCCCAACCGTCATGATGTCACGCAATTTCCTTCCGACTCCTTCCCCCTGTCAATCGCGTGGCTGGGGCCCTCCAGGGCCCCCCTTTGCGTGGCTTATTGGGATCGGCTGGTTGATGTTGGAGGCGGGTCGTCGTTTCTTCCTTTTTTTTTCTCTTTCCCCGTTTTTATATTATTTTATATTATTTTATTTCATCTTTAATTTGTTTCGTATTGTTTATGATTATTATAGTTGCCTAATTTGGGGCCGAGGTTGGTAATACTAATCTTGTCTAATGTCTATACTATGGTAGTCTGGAGTGTTAACTGTATATCATCATGCTAAAATTCGTCATAATACTCTACAAAATCAATAGAACAAAATATGTGCCTGACAGTAATACCATGTACATGATCGAAATATAGAAGGAATGTACTCCATTGAAGGGAATCAAAAGCGTCAACGAAAAGAAAATGTAGGAAGAGAAAAGGCCAAGGCAACATCAGAAGTCAAATCAATAACAAAAACTAAGTAAACAAATAAACATCTTCCTGGCGAGTTATAACGCTACATGTGTGCCGATGTAATCCTCTTTTCCCAGCCAGTGGTGTCCATCCGTTCGTGATCCCCTCTACTGGCCCCCGGTCGAAACCACACATGCCCAGAGAAGAATTTTAGAATTAAAATTAGGTATGTACAGGTATCTTCACCGTTGCTGCCATGGCGATCGTCGCGGAAGGTTGGATTCCTCAGTGCGGGAGATCTTCTCCCTTACTGGGGCGGGCAGGAAGCGACGCTGACGGTCGTCGTCATGGTGACCACCCTCCGGGGCTTGCCGCTGGGCGCCTGAGTGACCTGGGGCGAGTCGCTGTTGGTGGCGACGGGGATCACGGCCTCCGAGGTGATGGTCTCGCAGGGGGTGCTGCTGGCAGCGGGGGCCTCGGTCGAGGTGGCCACGGGGACGACGGTCTCCGAGGTGATGGTCTCACAGGGAGTGCTGCTGGCCTCGGGGGCAGCAGAGGCGGGGGACTCAGTAGAGGTGGTTACGGGCACCACGGTCTCCGAGGTGAAGGTGTCACAGGGAGTGCTGCTCGCCTCGGGGGCGGCAGAGGAGGGGGAGGGCTTGTGAGGCACGACAGGAGCGGAGGAGTGAGGGGAGCTCACGGTCGAGGTGGCCACAGGCACAATCGTCTCGGAGGTGATGGTGTCGCAGGGGGTGCTGGAGGCCGCGGCGGACGAGCTGTCGGTAGGCTGGACAGCGGGAGCCGAGGGGGACTCGGTGTGGGTGGCCACGGGGACGACGGTCTCCGAGGTCAGGGTGTCACAGGGGGTGCTGCTCGCCTCAGGAGCCGGGGAAGCAGGCGACTC